CCCGATGAGGTGATCGGCGGGCACCCTGACGTTCTCCAGCGTCACCCAGGTGCTGTCTGCCGCGTTCCAGCCGCTGTTCTTGATCCTGCGCCGGGTGACGCCAGGCGAGTCGAGGGGGATGACCAGCATGGAGACGCCGGCCATGCCAGGCCCGCCGGTCCTGACGGCGGTCGTCATGTACGTCGCGCGGATCGCGCCGGTGATCCATTTCTGTTTCGGTCTCGCGTTGGCAAAAAGGTCACAAACCGGTTAGTGCGGGATCAACAAACCTTGTGCCCATTCACGATGTACGCTTGGCCGTCCTCGGTCCTCCTCGCCGTCGTCTTGAGATTGGCCAAATCCGAGCCACCTGGCAAGTTTCAGACGTTGGAGACTGAATCACTACAGCGGGCGTTTCGTCGGCTTACCTGTGGGTTCGGTGGCCCCTAGGCAGAAGCTGATCTCTCCTGTGAAGATCCCCGGGAGCCAGTCTCGCTTCTGCTTCTCGGTGCCGTGGACGATGATGGGAGGGATTCCGATCGACGTGCCTCCGGACAAGCCTACGGTGACTCCAGCGTAGCCAATCCTACTCACCTCATGATTCACCACGAGAGAATGGAAGATGTCCCAGTCTAATAAAAAAGGATAATGCCTCGGGTCAGTCTATCCGTTGGTCTTCAGCATGGAGATGGCGTCGCGTCTAGACGCTCAGGCGAGTCCACCGTGTTACCTTCATGCGAGATACCCGCAGGCAGCCCAACAGCACCAGAGTATTCGCGAGGTATACCCTGAAAGGCCAACCCCGAGCGCGCATAGTGCTTCCTGGCCTCATCCGGCACGTGGCCGTTCTCCTCCCATTCCTCTGCGTAGGGGGCGACGTGCTCGCTCAGATACCGGCGGACGTGGTCGCGGACCCGCCTGTGGCTTTCGTTGTAGTACGGTGATGCGAGATCGTTGCACCACGCAGGCTCGGCGAACGGCGCAAGATTGCCGAATAATTCTTGATCTTGCGAAGGAGCCATTGTCTTGAGTAGTGCGATTGAACGGATGATGGAGATGAATAATGAAGCATTCTTGCCCTCGGGTGAGATACAGTCATGATGATGGCCGCTCAGACCGCGGGGAAACAGTGAGACCGGGGTGTTTGTACCGAGGCATCTTCAGCATCTCCAACACCAAGGAATCACACGTCAAAGCTAGCAACGACACCTTCCACGCCGCCTGACGGAAATAATGATTCCAGCACCATCATGTCTGATTGTTGCAAAGAGTTCTTCTTGCCATCTGGGCGTGTGTAGGGTAAGGCGGGTTCCTAGAAATTTACGGAACGGAATGTAGCGATAAGCTCCGGCTGTGGGAGCTCGTTATCGCTATCGCATCCTGCAGGACCGGTGGTGCTCTCGGCTCGTGCGTCCTGGAACAAGGAGCTGTCAGTGCCTGACTACTGCAGCCCAACACTCAATTGCCGTCGCAGCAGTCAAATCACAGGCGGGCATCGTGAGACATGCAGCTCTAGCTCTGGCAAATCCGCCTGTAGGCTACACGTGGCGTGCGTCCGTTTATGAGCGTCCTGCCTCTCCTCGGGGTGCCTACAGCCTCGCTTGCATCATGTGCAATATTGTTGAGCCAGCGTTGCAAGCAAATGTGCGGTCAGTTGGCCCTGCTATCCATATGCGATGCAGATACAGGGGGAGGGAAGCTATTTTTTGTGTTTTTATTTGTACGCGTATTTATTATCAATTGAGAACTGTGAGGAGATATGCGGGGCCTAGGCTGGGTTGGGGAAAGGGAGGGCCACCAGCCAGGGCAAGGACGAGGTCGGGATGGGCCAATTGGAAGCGAGATAGATCCGGGTTTGCAAACCTGCCCACGCAACGTGTCAAAATCCATTGATAGCAGATGCCAGAGGCTGTCGCTCTATCACGAAGAGGCAGGTACATCCCTTGATGGCAGCAGACCTCGGATCTGCAGTCCCTGCCCTGCCACCGCCTCCTCGTGGTGGCCTGATAAGTTAGGCGCCAGGCACGTGCTTGTCGCGCATCACAGCAGGATGCTGCCAGTGTCCTCCCGTCTTTGGCCGCGGACAGCAAGAAGGCGGTCGATCCGTCAGTGACAATCTCGCGGCGAGCTGGAGCTCGGGGCAACAGGCAACTAGCCCGTCACTAGTACCTGGCTCGTGTTTGTTTTCGACTGTGCAACGATGGACCTGCTGCTGTCCGCGGCCGACGCGGTACGTACCCGTCAGGTACACCGTACACAGCCACGAGCCACGACACGGGAAACAGCACAGAGCACGCACAGAGTCAGTCAGTCCAAGCTCGGCGCCATCTCAAGATTGTCCCCAGATCCCTGTGGGCCGGTCTAGCCCTTCTCTTCATCTCCATTGAAAATCTCGGCGGGTCAAATCTCAATTCCTCCCCAACAATTAATTTGTTCTCTGTGCCCAGGGGCCCTCTCCCTTCGCACGGCTCCACAGAGGCGGGTGTGCAAACTTCAGGCCAGTCGATGCGGTGTCGGGCTGTCGGCAGGCATTGACCACCGCCCGGATCAGATAGAGCATCTGAAAAGAAGGTGAGAGATAGAGAGCGTGCTTCCGCTAGCGCATCCGCTTTTTCGGTCGCCAAGAAGTCGGAGTTTTCAGGGTCCTTCACTCAGGGTCCGAAACTGACTAGCCAGGGACCAGACACGACCACTTGGCTTGCACCGGACAGTCCAACGGCTTGGGATTGCTATCGCGGAAGTGGTAAGCGGCGGTCTAAAGGGAGTGTGCTAGGCTCGAAAATTTCACTTTCTGGTTTGGTTTCTGTGGACCACCCCTTTTTATTTGCCTCACGCAAGTACCGCCGTGGAGGCCTGGCCCTTATTTAACTGAGAATTCTTGTGGGTTGGAGCCTTCCTCCCCTTCCCTTGCTTGCTTCGACTCTCCAATCCAGCTTCTGGACTAACCCAAGATCCTTCAGTGAGCAAGGCACCGGAATCATGATCACTGTAACCAAGACCAAGGCGGGCAAGAAGGCCCAGGCCTCAACCACGTAGGTGACAACCCATGCTGAGAGGCCTCATCATCAGCATCTTGATTTCGACCTCAATTGACTGACATGAGATGGACACAGGCTCGTGGCGGAACCTCAGTTCCCTGACATCAACACCATCAGGAATGCCATCCCACAGCACTGCTTTGAGTCTTCTGCTGTCATCGGACTGGCCTACTTGGTCCGTGATCTCTGCATGGCTGTCGGCCTGGGTTATGCTGCCGTCACCTACATTCCCACCATTCCTGATTTTTACCTGCGATCTTTCGCCTGGATTGTCTACGGCTATGTTCAGGGCCTCATTTGCACCGGCATCTGGATTCTGGGCCACGAGTGCGGCCATGGCGCCTTCTCCAAGCACCAGACCTTTAACGACGTTGTCGGCTGGTTCTCCCACTCCATTCTCTGCGTCCCCTACTTCTCCTGGAAGTTCTCTCACCACCGCCACCACCGCTTCACTGGCCACATGGACAAGGATATGGCTTTTGCTCCCCGCACCAAGGCTGATTACCTGGAGCGACTTCTCTCCAAGTTCGACTTCCTCGAGGACACCCCCATCTACCACATCGTCTGCCTTTTCTTCCACCAGACCCTGGGATGGACCTTCTACCTGATCTTCAACATCTCTGCCGGTCGCAACAGCATGCAGTACAAGGCTTCTCTCGGCCGCCGCAGCCACTTTGACCCTTGGAGTGGTGTCTTCCGCCCCAGCGAGGCTCCTTACATTATCCTTTCCGACATTGGTCTTGGCCTCACCCTCTACTCTCTGTACCGCCTCTCTTTCTTCGTCGGTACCCAGAACACCGTTCTCCTGTACGCCCAGACCTGGTTCTGGGTTCACCACTGGTTGAGTAAGTTTTTCCGCGCATCCCAGAATCTCAGATGAGAGAGACACGGGAATTGACTGACATTTCAACTTCTAGTCGCAATCACCTACCTCCACCACACTGACAAGGATGTGCCTCACTATGATGCTGAGCACTGGACCTTTGTCAAGGGCGCTGTTGCCACCATCGACCGCGAGTTTGGTTTTGTCGGCCGCCACCTCTTCCACGGTATCATTGAGTACCATGTTGTTCACCACCTGTTCCCGTACGTTGGACTTCTCCCCTGCTGGCTGCACACGGCTTGAAATGATTGAGTACTAACGCACCCCAGTCGCATCCCTTTCTACTATGCTGAGGAGGCCACCGAGGCCATCAAGCCCGTGCTTGGCGACCTCTACCGCCGCGACGAGCGCAGCTTCCTGGGCCAGCTCTGGGACAACTTCTCCAACTTGAAGTATGTCGAGCCTGATGAGGCCATCCCCGGTGCCATGAAATGGGTCACCCGCGTTTGATTGAGCACCCGCCTACCTAGCGCTCGGCTTTCGGCGAATGCTTGTTTTACGAAGAACCGACCAGGGAAACAGAGAGACACCCTGAGTTATCCACGAAGAATTTGTTGTCTATTGTGTACTGGGAGAGAATAAAACGGTCAGGCACCACGAATAGAATTTTCCACGATCACGGCGTTTGATGAGGATAGATTTCTGCATTAGACAAATTAGAAGAGGCCCAATCATGAATCAATAGAAGGGCATGTTTGTTCTCCGCAAGATTACTGAATCTTTTCCTTCCTTTTCGTCTTGTTTCTTTCCCTTGCTTGAGAGTGATTTATCTACTGATCTGCAGTCTACGAATTACTAAATACGGATATGCAGCCTCGACATGAATGGACAGTGCCATGACGGTGCCAAGCAATTGATGCGCCTCAGCGAGGCACACGCGTTTCTGCCTCGTTGGGCACAGCCTGCGACAACCCCATTTTGGATGCTTCTCGCTGGCCGGGCGTCTTTTTAAATCTCACTTGACCCCCGCGCGTCGCAACATGGAAAGATCAATCGGCACCAAGAAATCTTGGGAAGGAAGAAGCCTGCATCTCTCTCAACGATCCAAACACCTGCCTCTCACCACCAAAGGCTCATAATTAGCCACGCAAATAGACAGCATGGCCGCCGACGCTGCTTTGGAAAGCGTGAGATCGCTGATATGTGCGCTCGACATCATCTTCGCCGTCATCTCGCTCTCCAGCCTGTACGTGCCCTTATTCTGGAGATCCTGGACGTATGAGAAGGGAAGCATCATCCGCCGCGATCTCTGGATAGCTCGCTTCGTCGTCCTCTCCGCCCCGTACCGCCTCATCGGATCGATCTTCTCCATCGCCAGCCTCACCCGAAATTCGCAACGACAGACCCTGATCCTGAAAACGATCCAGGCCGTCACCGCCACGCCTCTCGAAGTCAGGCTTTACAAGCTCGCCAGGAAAACATGGAAAAAGGCCGTGAAGAAGCAGGATGGGGGGGAGAGCCCGGCACCCGAGCCAGCAATAGGACTGCAGCCCGCGGTACCAAAGAGCCGGGAGGTGCTGGTTGCGACGAACGCGCACAGGAATGACTACGAGCGCGAGAAGTTCGGATTTTGGAAGGCCTGCCTCTTCCACTTCAAATGGGTCATTCCTGAGGGGATCATGCTTGTCGGCCTCGTGATTAGCTCGATATCCCTGGGCGAGGGCCCGAGGTATCGCCTTGTGCCTGCGGTTTTCACGTGGATCTTGCCGTTGGTGGCGGTCATTCTCAGCCAGATATGGAGGCACTACCGGCACACTGAGACTCAGCGTGTGCGGGAGTTCGCTGGGTTCACGAAGCCGTGGGCGGTTGGGACCATGGTGGGATATCTCATATTCCTCGTCGTCTTTTTCGTCGACTTAGAGGAGAGGAAGAAATATATTAGTGACTGGACGGAGGTATGGGTGCAGCTCGCGGAGGCATTATGTGGAGGCGGAGGATAAAAGGTCTTCAAATACAGGTGCTGGAGTAGTCCCGCCAGTTTATAGAAACAGTTTCTGCAATATATTGGAGCTATGAGTTCTGAAGAACGTCTTTAATTTACTGTGGCACAGACTACCCTGGTCTGGCCGCAGATCCTACATGCAGTTTCAAGCAGTGGAATTAACTCCAAGGCCTTCATCGTGGAGGTTGGGGTCAGCTCCGCCCTGGAAGAGTTTCTGTACGGCTAACGGGTTTCCCATCTTAGCAGACTCGTGGAGAGTTGCTCTCCTGGTCGTGCCCGTCACATTCACTACAGCCTTCGATGACCATACCGCATCGCCTATTGCAAAACAATCCCTAGAACAACTATGTGAAGAGAGGTGAATGGAGATGATCCATCTGTAACTTGATCCTGAGACGGTTCGTAAACCCGTGTTATGTCTCTGAGAACCGCGCCACCGTCCATGGTCTATTTGAGAATCGATTACCACCCGAAGAACTCAAAGACATCGGAGGTGCGCCAACCAGCGATTGATGCGCGTCATCAAGATTCCTATATCTTACTTGGCAACGATCAAGAGGCGCTGGGGCCTGAGCCGCCGAAGAGCCTTGAAAATAACACAGGACAGTGGCAGGGAGAGTTTCACTGAGCTCCCCCCCCCCCCCCCATGATTCAAGGCTCAAAGATAGGCTGAAAGTCAATGAATAAACTATCTCCACTGTTCAAACTCCTACGCTGAACTGCTTCATTTCCGGGTTGATTTAGAACAAACAAACACAAGAGCGTATCACACAACTGAAGGTAAAGGTATTTTGTTTAATTTCTTTGGTATCTTATTTCACAAGAAAGGCAGCCAGTACCACGAACTCGCAAGTTGGGGATCTTGATTCATAACTGAGCATACTATATCCAAGTTCTTAGATGTAGGAAGCCTCAACTAAGAAGCCGACAGTGAACTTAATGTGACGAAGAACAGAATCCCACTGAATGGAATCATAGGTCTGTATCATTGGTTAGAATTACTCCTAGGTTTGTGAACCGCATAGGCCGGAAACTTACGTCACGCGAGGTGTGGATATTTGGGTTGCTATTCTCAAAGACCTCCTCGTTCACAAAGGCGGCGGCTGTGCGAGAGATTAGTTTACTTCATCTACCCATCAATCCTCTCCAGGGACTTACGGAAACCATTTGAGTTGGCACTGGCATGGTCGGAGCAACCATAACCGCACTTGGACGATGAGGGGGCCGATCCGGTGTACTGGGTGGCGACAACACGGACGTATGAGGTAAGGGCGGAGTCGACATAGTCCGTGTAGACTGCTACCTTGCCGCTGGGGGAGTAGCCAGTCATGTCCTGGTTAACAAACGCGAGGACATTCTTATTCTGGGTCTTGTACTGGGAATAGACATCCTTGGATCCAAGAAGACCGCCCTCCTCGCCACCGTACCAGTGGAACTCAATGGTATTCTTGGGCTTGTATCCTCCCTCAGCAAGGACTCGGAGAGCCTCGAGGATGGTGACTGATCCTGAGCCGTTGTCATCAGCTCCAGGGCTACGGGAGCTTGATGAACCGGTAGTGGAGTCTAAGTGCGCTCCAACAATAACTGGGAGACAAGATCTAGGTTAATATTGAATAAGGCACTTATGCGTAGCAGGGGATAGCTCTAGATGTATCTCTGAACTTACTGAGGTCGTCAGTAGTGCCGGGAAGTGTAGCAATGATTGATGGCTGGTTGAAGGAGTGTGTCACTTGGCGGACAGTGATGGCGGAGTTGGCAGAAGCCACGCTCTTCACTGTGTTGAACAGCCACGTGGCCGCCTGAGTGCCAGTGGAAGACTGGTAGTGGCGAGTGTTGTAACTGCAACGTCGTGTAAGACAGAGATGGAGTATCTAAATGGAGCTTGTGCTTACTTGGTGAGGGTTCGGAGCCAGCTCTGAGGATTGGTGCTGCTGGCCTTGCTGATTAGGCCCTCGGCCTCATCAACGTGTTCGACCTTGGAGGGGTAGGTGACAGCCTGGATGGAAGCAGCATTCTCGGCATCGGTTTTTGAGAGCCTCGAGAGAACATCCACATCCTAAAATGGTTACTCGGTTAATTACTATTACAGTAGACAGATGTGTGTGGTGAATCAGAAGCCAGGTTCGAGAATATTTACCCTGATTTCCGTAATGTCGATGAATCCAATCTTCTTCGCTGTGAAGTTCTCATACTTCTCCTCCTCCGTCACCCATTGTCCGGGGTCATCCTCTGATGTCTTAATTAAACGAAGAGACGATTCCCTAACGAGCTTCTCACTAGGAGCCGCATAGGTGATCTGAAGAGATGCCGCAAGGGCGACAACAGCTGTGCTAAAATGCATGATGGTAGTGAGTAAGAGGGAATTTGACGGGACGTGAAACATGCATTTCTGGGGGCGGCGATCAGGAACGGGTCTATATATATAAAAAGCAGGCATTGCATCATATTCTATTTGTTGTCATTGTTTTCTCGGGTGGGCCCGTCAGCTGGAGGGAGGGTTTGGAATCTGATGTCTCATACATACCTACGGTAGCTGCCTGTTTCAGAGTCGATGCATTAAACCTCTTCTTCTGGTCGCACTTTTGTTGCTAAGCGCGAGCTTTGATCTCGTCTCGGTCCCTAGCAGAGCCATTCAGGGCAGTCATCGGCGTAGGTAACAGGCCTCCCGGTGCCCCTGTGTGTCAATTCCCAGACCAACTGCCTCATCTAGCCAAGCTCCCACTCCCTCCGGCTGCCTAACGTGGCAGTGAAATGCAGCACAAGCTTATCCAGCACAAGCATAACAGCGGCAAGGAATTCGTGATACAGTAGTGGGACGGAACATCACTCCTAGAGGGGTGCCCTCACCTGATCGACGACTTTCTGGAGACCGCCCGTGACTGACCAGTCTGTCACGCTCTCCACAGATGAAGACATGCTGTTACAGCCAAGAACTATTGTAGAGTAGCAGTCATTGCTCTTGCTTGAATGCTTCAATACAACGTGAGACGCACTGCTTTGCCAGCGCTAGCAAAAGTTCAATGTGGGTATTGACGATGATCCCTATAAAAACTCTTGGGGCAGGCTAGACTCATTATCAAGCCTGCGGATCCCCAATCTACTATTGTTTCTGATCCATCACATTTTAAACAGATTGGATATTACATAGTACTCTAAAATTGCACTACAAACGTGACAAGTGGCCCTTGGCCAATATTCATCGTGCCCTGTGACTGCCTAATGAAATGTGAATTATTATTACACTGGCTTCTGTCCAACAATGACCAAGGATCGAAACACAACACCTTGCTTCATGGCTTCGTCCTCAAATCTCTCAGGCAAACGATCATAAGTTGATTCCGGTAGCTCAACACCGAGTCCTGTTTCCACACTGTTAGTCTTTGTAAAGCGGATAGTATCAAGAGGAAAAGGCTTTCTCACCTTTTGCAGCTTGCGATACGACTGGGATAGTAATCTTGAAAGGCTCGATCGAGTCTTTCTGCTGCTGCTCGCCCTCAATCGATTTCCCCATGGGCAGATCAACAGTCTCAACTGACACGTTCGTCAGGCCGGCCTTCTTCATCGAATCGCCAATCAGTAAAGTGAATTGAGATCCCATGCCGATCTTGGCGAACATGCCAGACAAGATGCTATTGACATCCTGCCACGCTGGGCCTGCACCAGGCCTGTTTGGGTCCACGTTCATCTCTTGAATTTGAAGCCATCCTCCTGGTGCCAGTGTTCCTATGATGGGAAATATGTTAGAATGGAAAACTCAAGAAGTGCAGTCCTGTCATCAAAGCAGAGCTCCCTTACCTGCCAGATTTGCCACTGCGGTGTCCAGGCCCACGCGAGCGCACCCGGCCAAAACATCGAACGTGTGTGAAATCGAATGACCCAGCTAAATCACTTGCAGGAGGCTCGCAAATATCGGCCTGAACATATCGAATGTTGCCTTGCGGCGATGTAGGTAGGAATGGGCTCATGATGTCGGATCCTACTAGCTGTGCAGAGGGCGAGACCTGTTTCTGAAGGTCACGGAGCAGGGTTCCTGTAGAAAATAAGGGCTTAGAAAGCCTTCCAAAGGCAAGATTCTTTTCATTTCCACAAAAGGAAAACTGTTGGTGAGCGAAGGGGACATGGCCTACCATCAGCACATCCCACGTCCAGAACTCTGAGGCCGGACTTGTCAAGTTCAACAGGCGCGAAGACAATCTTCCCCTTCAGACAGGACTGAATCCATCTATGCTGTTTTTGCAAACGTTCAACTTCTCGTCCGTGTTGACCGAGTAGGTAATCTTCATCGTCTTTCGCCGCCATGACGTTGGCCTTGAGTTGTTGATAGGAACTTGAGATATTGAAACTTGTAGAGGCAGTTGATATTGGACCGGGAGACTTAAGTCCGAATAAATTATAGAAGCTTGTATTTCTCTTCTTGGCAGTGCTTTGAAGCCTTTGGCCAGTTCACGTTCTTATATATGCCTGCTTGCTGTGCGTATTGCGGAACACATACCCTGGACCTCCAAATGTCTCCGAAGCGTCAGCTTAAGTCGCCGAGCTCTGCCCAAAACCAGCTACGCGTCGAGAACTAATTTCTTACAGATGACTTAATTGATGCCGTCATTCATTCACCGCTTTTAGAATGGGCTGAGAGTCTATTCTGGCATGTTTGAGCGCGGCAAATGTGGATATCGGAAGACGAGCACAGATAGCCGTCTCTTCCGGGATAGGGAAACCTACTAGCTATGCCACGCGGCCAGGGAACAAAATAACTGATTCTTTGTGCGGATTGATAATGTTGATATTAAGCTAGTAGTCTCTGATCCTCGGCGAACTGACCCATAGGGCATTGGGAAGTGTTCTGGAGGTACTGCAGACATGCGTTGGCCACTATCGTTGAGCAACGGAGCCTTCTAGCTCTACCGGATATCCTTTAAATTTCCTCGCAGGAACGTTCCAATCAAACAGCAAGTCAAGTTCCTCGTATGTTCGGCCCCTGGTTTCTGGCACTCGGAAGAAAGCCCATATCAGGCACAAACCAGCCAACCCACCAAAGAAGAAGCCCAACTTGCCTTGCATATTTGCCTCTGCAGGGTTGATCATATAGGGAATGGCGACCGTCATTATGATTCCAAGAATGCCCTGTGCCGCCGTAGCTGTTGCAATGGTTTTTGAGCGAACGCGGGTGGCCGAACATTCGGAAAGCAACACAAAGCAGATGGGCCCAACAGAGATGTCGTAGAAGAAATTCCATACAAGCATGAGAGAAGACTCGGCCCAAATCACTGAAGACGGACGGCCTGGAACGCAGTCAAGTATTCCAATGAGGAGTTGTAGAACAGTCAGAGCTGTGAGACCCCAATTAAAGAGGAACCTCCGACCAAATCGAAGCATCAGTACCCATGATACAAGGGTGCCTACGAATCCAACAGCTTTGATTTCAAATTAGTAAACGTGTTATCAGGTGGGAAGAGAGCACTTACCCAAAAATCCAACGGACATGTTGAACGCTTGATCAGTGGGCAGACCAGCTTGTTGAAAAAAGAATGTCCCATAGTTGATGAGATAAATTCCACTCAGAACCTGAGTGCAGTATACACCAATTGATATCTCCGTCCGCTTCCTATTGATAGGTCGAAAACAATCCCAATACGTGCTTCCTGCTTCCATCTCCTGCTCTAGTCTATCGGTTTGCACAATAAACGCCAAGGTTGCTGTGACGTTGACCTTTTCCGAAGCCAGCCTTTCCAGCGATTTTTTTGCGTCTTCCATTCTGTTCTTTCGAACTAGCCACCAGGGGCTCTCGGGTATAAACCAAAGACCAGGAATAATCACCGCGACCCAAAACCATTGCAAAGCAAACGGGATGGAGTACGCCCAATGGTTGTCCAGCTTTTGTGTACCTGCTGTGACTCCATTCGCGAGAAGCTGGCCCATGACGAAGCACAAGTTGACGAAGGAGCTGAGATGTCCACGAAGAGCGAGAGGGCATACCTCGGAAGCGTACGCGGGGGCGATGACAACAAACATGCCGAGGACGAGGCCGGCCAAAAGTTCTCCAGCCAGGAGAAGACGAATGTCCCGCGCGAAGAATTGAATGAAGACGAGGCCAGCGACAAGTAAAACACAAACGGAATAGGTGAGCTTGCGCCCATACCTCTCCATTGGGTAAGCAGCGAAGAGAGCGCCGACTACTTGACCCACGGGGTTTCCCATGCTGAGCCCCATCTGCCAGGGCGCACTGATGATGTAGTCGCCCTCGTAAATGTATCCAAAATCCCTTTGGAACTGCGGGGTAGAGTACAGATTTCCAACGAGTTGAGGATCGAAGGCCAGCATGATCACACCGATGCTCACAAACGCCGACCAGCCGATAGCCTTGGGATACAGCTTCACGGCCTCGGTGAAGGTCAGGTTATGTTCGATGTGGGAGGCCTCGGCAGCATCTTCCTGTGTCACGAGGCTCTTCTTCCTCGCCGGGTCTCCATCGCCGGAAGCAGGCTGCGTGGATGGTCCTGGTTCTGCCATTGTGATGTTTGGTGATGGTGGGAAAGCGGGGTTGGAGTTTGTTGTCTTAGTCTGGTGTCACGGAATGCTCCCTTTATCAATGCTCCCCAGGCGACCATCCATCGGCCCATGGTTATCAGTGGCTTTTGATACCGACCGTGCGGGGAAGAATAACCCATGATAGAAGCCCGGATGTGACGGCACTCATTATCTGCTGGTTTTTCGGACGTTACATTGTAGGATTGGTACCGGCGTATACGCTGCTCATACAGCCGTTATTTGACCAATGATAAGGTTAGGTAACGTTGTGTTTTAGAAATACGCTGCCGATGTTTGGCTGAGGGGTCGGATCACCAGAGGTCCAATTATGGTTAATCGCAGGCTACTTCGTAAGCTTATCCTGGGGTCTTTTCAGTGTATGAGTGGAACAGGAGGAAGAAGCACGTGCTACAAATCTGTGTCTTTCAGCCCGTTCTTGTTGGATTGCAATTCCGAGATCAGTACATGCCACACCAGAATCAATCAATTTCATACGGGACAGGTTGGAATTGATGCATCCTTGCCGAACATTCTATTCGGTATAAATTTGCATAAATGGAATTGGACGAGTACGAGCACTGAGTACCTTAACTACGTAGTTGAACACATCTCCATGAGACTTGATGACCATGTCTGTGCCAAGTGTGTGCCAAATGTCTCCTTGACAATAATCGACTTGTTGCTTCAGCACAGCACTACTGCTTCCTACGACTGACTAGTAGCAGGCTCAAACTTGTACTTCCCTGTGCCTGGGAAGGATAAAATGGCTGACTGTCTAGCAAGCTCACATAGCTTGTATCTGAGTAACGCCCAGTCCAACTCTCCATCTCATATCCACATTGCGTCAAGCTTTGGTAGCATGGTAGCTGTTGTGCTACGCTGATTCATGGGAAGATCATGGTGAATGTGATCAAGGCATTTGTAAAATCCTTTCACTTCTTAGGCGGAAAAGAAAGAGACTTGGGGCGGCAAATCTTTTCTCCTACGCAGGCGACTTATTAGTTATACTGCAAAATATTGCGACATTATGATTTATTCAATTGCTTATTGGAGAGGAAAATCTTTTCTTTTAAAATACCTTGGTCAGAACCCATTATACCCTGATATGCTAACTATAGTTGTATGAACGCGGTGTGAATGGCCAATGCCAAGTCTCCGACCATGCCCATTGTCGGGATCCCTGATGTGCGATATCGCCTTGAGAAATATAGTTTGGTGAAACAACAATGACTGCTTCGAGATTTATATCTAACTTGTATCTAAGGGTCAATATAAATCCCACTTTAACAGAACCACATCTTATGTGGTTAGGGCTTGGCTGGGACTTGCGTTATTCTCGTAGATCAGAAAGCATGTCCGCCAAACATGGCGCTAAATCATCAGAAATAGTTTGCCCCGTACATCTAATAAAATTAATTGTATTGATCGGATGTGGTAAAAGGTGTATATAATTGACTTGATCTTCAGATATCCAACATAGTTCCATGATACAGCCGTGACTCCGAGTTTGAAACGCAAGGGAAAATGAACAACGAAGGCTGAAATGGTGGAAAAAAGGAACCAGTCTTCCCACCATATTGTCACCGGCCCAATGAGTGCTCACCTACCGTTTTGTGATTAAATGAGATTTCTATTGCGTAATTTTATTGATCGGCCCGGGCATGGATTGATCGTGTCGTGTCAGTGCGCTCCCGCCAAGAACTGTTGCTGCAGGATCACCTTTTGGTGGCAAACGCCAGAAAACGAGTTGGGCATGGAATGAAGTTAAGTTTTACATCAAAAAGTGATCGGTTGTTATGCGAGATACAGAAAATTGATTGAAATCTCATCCTGGCCGCCATAAATTGGCCGCGTTCCAATGCTGCTGAAAGGAGTAAGAACTAGTCAAATTGTAGGGCAGGAAGAGTCCTCATGGGAAGCTATCCCAGATGCTTCTTCCATTGATACTTCCCTGTTAACCGAGTAGGTCCTGGGAGGATGTTGGGCCACCATTTAAGTGAACTTACTTACTTCTAGTGCGCTGTTTAGTTAGGAATAGTTTCTGACAGTCGTAGTAGCTGTTTCCCCTAAGTCTAATACCCGGCTGGCCTGCCTTGCAACATTCCCATGACAAAAGACATAGAAAGCAAGTACTAGAAAACTTTGGGCACCTCTGATCTTATCACCGTCGGGAACTCTTGGGAAGAACAAAACTTGTTGGCTTGATCCTGCTCACCCGAGTCTACTTTTCCAAACTTCTGTGGAGAGTCCTGAGAAGCTATCAGCTGAAGTTCGTATTACTGGCTACCTTGAAACGTTCCTGGGACTTTCGGAGACCTAACTGGGGCTTTAAACCCACCAACATGCCGACTCTCTACAGTGCCAAGAGTGCTACGGATGATTTGTAACCATTTTCAGTGGCAAATGATCACAAGGCAAGCAAGGATGAGATTTTCACGATCCACTTTCCGCTCTTTTCAGTGGACTAGTTTAATCAGATCATCAGATAACTTTCCTCCCAACATCCTTCCCCTGTTACTAACCCGCCCACACATGTAGCCTCATGCAAGCACCGGCCAATTGTAAACTCGCCTTCCATGCTGCCTTATGGGTAACCTCGCTTCCGCTGTGCTGCCGAAACTTTCAACTTCCGAACAAGGCAAGATGGCCACATGCCATTAGGGAAAAGTTCGGATGCCAAGGGCGTATTCGCCAAGTGGGATGGTTTATTCCGAGCGATTGTGCCGGTTTTCCTCCGACGCCGTCCCTCCGACGCCGAATCCTCGATCCTGGACTTTGACAGTGAGACGACTAATACTTAAAGGGTTGCCTCCCCTTCCCCGGTGCGTCATTACTATGTCTTTCGTTCTCTCGTCATTGCCAAAGCTAACCCATTATGGCGATCCAGGCGTCAGAAAAAGCGATAGAAACTGGTGTCCATCCTGCCAGCCAGGGTACTGGCGCAAAGGACGAAACCGTCAATTCAGAGAAGGACCTGGAACGCAGCGATCCTCCTACAAAGGACTCCGACAGCGACAAGATCTCCGAAGATGCCCAAGCTGGTGTTCGTGCAATCCAGGGCGCGACAAGTGTCTGGAGCAAATGGCATCTTGCTGCCGCCTACGCTAAGTAAGAAGCAGTCACCTATTTACTGCATACCTCTTCTGTCTCTTGTACTAATGATTTGCCCCGTGTAGTGTCTGGCTCATCTACGTCGTTATAGCGATTCAGAGCAATGTTCAGCGTTCTCTCAACCCGTATGTGACGAGTGCGTTCAAGTTGCACTCGCTCACAGCCACTATCGGAATTGTCTCGAGCATCATCGGTGGATTATGCTACATCCCGCTGTCAAAGATTCTGGATACCTGGGGTCGACCCCAAGGCTTAGCAGTGACAGTATTCTTTTGGATTATTGGATTTATCATGATGGCGGGATGTAATAATGTTGAGACATACGCTGCGGCACAAGTATTCTCAACTATTGGGTTAGCATAAACCCTGGCTCTTGTCCCTGTTTGTTTTTCAAACTCAAAGCGCTGACAAACTTCAAGCTCTACTGGTGTTAGTTACACTATCACTGTGTTCATGTCGGACACATCTAGCCTCAAGTCTCGAGCTCTAGCGTTGGCTTTTGCCTCATCCCCTTACGTGGCATTTACCTGGGTCGGAGGTCCCATCGCACAGTCTCTGCTCAAGGGTGCTGGATGGAGATGGGGCATGGGTCTATGGGCCATCGTTTGCCCCGTCGCTGTCCTTCCTCTGGCCGGCCTGCTCTGGTGGAACCAGCGCAAGGCTGAGAAGCTCGGTGTGATTAAGAAGCCTGAATACAATTTCACCTGGGCAGGGCTGAAGAATTACTTGATCGAGGTGGATCTTGTCGGCTGTATCCTCCTAGCTGGGGGCATGGCTCTCTTCCTACTTCCTTTCAGCCTTTACTCTTATCAAGCCAATGGATGGAGAAGCCCCATGATCATCTGTATGATCGTCTTCGGGCTTCTTCTGCTCGTTAGCTTCGTTCTATATGAGCGTTATGTGGCTCCGGTGACATTCATACCCTTCCACCTGCTCATGGATCGAACTGTGTTCCTGACTGGTGTCATGTTCATCTTCATCTACTTCAACAGCAATGTGTGGGGTTCTTACTTCTCTAGTATGCTGCAAGTGGTTTGGGAGTTGAATGTCGCAGATGCAGGATACGTGAACTCTGCCCACAGAGTGACCCAGTGCCTGTGGGGAATAGCGATTGGTTTCATTATTCGCTGGTCCGGTCGCTTCAAGTGGGTTCAGCTCAGTTTTGGAGTTCCCCTGATGATGCTAGCGGTCGGCCTGATGTACCACTTCCGTACTGACCAGGCTGCGGTCGGCCTGATTGTCATGACGCAGATCTTCGCTGGTGCCTCATCAGGGGCCGTTGTTCTCTGTGGCGAAATGGCAATGATGTCTCCGTCTGATCATCAACACATCGCCGCCATCATCGCCATCTTGAACCTCTTCTGTAGTATGGGTGGTGCTGTCGGTGGCACTGTGTCTGCCGCCATCTGGACTGGCGTCTTCCCCAAGAAGTTGAAGGAGTATCTGCCTGAAGGAACGAACATTGCCCCCATCTATGGAGATTTGAAAGTACAAATCGGCTACGCTTCGGGCTCTCCGGAGCGTCTTGCCATAAAACGAGCTTATGCTGATTCCCAGAAGCTCATGTTTACTACCAGCTTGTGTCTCCTGGCTGGAGCTTTGATATGTGTCGTCTTCTGGAGAGATATCAAGGTTAAACAGATCAAGCAGACAAAAGGCGTGGTTGCTTAAGCTTAATTTAAGGCATTCACAACCGATAACCAGATGGAACGTCCCTGGGTGGCTTGGCGATGCTCCCCAAAGATGCACATGAGGATGGGTGTCTGTAAATGGCCTACTTCATTGCGGACTATGTTTCGCCTGAATGCTGCAAGTTTCAATTTCGAGAAGGACATGGCCTGGTCACATTATCTTTCTCGGCAATAATTATTCAACGCCCTAGATTTATCTAGTCTACCGTTTCGACATCAATCCGTCAAAAATGTAAGGGAAAATATACGGCGAGTTCCTAGGGAAGCATTTACATTTAATCCATCTGGCTAGAGAAGATAACAGCCTTGTTCGACGATGCTAGCGTGGAGTTGACTTTGAAGAGATGGAAGAAAAAAACCACCTTTCATGCTTTCTTTCAAAGGTGAACAAGTGGGCGTCAGGATAACAGGGACTGCAAAAGTGTTTTAATCCTAACTTTCCAATACAGGCCACGACGTAGGTAGACAATAGTTGTTAATAATAATACTCAATTATTGAGTAATTATTTGGCAATGTGATCTGCCTACTATTAATTAGGAAAGATTATTATGTGACTGACTGCCACATTATTTCTGTTGAGGTGACTTTGCAGTCCTGTTTTTCTGACAGCCACTTGGTGAAATACAAGAATGGTAGTATTGGCTGGGTACTTTGTTCAACCGGATCGAGGCCAGACTTCACTTCTCTTGAAGTAAACTGTCTTCGTCCAACTTCATCATGTCGGAACCATTCGCAGACCAAAACCAGATGCACACTAATCTGACTGTCCTTCCAGTGCCTTATCTAGGGCGGATTTGAGTGGAGGAAGAGAATTCTGAATGATATCCATAACTTTGGACCACTCTACGGTCTTCGTCCCGTGGCCGTACTCATGTGCCAACATGTTGCGTTGTAAGCGTAGTGTTTCCGCATCAGAGAAAACCTCTGGGAAGCGGACTTTCGTTTTGGTATCGCTTATTGCACCGAGGTTCTCAGAAATTGCTTCTATTTCTTTGACGATCGCAGCTCGAATGATGTACCCGGGTGATGAGGGCTGGGCCTTCTTCAGTTTCTATGGATTAATTGAATTAGCTTCGCCATCGTGAGAGCAGTCTCAGCAGATATACCGCTATATCGATTTGATGGCTCTCAACGTTTGATTGAATTTGTACCAACGAGACTCTGGCAGCAACCAGACATTTCAGGGTTGCTTCGGGAATCTTAGTTACTACCCGCATGGCAGTTTGATTCTCAAGTCAGATAACCAGAAATGGAGTGGAAACGTCAGTGGTATTATCCAATGAAGGGGCACTGGTATCGTCAAAAGAAAGGTCAGTGGTGTTATCAACAGAAGTCTCGAAGGAGAGAAAGATACGCGGGGAGGGTATTGAGTTTTTCAGCACCTCTGTAGCTTTTGTTGTGATCATGAAACTAGATCCTACAACTTGTTTGACGGAGTGAGCCATGGGATCCTAAACAAACCATCGGATGTTATCATGCGCGCGCAAACTGCCGCAATGAAACAGTTGAGGGTCCCCATTGTTTGTCATCGTGGTGCGTTGAATGTGAGATGAGATGCTATGACTTTAGAAAAGAAAAAAGGAGGAAAAGAAGAACATCAAATCGGCATAAAGACATACTCGGAAAAGGGAGCAAAAATAAATCACCGTGGTGTTGAGTGTCAATATGCTAGGCCAAAGTCAAGTCATAGGTGAAGTCGAGGTGAAGTCGAGGTGAAGTCACAGCAGAGGTGAAGTACGACCTGCCCACAGATGAGGCGTCACCGCATGATTCTGCCCCTCGATTGCTGTGTCTTGAAAGCGGTGAGTCAGAGGTACGTTTCTACCTTTGCCCAAAATCTCAAAGGCAGTGGATAAGAATTCACCAAACTCATACTTGGAATCTGCCTCAACCTTCCAAACAATCTTTTGGCACAAACGCTCGGCATCAGCCCCCTTAACTTACGCATCAGCTTAACGTCCGATTGAAGTCTTCCGTACGGCCAAACTCTCCCCGTCAACCTCTCGAACTGTTCGCCAATCGTTACAACCAACGCGTAGGCATCGGCCTCGCAAACAACGCGCTGGCACCAGCCACGTGAACAGCTGGCATCGGCTTCATAACCAACACATCGGTATCGACCTCATAACTGAGAACGATGATGATAGCAAGTGCGATATCTAACGCGAAATTGTTTGCCTCTCTTCCTCGTTCCTTCTCTCACCATGCACTTCGCCAATCCAAGTTCGGCTGTCGGCCGCAATTTCTGAAAACTCCAGGATTCCGAGTCGGTGGCGGTTGCTTTCCACGTCTGTCTTCAACCACTTCTGCTGGAAATGATCACGTCCTGCATGAGATTGAAAAGCTGAAACTTACTTCCGCCAAAGAATTTCGCCGCCCCGATTTCCAAAACGTTCTTTGGGTCGGCGTTTGTGGATCGTTTTCTCAAGGCACCGAAACATATTTCAGCGATGTAGACATCATTGTCATCGAAGAACCCAGATTGCCATCTGCACCGCTATCGTTTGTCTTCATCGATGAATGTTTGCTGCGCGTTTGGAGCCGAAAGGTGGATGCCTATCATATTTTCTTACGCAATCCGAAAATATCTGCGTCGATTCCTTATGACAAGATGCAAGACCTCATCGAAAGCCGAACGATTTATATCCGAGACGAGCAAGCTTGCTCAGAAGTTGTCCATATTCGAGATAACTCGCAGGAAAAGATTGCCGAAGCACATGCTCATTATGCGGAAATCGTGGAGCGTATTGACCGTCTGGTAGAGAAGTATGCTGCCGTCTCAATCGATGTAAGTTTATTCAACGCCCCAAGTCCTTTCGTCAAGCGTTAATCATCATGCAAAGTCCTTGTTAGCGAGGGATGATTCAGAACGAGAAGAATTCCTTGCGCAGGTATCCTCTATCCCAAATGAATTTGGTGTTAAGCTCGACGATGATATAATGCATTGGCTTTTTCGATGGCAATTCCTGCCAAAAGTAGATGCAATGCGCGATCTCCTGGACTCATTGAACGAGATTGCGGAGAAGAATTCCCAACCCGCATTTCAGAAAAATCGTTTAGTCTGGGCACTGCACCTCGTTCAGAGTCATGATAAGGATGGACTCGGATATCTTTCGCGAGAGGTTAAAAGAGAGATCCTACCGAGTCTTGCCGAAACGATGGAAATTGGGACATGTATGGAGGACATATATACCCAAACAAGATCTAACCCAGATGACTCGTGGATGAGGCGAATGGTCAGGGGAGTCATCAGGTTGTAAATTCACAGCACTGAATTATCACCTTCATTAAACCCTGCTGTTTAAGATCTAAGATTGGTCAAACCTTCTCTCGAATTTCAGTGGTGGCGGCAAGAAGCACAATGGGAAAGGCCAGGCAGTAAATGATGTGTTCGAGGTAACTGGGCAAATTTGTCTCATGAACAACATTCCCAGGACGTTTTCTTATATGACAGGCTGACGTGGGAAGCCCAATGTCTTTAATTAATCCGTTATTTAGAACAGCTCGAGACACAGAAAAGTAATAAGAAGTTTTGTCCCGCATCTTGTTCCTAAAGAGGATGTTGTAGAAGATTAGAATTTGACAGCGATGACGAGTGTAGGAATGACCAATAGTTTATAACACAGCCGTATCTAACACAGAGTACAATATCGGCCAGAAGTGCTACTGACCTGGGCCAGCTGTCCACTACAGTAAATTAGAAGCTGACACGTTGTTCACCATCTGAGTAGGCTTACACTATCGATCACGCTACTGATTCCTGAATTTGAGTAAACAGAACATTGCATCATGGACGGGCAGTTCGCATTCTCTCACGGAGGCTAACAAGGTCTGGGTTTGATTTGTGAAACATATTGTCCTTTTCCCTGGGCTGATAATGTAGATCAGTGCTATGCTTTGCCATCTAGGGCTACAAGGTGCTCGACCGTCTGGTTGTCACCAAAGCTCAGATCTTAATATTCTTGACCCAGCTGCCGTTGTGAGTCCACTAGAATCAAACCTGATACCGGCCATTCCTCTACTTTACTGCTTACACACCCTCAGAAAGGGCCAAGAAGTTGATTTTCTCCTCCTTCTGTTTCCCTTTTGCTTAAACCAGTAAGGTGCAGAGACCAGACCACCAGGTGGCTCAAAGTAGATCGGAACCCAAGGGCCCGGAGTTTCACTAGTGGCACCACGCCCCATGCTCTTCCCATCACATGAATACGAAATCACGCTTTGTTCGATGATTGGTACGGATGGCCTCTTATAAGCCTTGGTGTCACGCAGATCCATGGACCACGTCCATGCAGCTGCAGGGGTGGTAAATCAGCCTGGGACAATCAGCTCACTGGAAGTACGGGAGCCATTTAGGCTGTTTTCGAATATATATATGAGATACCAGCAGCACTAAACGATACCCCAAGACTACAGATTATTTCAAGCTGGTTAAAATAAAATTAAATAATCAGACGCTTATATCATGATGAAGTTCTCCGGCATCGCAACATTGTTGCTCGCAAGTCTGGAGGGCGCGCTTGCTCAATGCTCCCTTCCGTCGACTTACCGCTGGACATCAACCGGGTCTTTGGCTGAACCGAAATCAGGATACGTCTCACTCAAAGACTTCACTCATGTCACTTACAACGGACAGAATCTTGTATATGCTACTAATCATGATTACGGATCCAAGTGGGGTTCGTTGAACTTTGGGCTCTTCTCCGACTGGAGCCAAATGGGTTCCGTCAGCCAAAATGTCATGAGCGCGGCTACTGTCGCCCCAAGTCTCTTCTACTTCCGCCCGAAGAATATTTGGGTTCTCGCATACCAGTGGGGTGCAACTGCATTCTCTTACAAAACCTCCTCAGACCCAACCAATGCGAATGGCTGGTCATCTGGGCAGCCGTTGTTTTCTGGAACTATTTCCGACTCGTCAACCGGTCCCATAGATCAGGCTATCATCGGTGATTCGCAGAACATGTATCTGTTCTTCTGTGGCGACAACGGCAAGATCTACCGCAGCAGCATGGCAATTGGCAATTTCCCCGGGAATTTCGGCACTTCATCGACCATTATATTGAGTGACACCACCAACAACCTGTTTGAGGCTGTCCAAGTCTACACAGTCTCCAGCGGTGGATACCTCATGATTGTCGAAGCCATCGGTTCACAAGGACGATACTTCCGCTCCTTCACTGCGAGCAGCCTCGGCGGATCGTGGAGCCCGCAGGCGGCGACGGAGTCGAATCCCTTTGCTGGCAAGGCAAACAGTGGCGCGACTTGGACCAACGACATTAGCCACGGCGAGCTGATCCGAAGCAACCCTGACCAGACCATGACAATCGACCCCTGCAGCTTGAAGTTCCTCTACCAGGGGCGATCGCCAAGCTCCGGTGGTGACTACGGACTTTTACCTTACCGTCCAGGGTTGCTTACTTTGCAGAGGTGAGGGGCACGCAGAAGATTATTCTTGGCAAGATCTCGTCAGACTTATGGCAAGAAGGACGAGATGGGTAGTAAATGTTTCGATGTTCTGTTCCATGTGCGATATGAGAAGAGTCACTGTAGCCACGAGGCTGCATGTTTCACTGGTTGATCTCATATATCATAAATTGAATTTGAATATCTCATCCGCGTACTTTCAAAATCTACAATCAAGTACACTCTTGCACATAAAAGCTATGAAGAGGTAGGGTGTAATGGCATGCGGAGCAGCTGGTGAACAAATATACCTCTTGACATGGCAACGCTATCTTGTGGTATTAATTCCGGAGAGGGCGGGATATTCAGGCTCCATCTGTATTTCGGGTGTTAAATAGGGAAAGAAAGGTTAGATTAAGAAGGACAGCTGCCTGAACATTGACCACACTGGTATCGCCCGAGGATTTTGGACTGGCTAGAAAACACCGACCAAGAATCTTGCCCCGGAATTTTTCGCATTGAAATACAGCTACGCCCTCACTTCCACGGTGAAAATTTTTGGTCCCGTTGGACGGGTAATGTCAACGAATGGCATGCAGTGTCCCGGGAGGTGGTACGTTTCAGAAACCCAACATGACGATGCCCAGAGAAGCAAAGAGCTGACAATGATACATCAACCTGCAGCTTCTTCCTCAAAAGGATATGATACGAAGCGAAAAGAGGGAATGCTATGCAAAGAGAGAGAGAAAGAGAGATGATGCGAAGCAAGAAGAGTTTATACGATGTGATGCCGCAAGGTCTGCCTAATTGGGTGCGGTCGGAACGATGATTCCGAAATTAAGGCACAGCATCCTGGACTGTGGAGTGTTTCCATTTGTGCCACCGTAAGCTCTATTGACGGCTGTGTGATTGGCTCCGGTAGATCTAACCGTTTCACTTTATGGCCGATATCTTGGTCGAGGAGAGAATAGGGACTGAAGTAACATCGTATAGCATTTTATGGCGCCTCATCTGTTTTTCCTTCTTAGGCAAGGGGGGTTCCCATATTGGTAAGCATGCGAAGGGCGAGGTTCGCTCAGAGTCTAGAGCAACGTAGATAGCTGAAGTTGAGCCAAGACCATTCTCAAACTTGACCTCGTAACCTCTGACAATCCACAGCTTGGCGGCTGCACATGCATGAATCCACCAAATCGCCCAAGAGCAGAAGAGACGGCTTTGGAATAGAATATAAAGCCTACGATACGGCCTCATGGAAACGTTCCTCACATTGCATTTCTCACCATAGAGTATCAGCGAGTCTGTACTTGGTTTTACCAGCTGTTTCAGTAACTCTCGTTTCAAGATTGTTCATTCGTTTCTGATAAAGCCCAGGCCGGCTTCAATTTTATCTGTCTCTTTGCAACGAAATAAATTTACCCTGGAAACTCTACACCAGTGAAGATGAAGTTCCTTCTTGTCCTCGGCGCTCTTTCCCATGTGGCCTCTGCCCACTACTTCTTCGACAAGGTCATCTCCAACGGGGCTGCCACCGAAAAATACGTTCGCAAGTCAACTCGACCAACCGCGTACAACCCCATCAAGTTTTCCTCCAACCCCGCAGCAGACCTTCGAGACGGCTCGACCATTGACGGGCCCGATGCTCGCTGCAACCAGGGCGCCTTCACAAACGCCGCCAGCACAGATGTCATAACCGTCGCCGCGGGTTCCGAGGTTCGCGTCCAGCTCGGCGTCAGTGCCACCATGGCGCACCCTGGCCCTGGCCTCGTGTACATGTCGCGCGCGCCCGGCGACAACGTCAAGGCCTACGATGGCTCCGGCGACTGGTTCAAGATCTTCGAGGAAGGTGTCTGCAGCCAGAGCGCAGACTTCACCAAGGACGCCTGGTGCACCTGGGACAGGAACTGGCTCGCCGCTACCATCCCCTCCGACACGCCCGACGGCGAGTACCTTGTCCGCTTCGAGCACATCGGCATCCATCGCTCCCACGTGAACCAGCCCGAGCACTACGTCTCCTGCGTCCAGGTCAAGGTCACCGGGGGCGGCAGCGGGAGCCCGAGCCCTACGGTCAAGTTCCCCGGCGCCTACGCATCCACCGACGACTACGCCAACTTCAGCATCTACGGTGGATACAAGGCTTTCAAGATGCCTGGGCCCGCTGTTTGGGCAGGCGGCAACTCTGGTTCTGGTAATTCGACCCCGGGGGCTGCTGAAACCACTGCTCCGGCTTCTTCTGTCGTTCCTGTCCCTGTCTCATCTGCAACCCCTGTTCCGACTTCCGGTGAAGGATGTGCCGCTAGGTTCGGGCAGTGCGGCGGGAAGTCGTTTGATGGTGCCAACTGCTGCGCCACGGGCCAATGCAAGGAGGTAAATCAGTGGTATTCCCAGTGCATTTAGGTTGGTGAGATATCCGACTGGGGTGTAAATCTCATTTGCTGCTAGGATCTTAAACCTTTCACCGTTTTGGAGCCCCTTCAACAGGACGCTCTATGTTGTAGATACTTAGATTTGGGTAGTTGCAGGTCAGGCTTTACTCTGTCACTAGGCTTGGGCAGGACCTTGGGCCGATCAATAAAATAGAGTCATCCAGCTATTCAGGAATAGCAAAGTGAACTGATCCATGATTTCAGACTCGCGTCTAAGGCAGCTACGTCATCCTGCCAATGGCCTTCCTGGCCTGTTCAATTTGTGAAAAGGTATCCGCGACGTACTGGCATAGGCAATGTGGTAGAGTTACCACAACCCAAAGAAGCCACGCCTGAAGGGGTGAGGCGGGCACTATGAAGATCCATGTCGATGATGAGAACTGGGGTACACGTTTGATTGTGTGAGTGAGTGAAGTACCAGGCATCATAATACAAGGGGGGGGCTTAAGCCCAGCGACACAACTACAAACTGGGCCAAAGAAACTTCCATGACTGAATGGAGAGAACTAATGCGAGGAGCCAAAGAGGCATTGATCATACTGGAGAGGGCATTCATTCAGACCGCTAAGGTGCAGCAGCGAGGACCTACGTTGTCATGGCATCCCATATCCGTAGATCGGTGCCAGGATGTTTCACAGCTTGGCAAGTAGGGAACTAAAAGTAACAGCCTACCGGATGATGTTCAGACAAGATTCTGTGGCGATGGATCATTGTGTTACAGGCTTAAAGCTCTCGCCAGTTTGTCGAGTTGGGAAAGTCTTCACCAGCACTCCGCACGGCATAACCATAACGCCAATAGCGAGTACTTTCCCAAAAGCTTGCATGTCCTTGCGCATGCCCCTTCTCAAGGAGCCCATGGTATAATTCTCGGTCGGTCGCTGTACTGGATCGTCGCATCGTTATTTTATCGCGTCTCGGGTGATGTGTGTTGACGGTTGACGGTTGATCGGCTGCAAGTCAGAAGACAGCGGTAACACCAACTGACCAGCCGTCCATAGACTGGAAACCTTCGAAATCAAACACAAGTTGACTTATGTTCCGTAGTTAGAAGAAGAAGTGCCGATAACGGGTGGCATAGAGTCGCGGAACGGTCGGACGGGGGACGCCAGATGTTGTGTCCAGGATTTGCAGCGCCTTCGTGAGAGCGTTCGGGAGAATTTATGTCTGAAATGTCTCAAGGATTCATAACCGTCTTGAGAACACTGGGGTGCTTCTGTACAGACAGAATTTTCTGGTCCAGTCAGGTTGGCCATTGCAAGATGTCTAACAAGAGAGGGAAGGTAGCGCGTGTAGGAAATGCCCCTCAGTTTCTGCAATGATTGAGGGAATTAAAACGTGCTGCCGACCAGAGCTTCTTCTGTCCGTTGTCCAACCATATTAAAGGCCGCATATGCAAGATGTAGGCGTAACCCTTCTTGGCGGCGCTTCGTCTCTCGCCCCAAGTCTGCCAGACAGGGGTCATACTCAGCTGAAGCCCGGTTTCCCTTCTCACTGGAACTTGGAGAAAACTACGCTAGGTTATCTCTTGTGCCTTGTGGTTATGCCCTGTTCTCGCGTTGTTTGTCAGGTACTCGGTCAGCGGACGTGTCGCTTCAATGCTTCGTCCGTGTTCATGGAACGTAGGAATGGGTTACGGCAAACTCTCACTCTGCGTGACTACATTGTGGCGATAATTATGAATTGGCTAGGCTCCTCGCATGAGGTAATCAAAGATACCATCCACGTAGGCTCCTTATCTACTGACAAATGGATGTGCGACGCCCTACTAGCCCGCTTGGATTGAAGAGGCTATGTGGCCAGGCAGCCTGGTGCAGCCTAATGAGAGGACGTCCAAAACGCGTTCCCAAACGCCCCTTCGGACTGGTGTTTTATTTATTACTCAAGTCACACGCAACGGCCTTATGCCAAGGAGCAAAAACAGCCGACTCAAAAATGCCTAGCTCCAGAGTGACAGGAGAATAAGCTTAGCGGGCATGAAAGAGGGGAAAGGGCCGGCCGGAGTGGCGATTTGTACGGAATATTGAATTTCTTACAGCCGATACGTTGGCTAGAGAACAAGTTGCTCGCGCTCTCGGGACTGAGAGTTGAATCCCGTTGCACGCCCGAGTCGGCCTTGATGGTGGAGATCCGGTGCTTTGCGTGAAGGCCTGTATGGAAAGTGAGAGCTCTCCAGGTAGGCCAACGTTAAGGGAATCGGGGCGTGGGTACATGCAGGATCTACGCATCCCCTGGTGGCCCTGGTCCCTGTATGTGAAGCGGAGGACTGAGTATTGGCTCACAGGAGCTAGATCTCTAGAAACTGTCGGAAGTACCAATCAAATTTGCTTCTTGTCGACTAAAAGCACGTCTCTGTAGGACCACATGTTCTAGTCCTCGTAGGTGCATATGTTGACTTCTCTATTGTGCATCAGTTCCAAGCGTCAATATATGCTTAGTCCAAGCCCACTCGTTCACCCACCACCATATACAGTCAAGAAAGGCCGGATGTCGAGATGCCACGGCACACCACGCCGGGCGAGTTTCGCGACTCCCACTTCCCGTCACTGACTAATATTGATTTTGACCAAAACTAACCTCGACCGCAGGGAGTTTCCTGGAGTGCTTGGCATCTTGGAATGCTTACTATCTCCGGTTACCCCGCTGCCAACAAGCCAAGCACGCACCAGCGTGAGGGTCCCAATGAAGAAGTGGACGGATCAGGGCTCCCTGGCAAAGCCAAAACTGTCTGATGTGGCCGGGGCAGGAGGGCTAGCAGAATGCCTATCAGCGCGATCACGTAACGAGGATTATGCTTGTATTTTGTCAGCCGGAATCCGTAATGATTAGATCGCAGCGTCCGTTATTGTCTAAAAACAGACCTGCCAAGCCCCAAGGTCTCCATGTGTGCTCTGGTAGGTTGATTTGTCGAGGAGGGAGCGCGGAGATACGCCAGAGGCTTTCCCGAACCCCCCTGCTTTCTGGGAATCCTGGCTAGGCGCCTACACAGGCATGTCCAGTAGTCGCGGCTAAGTGAGCGAGCCCCGTGGCAAAGAGAGCCTACCTAGGAAGCGCAGTGCACCCTGTGGCTATGCTGTGTCTGAGTGCGTGGCCGGGATGAGTGCGTGGCCACGCGAGGGCGAGCGACCGGCCAAGCTCTCACATTTGAGGCTCTGCGTCCTCAAAATTGTCACACAAATTTGACGAACAAAAAGCGGTCGATGAGGGTATATAGATAATTTAGAATCCTGAGTGCCGTCATCCTTTTGGAAGATCTTTCTCGACCTTGAGATCCAGCTCTGCCACCTTGCCGTTGTGTCGCTCGTAGAACTGTGATCCCGCAGAGAAGCCAGCATCATATCATGGCTGTCATACTCGCTACAGTAGGCCTATACGGGGGCCTGTCTGCCCCAGGCCGGTTGACTGGACCAAAAGCTGCTGCAAGCTATGCCCCCCCGGCCACCGGTACTACGCAAGCCATCAACACCCGCTATAACGGAACAAATGGACCACCAACGGCTCCCAACGTTGCAGCTCTCACCACTCGCCTTGCCCTCTTTGGAGTGGTTGGGGATTCTCTACGCGCCCAGTGCAAGCCCGCTACTGGTAGGTGTGATATCCGCCCCTGCAGGTCCATCGCTTTGCGAATATTGTAGCTGACTGCTGTCTTGCACTAGCGCTGGGTTCCAGCACACTCGGGCTTGGTTCTAGCCGTTTCAGCGCAAAATACACTGCTCTCGGCCTCGATGTAACCAGCGGTTTCTATCTCACCTGCGCGCTTCAGTTGGCCAAGGCTGTGTCCGAGTCCTCTCTTGACATCAACATCTTGGAGCTCTGCTGCAAGTCCGCCGGATGGATTTCGGCGATCATCTATCAGCCAGAGGGCAGCACCCAAGGACATTATGAGGGTGGTGTCTTATCTCCACCCGCGAAGCGTCGTGCAACCCGGGGCAAGGCGAGATCAAGCAGGGCGAAGAGACCAGCCAATAACCACGATGAGGGCGAAGAAGACGGGGAAGAACAACCACCACGACGCCGACCACAGCCAGAGCCAATCGACCCCACCAAGCCACCCAGGCGCTATTTCGCATGTCCCTTCTACAAGTACGATCCCGTGAGACACTGGAGATGCTACCGCAAGTACGAATTCAAACGACCGTACGATGTAACAACCCACCTTGAACGCCTGCATGTCATCAGCGATTACTACTGTGCTAAGTGCTTCAAAGAATTTGACGACGAACGGAGATGGTGCGAGCACGACACCGGTGCTTGCCTGGAAATCTCAGGTCCGGAGCGTCTCTGGAAGGAGGACGTTGATGACCTCCTTGGAATCCCGACTAGCCGTGGCACATGTGATGAGGACAAATGGTACTGCCTATGGGATCGCGTTTTCCCAGGCGTGAACCGCCCCAGTTCGCCGTATGTGAGTGAAGGCCTTGACGAGGCACTGGCCGTCGCGCGCGAGAATGGCTGGCGCAGGCTGGAGAGAGCCCTGCCCGGCATCCTGTCTGACAATGGATTCCCCATCGAGGACGGGGATTTGCACACCCTCCTGGGCGATTTGGTCAACATCTTGGTTCCCGAGACCACGGCCGCAATGACGATAACCCAGCCTTACCAGCGACCCTTTCACCGCCGCATCCTCGACCGTTTCCAGAGCAGCTGAGTTCAACCCTCTTTGACAGCTAGTATGCCCCTCCATCCATGATCTTAGCGATGGTGTGCGGCCCCAGTGCGGCCCGGCGGTGGCCTCCATGAACTAAATAAGCTCATTAGGAGCACGGTAGATGAGGAAGTAGGGGTATCCCCGTTGCGGATGGTGCCATCTAGCTTCAGTTTTAGTGGCGGTCGATTTGGTCCTGTACCTTGCGTTTATTTGAACCTACCTGCTATTTGATTCCCTGCAAGGCAGAACCAGTTTTTATGTTACTGTTTTTCAGTTTGCTCGTCTTTTCCCGCAGTGACCATAAATATCGTTAGTTGCAAGGCCGTACCACCCACTTGAACGGAATGACAAGGCCGTAACGGTGCTTAACTGGATCATAGGCGTAGCGCACTGGACCGTGTTAACCAGCACGAGTCAAGGCCCTGCACTAAAATCTTAGCCAAGTCTCGTTTGAAGAAAGCCGCATCATACTCCACCTTGCTGGGCTGGGGAGACCCTTGAATACATGCATTCAAGTCGTCGAGGTTTGCATCGTTTGCTGGGCTGAAAGGAAGTGTGGTGGCAACTGTCTTGAATTAACAAGCATCTAGTTATCAACGCTGCGTCGCAAGAACAGGCAAATGTCTAATGACCGAGAAGCGACATGGCTTGATTGCCACCCGATCATTAGGATCCACGACAAGGGTTCGTCAGGGCATCCCACTGCACTAATAAAAGACCAGCAAGGGCCAGTGAAGCTTGGGCACTTCGGAGTGCTCACCACGCAGCTTCAACCATAGCAGTGTCCGTTTCTTAGCTAAAGAGAGCATTTTGATTCGATCGTCGGAAGTCTCAATGCATAGTTGGATTGGTAATTGAACAGCTAGAGATGGGGAAATGGCCACATATATATGCCTAAGGTATGTTCTGTTGACCATCGCCTCGTCGCTCGCCTTAGAAGATTGCCTTGTTGAACTGAAGCAGTTCGCACACTCATGATACACATGAAAATCATACCGAGGGGGTCCTACCCATCACCCTCGCTTACTCGTGGCTGAACTAGCCGCCTAACTACAGCAGATGACCAAGATGGAGAGCATCACATTTGCGACAACACATTTGGGCTCCAAATACGCACGCTCGTCAGCACAGCCGTCTGTGATTGCACATGGGCGACCACAAAAGGGCTCCATCATTGCCCCCGGGCACTATCCTATGCGAGCCTGGGCGGCCAACATTACCACAACTTGTCGTGCTGTCATGCGCCACGCTGGCCGCAGGTATACGGCCAAATCGTCACTTGCCAGGCATATCTCGGCTACGGAAGATGGCGTCACCACTCTTATCCTCTCCATTCCCGTAACACTCATGCTCTAGAGCAGGGCTAGGTGTAGAACTTCGTTGCGAACCAATCCGAGGTTAGGTACGAATTTCATTGTGTATGTTACTTGCTAATTGGAAAATAAGAGCAGAATTCAGCCGCTTTACCGAGGAGCTAATTGTGTTGATAGAATCCAATATCCAGCAATCAACGTGCCGTTTAGTAAAGCCTCCGATGAAGTATTTGCAATCCCTTGAGTACCACAATCGATTTTTGGAATCTCTCTCCAGCATCTTTGCCCCCCAAGTTCTGCTGCTTGAGACTGTGATTTAACATGCCCTTGTTGAGATATTAAATTGTTTCTAATCTCCAAATACCAATCCGGGCGTGGGCAAGAAACTGTAACTTCGGCGCTTGGGGGTACAATCCTCTGAACTAGACCATCGAGTTCTGGGAGAGCATCCATAGTCATAACGTCGCGATTGCGGAAGTCAGCACCAGAGGATAAATACTCACCAGTCCAGGGATCTGTAAACTGCCTTGTCTCACCAAAGCAAATCCTGAGTTGCTGCAGGGAAGGGAAGGTGAACTTCCCAGCCTCATGAGTGGATTTGATCCCAAGCGTAGGAGGCAGGCCGGTGAACGCCTCATTCAGGTCCACAACAGCTCTATCAAACACAATATCAAGGGATGTCATCATGCTTATGATATTGGAGCTCATTATGTTTTGGATTCCGAGAAGAAGCACTGGAGATGAGATATGAAAGGTGTTCAGCCGGAACAAGATTTCATGCGTTTCCATGTATCTATTCAAGCGAAAGCTCGGAATTAGTATGAAGTCTTCGACGATACGCTTGCAGGTTCTAACTCACGCTTGGCGGCAGCTCAGAAGCCAGCCGTAAACACCCACGAAACACTTACTCGGCCACGCACCTGGCCACAGAGGACAATAGCCTCGTCCAGCCAGGCAACGGTCGGCATGAGGTTCATGTAGGGTTGAGGCACAATGATTCTGCCTTCGACCAAATGGGAGGCGCTTTTCCGTTGGTGGCTGCCTGTGGCATATGCAGCTCAGCCACCTCCATTCCTTCCTCTTGGTGGTGTCATATGTGCTCACTTCGTCTACCATATCCACGTCCGGGCTATAACACTCAAAAGACAAAGGTCGAATCTTGGCGTGGGCACAGAAGTGATAAAAGCGACCGGTGATGATTTTTGGCTGTCCCCTCATCTCATAGAAAGGGTAACGAAGGCTCAAGTCCAAGTGGATGGTCTGGTTGCCGAATGCCTCCACAAGAATCATTTCCCGGATCTCGGGTGGCAGTTTCGTGAAGAAGGGACTACGGTTGGCGTTATTGCCCATGGCAGTTCGCCCCAGGTTGACGAAGGGAGTTCGGGCGAGCTGGACGCATCGATGTGTTGTCGTGGTCTTCCTCTCGCAAATTTGTTTTAGCTGCTGCTTTGCGTGCTTCGAGTCACGCAGTTTACGGTTGCGAGGGGACCAGGGATAATACAGTGACCAACGAAGCCTCCAGGCAGGTCCATAACGACGGCCCGGCCTCTGGATACAGTGGTCGTATATCAAGTCCCACAAGAAGGCAAAGAATTCATCGACTGTTTCCGCGCCCGTTCTCATACACCGGCGAATCTGGTTGTCTCCTTTATAGCCGAGCTCGTTGGCGAGTGTCGCATAGAGATTGCGGAGGCGCTCTTCACGCTCTGCCTCGTCTTCTGCGTCCATGCTCAGATGAATGGAGAAGGTAAATGGGCCTCGGAAGCTGCGATGTCAAATGAAGGAGTTGGTGGGGAGGCTTTTGCGGGGCAGGAGCTAAAGACATCAGAGATGGTGAATTCGGTGTTCACGATGGAGACAAAGACTAAAAGGGATTATAGATACGGAAATTCTTCCTTGATTCCTAATTCCAAAGGATGAAAACTCAAATTGTCTCTTATATGCTGGAGCTGCAAATGACACGTGGCTGCAGACTAGGCTGCCGAAGTTTCCCAAGTTTAGGCTTCCGAATTGCATGCATTCTCTGTTTTTCCGCCATAGGTGGCATCTAAACAGTGTTTTGATGCCTGCAGCATTTAAAGCTTAAAAGGTGATTTGCGCAATTCGAGTGCTGGGGAACAAATAATCACATCTGCTTTTGTTCAAGACCGGTAAGCGAAGGACGAATTGACATCAATTGGCTGTGATGTAAAACTCAAAGATACAGAAGATCAATGCTACACACCACCTTGTTCATCATTTCTAATTTACAAATACGTATACAATCATTTAAATAGTCATTTTGACATTTGACGACTTGCATTCGTTACAATCACGCCTGAGCATTTGCGGCTATTATCGGTCCATCCGAACGTGATGGCACACCAGATATAGGTACATCCTGATCAGCAACAGGGAGACATTCACACCTTCATAGCAAGGCGCAAACACGAAACTTTCTCCATATGCTATCATCTAGCCATCTCCCGACGACCGAGCTCGACAATTGAAAGGGAGAGTATGAGGACTGCGTGCATGCGAAACTTGGAAACCCAAGCCAATAAGCGGCGATGCCAGCTTACCGCATTGCTCTGCTGATGACTGGCTTTGACCAGCTGTAAACTCTGGAATTCGTGCTGCAGCGCCATGTAAGAGCGGTTTTGTTCTGCAAGCTCAATTGCGACCTTCCGATGGTCATCCCTCGCGGCGTCCCTTTCGGCCTCCATCGCCCTAATGGCATTGAGTATCGCCGAGTTCTTCTTGCCAAGCTCAGTCGCTTCTGTTCTCACAGCGCTCATTTCCTCATTGATGCGAGAACACTCAGTCTCTAGATGCTGCGTCCGCTCAGTTGCAACGACCAAGTCTCCGCGCAATAGATTGAGCTCTTCGCTGAACGCAATGTTCTCCTCCTTCAGATGGGATCTGTCGGTCTCCATCCGCTGCCCCTCCTCGTTCGCTTCCAGTAGCTCATTGCGTAGCTTCTGCATTTCTTCCACGAGTTTGTCTCTTTCCCCTTTTATGGTGGATGCTCCAGTACTTGACTCCAACTCTCTCTCCTTTGCTTTCGCCAGCAAGTTCTGTAATGAACCCAATTCCACTCGCAGCGATTCAATCTCCTGGTCTGCCTTCAACTTGGACTCATTGAGCTCCGCCGTGGCCGCGGCCAACTCCTCTTCCAACTTCTTGGTCGGCCCCGCCATCTGACCGCGCCCCTGCTGAGAATTGCTGGGTCTTGGAAGCAGCTCAGCCGAGGGGTCCCACCAGTCAGACATGGAAGTGCTCGAGGAGCCTCGTGAATGGCCCTTGCGCTGTTGTTGCGCGGCCGCCCTCCCGACGATGCTGACCCAGCGGTCTGTCACGTCTTTTGCTTGGGGTTTGTGGTAGCCATCGCACAGGCAGAGGAAAGCGAGCGTGTGCAGGGCTTCGCGCTCCACGTCTCCAGGATCCTTTGAGGCTAGATGGAGGAGAGTGGTGCGGATCCTGGAGTAGTCCGGCTCGGGGATCGTGTATCTACAGCGGGGCTTGTCCAGTTTACTCTTTGATTCACCGACGCAGAAGATGGGCGCATTGGGGAGGTGAGTCTCGTAGCTGATCTGGAGCAGGTTTGCGGGGTCCCATATTGCCGTGGACATAATGGGCGGTCTGGGAATGGAAGATTATGGGATTAGCCTAGGAGCGATGGGTAAGGGAACAGACAACATGCGGACGGCATTGAGGAGCTGAGGATTAGGTGGGATCGGCCGATCGCAAGGATTTCCTTGTCTCGGCGCAGCATTACCCGTGCTGGAAGAAGCCGTTGGGGGGGTGTAACCAACATGCATGATGACCTCAGATCAACATGCTGGGCGTCTCTGACTGGGCGCAACGCCGCATCCACAACTCAGCTGGCCAGATCCGGCAGACCAGCCCGAATGAGGGGCTTAAGCAAAGGAATCGGCCCTGGAGGGTATATTATTGATGGTTAATGCAGTGAGATGACGTCGATTGTCTTGTTCAGCAAATATTGCCAATAGCGTAGTCGTCACCTAGTCTCACAACCAAATAGTTAGGTAGCTAATAAATGCGCTTGGCGTCATAAACACCATGTAAAAGGATGACAGCTCAGTCGAGAGAAGAATATGATCAATCAACAATAGTCGGGCGCGCGGAAAGTGATCACATGCCAACATAGTTAGGCAGAATTATGTGCCCAAACACGACCAAGCTCGCTTCAGGAATTAGTCAAGTGGAAATACATCCTAAAGTAGATGGACAGGTTTTGGTGGTATGGCAAGCTCCCAGACATCAATTACTAACTGCATACATCACATAGAGGGTGTTACTATAGATCACGTAGAGAGAGCCGAAACTCAAACATTTGATTGGCCATTTCTGATAGTGAATATCATCCTTCGATACCTTGAGATTATTTCGATCTTCAATAAAGCTCGTGTAAAAGAGTTCGACAAAGTATGTTTTTAAATGAATGCTTCTCTCCAAGAACTGCCTTGACGCAGTCGTCGGCCAGCACTCCATAATGCCGCGAGAATGAACATCAAAAACCTCCACATTGGTTATAGATCTAGTTGAATGTCTAAGACAATCCATTCAGCATCAGGCCCAGGTCCTGGCACGATCATACCCTCTGCCCTCGGTTAGTAACTTGTTCAGGGGCCAGTTGTCCCTGTTTCTGATATCATCCCACCAAGGTCTATTGGCGTAAGCTCTCTCAGTGGTTTCTAGGCATCTTGAAAACTTGAGATAAAATAATTTTCATGATTCTGCAACAGAGTTAATTATAAACATAAAAATTATATTGTTTCAAAGAGATGGAAAGAAATGAACCAGCTCTCTCTCTCTGTTTGTGTTATCTTCATATCAACTGATCCTTTAGCCTACCCTATACCTTCAGGAAGACCAACCTGCTAAGATTTACTGGAGGTCTGCAAGATCTTTTTCTATGAATATAAAAGTGCTAGTCAAATCGAGTAGTAGTTTTGTAAGTTTTCATTTTCTAAGTGAGAATGAATTCACTGTTAAATTTTGTTCATTACTTGTAGGTCTAGATGTGGATGAGCTGTTTGATGCTGCACAACATTCAAGCTCCGTCTACTGAAAAACCAGCCATTGATTTCTAACTTAAAATTTAGTTTGTAAGGGAATGCTTTTGCAATCTTTCTCTTGTGGAATTGTACTCTATCCAGATCTCGATGTTCAAAGTGGGTTGCCTACAGCAGTACCCAGCCAGAGTGAAGCCCTGGTCGGCAGACTAACGATGATTGACGAGAAGATTGATCAACGCAAAAAGAGGTGGGAAAGGCAAATTATCCCATATTCAGAAAAAGAAAGGTGCAACCCCTTCTTTCTTGTGGATACTGACCAATGAGGGAGCTCGCATCAAAATGTCTTACAATACGATACTCTTATCGGTGTAGCAGTGTGATCACTGTCATCACAGTCAGTGTCAACTTACTTCGAAACCCAATCTCTTGACAGAGATTGGACACCATCAGGCGCGTCTTAGTGATGGGTACAATTGAACAGCTGTAGCAATCTCATCATGGTGCTTATGCGATTTAGGGACTCTTAAATCTACAGCCAGAGTTCGAGATGTTCCTCGAATGGATCCTGCACGGTTCGGTGGAGAAAAGTCCCAAGTAGGCGAACGCCGACATGGACTAGCGAAAGCTCCTATCCCGGGAAGAGCACAAGTTTCAGCTTGGGCCAGTTCAAATGTTCAAATGAGGACAGCACAAGTATCGTTAACCTGTTTGGCACTAGTTTGGGGTTGCGCGTCCCAATGTCTTATGGCGGTGCTCCCTAAACCTGGACTGGATTAGCTTTTTGAGCTTAACATCATGACACCCGCTTTGCCTGGTAATTGAACTCGGTAATGGCGTGATGATTGTACTCGTCTAACAATACTAGATTCTTGAAGAGCTTTCGATCCTTGCACAAGATGAACTTATTCAGGGTCAATGGTCTGATCGAGACTGACAGAGTATATGGAATCATCTGGTTTCAGTCTCCATCTCCATCTCTCTGATTGAAACGATGGTTTGGAGAATTGACCTTGGATGTTATTCCAATTGTAGATTGTAGAAATGTATCCTTGATATTGTATCCTGATCTACATTGGGCAAATTTTGTTTGCTGCTGGATGGATGTCTGTTTGGGACTCAAAGGAGACTCATGAGGCATAGAGAGCGGACCTTTAGCGAGATTGATTGTAATGATTACTGGGATATAATATTTAATGAAGCAAGCAAGAACTATGATGATCTCTCATCTATGGGATGCAATAGGACCTCGAAAGTTTGACATCCAACATGCCGAATAATATTATCTACTACCAAACATACTGATATAATAGGAGACACGAAAAGAAATGATTGAGAAGTTGGATATGGAGTCATGTGTCCATTAGAGACTCACAGACTCCTCACCCACAGAATTACTCAGAAAGCCGTGCCTAAAGTAAAGATTATCCAAAAATACCCATACAGCCGAAGACTGAAAAGACCTGAACGATTGTGATGCTTGCTATGCCTTCTCATCCGCATCGCTTGCATCAGTATTAATCTTGGCATCGTCCTCACTATCACAGCTGTCTTCTGCCTTGATTGCGAACTTTTCATAGAGCGCAGCAAACGCAGAGACGTCAGGGCCGCGCTGCAACAGCTCTCGTGGTGGCCCAAACTCGCGCAGTTCGCCAGCATCAAGGACCGCCACGGCATCAAAGTCATCAAGAGCCGTTTCCAGCTTATGCACGATCGCAAGGACAGTGTGATTCGAGAATCTCTCTGACATGACGCGTCGGATAAGCTGGTCAGTGTGTGCGTCCACGCTAGAAGTTCCAGTGCTGTTAGAACGGGACAATATGATAGATATTTGTATGAAAGAAAGACAAGATGGGACATACCTGCTCGTAGCTTCGTCAAGGATCACAATAGTCGAGGGTCGCAGCATCGCACGGGCGAGGCAGAACAATTGCCGCTGCCCGTGGGAGAGGTGAAGCTCCTCGATGGGCGCGTCAAGACCTCCCTTGGCCTGGACAATGTCCCACAGCTCGACGGCGCGGATGGCATCGGCAATGACCTCGTCCGTCGACAGTCCCTCGCAGTCAGCATTGAAGCGCACGCTGCTACCCTCTATGAGGAAAGCATCCTGCGGCACCCCGACGAGTCGGTTGCGCACTTGTTGACGGGGCAGCGTGCATATGTCGAGCCCATCCACTGTGATACTACCTCCGTGCAGGTCAATCATGCGGAACAGGCATGAGACCAATGAGCTCTTGCCACTACAGCAACCAGTCAGCAAGAAAAAGCAAGCATGGGATGTTGGGTGCATGCGGCAAAGCAAGCGCATATGCAATGTTACCTTCCGGTCCGCCCACAGATTCCAATCTTCTGTCCGGGTTTGATAGACAGGGTCAAGTCCTTAATTACGTTTTCCGAATCCCTGCGTCGCCGTTTTCGTCAGCCCATGAACCGATGGGGAATTACCGGCCGGAGGGAGAAAAGAACTTACGTATAGCCCGCAGACACCTTGTCAAACGTAATAGCACCCTTGGAAGGCCAATCAGGGGGAGGCTGCTGGGTTTCCAGCGGCTCGTGTTCAGACGGCGTCTCTGACGTGAAGGATTTGATCCTGGAGATGGCGCCAATATGCGTCTCCAGGTTCGTCCAGAACATCATGAGAAGCTTCAGGTTCTGGCTGAAGAGGATCACATTGACGAGCGCTACACCTACCAGGCCCGTCGGGAGGGTACCGCGCAGCCGAGTGATCAAGATGATGAGGAGCACCGCGATGCCCGCTACGAACATATCAAGGACCAGTGTGAGCCAACGCTGGACGGAGTACAAAAGGTAGTATGGCTTCTGCGAGTTGTCCAGGAGCTGGTGGTGCTTCTCTTCCAGCGCGCTGCGCCAACCAAAGGCACGGAGTGTCGCCAGACCACTTATTGTTTCGGTGAACTGTGCATAGAGAGGGGACTTGGCCTCGAGGTCCATGAAACGGAGCTGTCGCGATGTGCGTAGATAGACGTGCTGGACGAGCCACAAAGCCGCGAGCAGAAAGGGGAAAGCGATGGCGGTATAGTAGGAGCCAACGGCAATGAGAATCATCTGTGCAATGCAGAGGACAAATGTGGCAAACGTGTTGAGCGCAGTGATGGGCAGATCCATATCAATGAGCTGCAAATCTTGGCTGAAGCGGTTGATGGTGACACCAGCATCAGTCTTGGCGAAGAAGGACATGGGCGCGTTGAGCACCGTAGTCAGGAGACTCCAATGGAAGTTCTTTCCCGACAGCGGCACCATTGTGACAATCATCTGCCAACAGCTGACAACGAGGAAGAGGAGCGCCAGTACGCCCAGCATAGCGTAGATGCCCAAGTAGTACCCAAGCCTCTCGTTGGGGGCCTCGGCGTTCGCGGCCGCCCACCAGTTGACCCAGATGGTGGGGAAGGATTGACAGAAAATGTAGGAGCAGATTACGCAGACGAAAATGAGGGTGGGAATCCATCCGATGGCCTGGACATAGTATTTGTAAATTGCCACGTCCCCAATACGTCGGCGAGCCTCGTCCTCGTCCATCTCTGGCACCTCCCCGCCAACTTCTACTGCCTGCTCCACTAACGCAGCCTCATTTTTATTGAAACTGACAGTGGAGCTCTGGGCAGAATCTGTTGACTCGGAGTGAGTCCAGTCCGCCGAAGAGGCTTGAAGGCGAGACACATAGCCTCCGGAGGCGCTCAGCTGGTCCAAGTTGCCCTGCTCGCAGCCGCTCCCGTCTGCATTCAAACTTATGATGTGATCAGCATAAGGAATACGTTTGGCTGCTACGTGTTAGCTCCGAAGTACTCCGTGGTTGCTGATAAGCATGCATTACTTACATCGAGAGGAGGTGACAATGACTGTGGTGTTGAGCTTTCTCAGAATTCCGTTCGTTCCAAGTAGATTATGGAAGACCGTGTTCTCAGTGTGGGCATCTAGGCCGCTGAATACATCATCCAAGATGATAATATCACGCTGGGCGTATACAGCTCTTGCCAGGCTCTGGATGGACGCTATTAGCATGCGCTCTAGGCTGGGCCGAGGAAGCCGTCTGAGGTTGCTTACTATTCTTTGACTCTGGCCTCCGCTCAGAACAATACCCTTGCTTCCAATTGTGGTAAGATCACCTTTGGGAAGCTGGCGAAGATCTTCATTCAAGGCGCAGGCTCCGAGTACCTGCTGGTACCAGCGCTCATCTGCCGGCGAGAAAGCGATGATACTGTCTCTGACGGTACCGTTCATATGCCAAGGCGTCTGGTCACAGTAGGCTATCTCGTCGCTCGACACATGGACGGAACCGGCTATGATGCTAGCCTCTCCGAGAATCGCCTTGAGCAAAGTAGACTTACCGCTGCCGACCGGCCCGACAATCAAGGTGAATTTGCTTACAGGCACTTCTATGCTTATGTCTGCAAGGATACCCTCCTTGGTAGTGTCATAGCCGAAGGCTCCGTCTTTGACAAGGACAGCGATCCCATCCATGGATACGCTGCTAACCTTGCTTACTCTTTCTTTCAGATCATGACTGGCAGGCTTTTCATTCTCAACACTTGTCTGAGAGGTGCCTGGGAGCGAGGTGTTTGCGCCGTCTGAATCTTTGAGAAGGAGCTTCACTCTTCCATCGACACGCACATCTGAGTCTAGGAAGGATTGGATACGCTCAAAGCAGCCGATTGAGCCAACCAATGAAGAGAGGGACGTGACAAATGACGAAAGGGGTTCCTGCAGTAGGGCAAAGAGCGACAACGACGTGAAAACCCTGTTTGTATCCAGGGTGCCCCCATCGCCCTGGTTGCGGGCGAGGAGGCTATATGCGGTGAAGGTCAATATAGGGGCGATGATGGGTGCAAAGTACGCTGCGACGTGGCGATTAGCTCAGTGACTATCACTGTCTCCTCCCGCTTGATCTGCACCAGGGAGAAGAACAAGGCAAGTGGTGTTGCGACTGGACCTACCAAGACCCATGTTCCAGATCAACAGTCGGCGGAATTTACCGGAGATGCGCAACTCCTCGACTCTCATGGCCTGGATCCTTGCCTTGAGAGCGTCCGTCAGACCCCACATCTTGACTGCCTTCATGGCACCCAGGACCTGCGATGTAACGGCGATCCGCGCCTCGATGGCCTCAAGCCACAGCGCCTGTCTCGCCATGACAAAGCTCACAGCGATGATGGACCCGACGATGGAGACTGGCGAATCAAGGAGAGGGTGTCAGCAAGGGAAGCCTCACTCTGCAAGTCGTTGGCTAGGGGTGAAGCTTGGGCTTACAAATTGCGGCTCCGACAGGGATGAGGCATGCGATGCCGAGTTGGCGTTGCAGCAGATAGACTGCCACGGCAATCTCCACCAAATTCGCCCAGACCTCGTGCGCGGTGCGCCATCCCACGTCGATCCTCTCAATGTCGGCGCTCATCAGGGTCAAAGCGGCGGTCGGGTCGGCCGCCGTTATGCTGATGTCAGTGGCCTTTGCGTAGAGAGCCGACACGAGCTGGCCGCGCATCATGGTGATGGCACGGTAGGTCAGATGCTGGTGCTGCCCCATTGAAACCTGCATATTTTTAATTTCGGGTCAGCAAGGGGGGGTGGGAACATGTCAAAAAAGAAAGCAATGGAAAACAAAGAGAAAACGGCCAGAAGGAAGCACACTTGATGCAGGGCTGCAGCAAATAGCAAACCTGCATGATCCGCACGTACCGCTATCCCAACATATACGAGGAACCATGCACCAATGAGGCCGTAACCCTCGTCGGCATCATCGGAGTCCTCGGGATGCTCACTCCAAGCCAGAGTGGCTGAGATGAGAAATGGCTGGGCAAATGTAAAGCCGATGTAACAGAGCCGTGGAAACACAATGGCTAGTATCGGCCCCTTGAGGGCCCGGATGACGGTGTATAGCAGCGCAAACCGGCTGTGCTTTGAAGCTATGAAAATTGTCAGCGATACTGGATGAGTAGATTGGGAACTTGAAGACTGTCAATTCGAACCTTGGTTCCATTTCGTCCGTAAAAGTGTCTGCAGATAGAAAGAACCGAGATGCTTATCAAGGCCATATAGATCCTTGATCTCGAGCTGATTCGAGTAGCCGGCCCGGAAGAGCGGAAGCTGCCAGGTAAAGAACCACCTCCCAAACACGCCGCTGTTAGATTCAGGAGGCAAAGAGCGGAACGGTTCACGCAGTATCTTGTGTTTCTCGATGGCCTCAAACACGATAATAATTATCTTGAGCAATGTTGCAACCAGGGCAGCGGTGGCAACCGACTGGTTATCATCCTGCAACCATAGCGTTCGGGTATAAGTGGCATAAAAAAGAATTGCCAACAGTAGGAAGAGATTGATGGTCGTCGAAGGCCGAGTCGAGTAGATTTGCTCGGCATACGACAATGGCAAGAGCGCAATTGAACTGACCAAAGACAGAGCTGCTGCTGGCAGAGATGCTCTCGTCGAAACCGCTGATGGCCGTGTCCAAAGCACAAGAATGCCGATTTGGGCTCCGATGAGTAAGACAATGGATATCTTGATGTGATTAGCTGGTGGATGAAAAAGATGCCCGTATCACAAAGATTCTCTCTTGCTGGAAATTCTTTGTGACAGGATCACACTTACAAATTTGCAATATAGCAGAGGGCTTTTTTCAACTTTTAACACTCCTTTACGTAGAAGATAGGCTACGCGGATTGGTGCAGCAAGGAGAAGCAGGCAGCATAGAGGCACAATGAGAATTGATTCTTCAAAGAGAAGCGTCAGGTCGAAACCGCCCCTGCAGTCACCAGCGTGCGGTCCAAAGGTGTCGTCGACGAGGGCACACGATGAGGCCATGGTGGGCATGCTCATTCACTCACAATCGATTCACAATCGATGGACGGGGGAGTAGAGACTCCGACACATTTTCCCGAGGGGGGTGGGTGGCTGTATGTCTCGCCGCCGGCCTCTAAATCGATGATGGATAATATACCCGTGGTGGTCATAACAATGCTGAAAAGCCACACCTACTGAACGGATTTTCACCGGAGGCTAGGGTCCGGATGCGCCGCTACCTAATGATTGGCAGGGGGGGTGTCGAGGAGTGAATCGTTCACAAAGGTACCGGGGGTCGTATCGACGTGAAGGATGACATTTATGACGAGGTGGCTGATGCATAACAGCAAACCGATGAATATAGAGTGTCGAGGAACCAGTTTCCCCCTTTCCAAGAACTAAAATAGAGGCTGAAGTGGGTTTGGAGTGCGAGTGCGGTGTCTTTGCATGCATTAGGCCGGCCTGGAGTCATTGGCCGCCTCCCAATGGTGGCGACATTGGGGGACCGTGCTATAGAGGGCCTCAACCTGTTTGTCTCTGACTGGCTGACCGCAATGCCGTAAAGGATCAGTCAGGCGGTCAGGGGCGGCATGGCATCACCATCACCTAGTAATTAGCCCATTACGTAGGTGGATGTGGATGTGTGAAAAAAGCAAGCGGGGACTTCGTATGCGATGTGAATGTGTGTGTCCTGTATGTAGGTGCCGTTTGCAGCCCTGTCAGATACCACCCTTCGAGCTGGGAAAAATCTTCAGCTGGATATGCGATGCTACTCGCCCATGAGCAAATCACCCAGCCCAAAGGGGTAGCAGGGGAAATTGGAAAATTTTCGACCAAGGCGTGACAGCACAAAGCTGAGAGCTGGCCGGCCTTGGCTCAGCACACGAGTCCAGCGCCTAGAGTCCCGTCCCTGCTCACGGATGGATGCGAGAGGATACGGCAGACGGAACGCTAGACGGGGTTAATACAACCCGTCGGCCCGGCCCGGTTCAGGCATCAGGTTCAGCAAAATGCCCAACTCCCCAGCAGTCTCCCCCCCAGCAGTCATGCAGAACCAAGGCCAGGAGATTCATGTGCAGGATGCTAAATTACTAAGGTGGCCTGCTCTCCACCAGGCCACTCATCCCCTGCTAGCCCCTGAGGAGAATCAGCAGAATTTGCTGCCCAGGCGGCTAGGCCAGCCTATGCTCTGGGCAACGTGTCTCAGATGGGAATCTGATGGATCAACCTGATCAGCTTCAGCTCGATCAGCTTGATCAGGCCTTGGGAGCGTTGGAGGCCGCTAAAACGAGCACTACGGTAGGACCTCGCATGCAAGTCATGGCCAAGGCAAGCTCGCTTAGCGCAACGCATTTGCCCCCTTCTCTCCCCCCTGGCCCCGCAGAATTGCCAAGAGAGAGGACCTTCTGCCGCGTTTCCACTCCAATCGGGGCAATGTCTCATTGTGTGGCTGGCTGGATTCGGGTAGATGGGCCCTCTGTGGGGGAGGGAGGGATCATTCTAAGGATCGGCACTGGCAGGGAGCTTTTTGAGGATCGCCCTTGACAGGGACCTGGGGACCGGCAGAAACGTGGCACGCCCAAACCAGAGAGTCTGACCAGAACGGCGCGAGCGGCCAATAGCCGAGTCTGTTATGTAAAACTCGTGAAATATTTGCGGAATTTGCCAATAGAGACCGGGGAGGACAGGATTTGTGTCTCCCGGGGCTGAAAACCGCCCGAAAGGAGAATACCGCCTCGAAGAATACAACTCGATATATCCTTCTGTGTGCCGTCTTGTGGGTCGCCAATGAACTTTGATGTTCATGTCACCCCCCTGGCCGGGCACCAGCTCTCTCGGCTGAAGAGCAATATTGGCGGGATGATGGAATTTTCCGATGCAACTCCTGATGCGGTTCTTGCTGACCACAGTCCGTTTTCTCCTCTGCCCATGTCCCTGCCCACGGACCCAAATTCAATGGGTCGATGTCCATTATTACATATGATCCACAGACGCAAGCATGCAAGCTTCAGACTTGCGATGGGCCGAACTATCTAAAGTTCCCGCCTTGATTCCCCGCGAACCGGGATACCGAAGGGGGAGTTTGGACTCTCAGCTGAGTCGATGGTCGATGGAGTGACTACGCTGGAATAGGTAAGTCGGTAAATAATGAGAACCGAATCGAGAATGCTATTCCATACCTATCCCATAATGCGAGGGGCGCCGATCTTGGCGGTATTAGCCTAAGCTGATCGACAAGCCTAGTGTGGGCAGAATCTTGGTACGAGGAAGAAGTCGATGAGCCTGAAGATATCTCTTCCCTCGATCAGGATGGAGACTAATATGAGGGTGCATTAGTGCCTGCTCGACACCGCGTCGTGGGCGAATCAAAGATGCCGCTCTCCTGCGGTCTATTGTTCTGCGGATCGATCGACAATCATTCTATATATCACCAAATCCTATGACACCACCAACGTAGCTCCCGCATAAGCGATACCACGCCAAGGCTTCTTCGCGTGCAGGTTGTTTTCACTTCCTTGTCCGTGGTCGCGCCGACGTGGCAAAAATGTTGGCATACTTGCATTTCTATACGTACGTCCGTAGGGTCTCTTGTCTAGCTGCACGGCACTGCTAGTGCTAACCAGGTTTCGGAGCCGCTGTGCTGAGCCTTGGACGAGAAGCTGAGCCGTGATGCAACTAAAGGAGCCGTGATGCAACCGCATGGTCCCAGCCATGCAGATGTGCTATTTTTTCCTGACCCAATGACGCCTAGACGGTCTCTGGACTCGAGTGTCCCAGCCAATAGTCTCGCGGAACGGACCCAGCAATCTCGTTTGGACCTCGCGCTCCTTGCTTGCCACGGCGGCAAGTGGCAAGCCCCTGCGCAAAAGCAAGCGCGAAGATGCCCTGTTTTTGACCCTGGGCTGAGCTAGAGTATAGACCCGTATATCGTAAATGCCTCTAGGCTACCATCTGCACGATGGGAACGTTGCTGATGCTGTGGCTTGAGGGCATGGCATGGTGTTGTTCAGTCTGATCTACTCTTTGGGCACAGCCTGTGCCAGTTCAGGTCCGGAGTATGCCGGCCGGCCTCATCCCAGTCCATTATATCTGGTTAGCTGTCTGTCTTGAGGTCTGAGGTTTCTTATTACCCTGGCTTTTTTCCATGTTGTCCATCTAGACGAGAAAAAATACATGTCGTCTTCTCTACTTGTTGATCCCGCTCTGAATACATACTTCCCCACAAACTTCGACAGTTCTTTGTCACGCTGTAAATGATGGCATCACCACGCGGTAGCGTACATAGCATCGTTGGTCGACAGTCGTCGCCAACACAGGCGGAGCCATGCATTTTCCCTGCCTTCGATATGGGTGAAACAGATGGTGCAGACTCCCTTAGCATTCAGGGGCAGCTGCGGAAGCATACCCATCAAGACCCAGAAGAGTTCAGACGACTTTTATGCTCCGCTTGGGGAGTCGTTCTCGGCTGTTACACAGGCCTTGAGGACGTTTGTTTCGGATTCGACGATCCCTCTGTGGATGAAGCAACGGCAACTGCACGTCTGCATATTCCAAGTCATGCTACTGTGCAAGAAGTTCTACCCGAGTATCTCCTCGGTCCACCCCCTTCGAATACAACCACCAGCATCCACGATGCTACCACGCCAACGACCAATTCCCTATTCAACACCTGGCTTCGCATCTGTAGCTTGAATTCCCATCCAAGCAAAGATGGAGAAAGTACCGGTGTTGCAACACATAATGAATTCCCCACCTGGTGCAAAGTTTGCATCACCGTCGATTCTCAGACATGTCAGACTGTCTTTTCCTGGACGGGTTCATTCATGACCCAGGAACAGGCCCTTCATGTCAACAGCACTTTTGAGACGATTGTCAGTCAGATGCTGGATCGTCCTCACTCTTCCTTGTCTCAGCTCAATTATGTTAGTGAGCGGAGCATGAGCCAAATTTTGGCTTTTAATAGTAATACCAAAAACGACATCAAGCAATGTATACACCAGGCGATCTCAGAGCAGAGAGATTTGCGCCCCGACGCTGAAGCAATATGCTCCTGGGACGGCAGCTTCTCCTACAACGAGCTCGTCTCCCTGGCTGACCGGCTTGCCTGTCGCCTGGGGGCCTCGGGCGTGGGACCTGAGGTCTTTGTCCCAATATGCTTCGACAAGTCCAGGTGGACCATCGTAGCAATGCTTGCGGTGCTCAAGGCAGGTGGTATATTCGTGCCCCTGGACCCTACCCACCCCGTCTCCCGCCTGCAAGCACTGTCCCATAAGATCGAGGCCAAGACCATTCTCTGCTCGCGGCATCACCTGGGTATGCTCGAGCCTGTTGCTGCCGAGCTCATCCCGGTCGATGATCACCTCTTCACCGAGCTTCCACCGCACCAAGGTGCAGTCACTCGAGGCTCGTGGAACAATGGCGCATACATGATCTTCACGAGTGGCACGACTGGTGAACCTAAGGGTGCCTTAATACAGCATGGAGCACTCATGTCCAGTGCTATGGCCCATGGGCCTGCCATGTTGATGGACTCAAACACCCGATCCCTTCAATTCGCTGCTTCGACGTTTGATGTCAGCATCACAGAGATCTTGACTTGTCTTATACTTGGAGGCTGCGTCTGTGTGCCCAGCGAAGAAGCCCGTTTGAATGACATCGAGGGGGCCATCAATGAACTTCGTCCCAACTGGGCCCTACTCACCCCTACTTTCGTCAAATTCATCAACCCAGCCAATGTACCCTCCATGAAGACACTTGTTACCGGAGGTGAGGCCATGACACAGGATATTATTCGTTCCTGGTCCACATGCCTCACTCTGGTCAATTGTTACGGCCCTGCAGAGACATCTGTCGTCTCGCATGTAAACGTGGGCATGAGGGAAGGCAAGAACCCCCTGAATATTGGCCGGCATGTGGGAATCCACTGCTGGGTCGTGGACCGGTATAACCATGACCGGCTCATGCCAATTGGTGCTGTCGGAGAACTCCTCATCGAGGGGCACACGCTTGCTAGGGAGTACTACAAAGAGCCTGAAAAGACGAGCGACGCTTTCATATTTGATCCTGGCTGGACAAAAGATCAACCCCAGCAGGAGTCCCCGCGACGAATGTATAAGTCTGGTGACCTAGTCAGATACAATTCAGACGGCACGTTCCACATTGCGGGGCGGAAGGATTCCCAGATCAAGTTTCACGGCCAACGCATAGAGTTGGGTGAGATTGAGCACCATCTGAACATTGTCCCGTGTATCAAGCACGGGATGGTGATCCTACCCAAAGCCGGCTTCTGCAAAGGACGGCTACTCACCATGATTCAGCTCAACGATGCTTTGAATCAGGATCTTGTACCTAAAGGCAAGCCGTACGAGCTGATCCATGGCGAGCTGGAGGAGATGGCCAAATCCATGATTGAGGAAGCCAAGCATATTCTCACGGAAAGACTTCCCCCGTACATGATCCCCTCCATGTGGCTTGCCGTCGAGTTCATTCCTCGCCTGCAGTCTGGAAAGCTTGATCGTAAGCAGACCACACAGTGGGTTGAGAACATGAGCGAAGACATGTATCGCCGGCTTAACCCTGTCACGGTTACAAGTTCGTCAGAGGACTTGGCTTTTGCTAGCCCGACGGAGCTGGAGCTACACAGTGTATGGACACACGTGCTGAACCTCAATGCAGAGCAGCTCGGCCTTGGCCAGTCGTTCTTGAGTGTTGGCGGTGACTCCATCTCAGCCATGCAAGTCATGAGTGAGTGCAAGAAGCGTGGACTTGGTCTGATGGTCCGCCAAATCATCGGCTGTAAATCCATCCGTGAGCTTGCTTCCCATGTCAAGGGTATTGAAGCTCCGGTTTTCCACGAGGAGATCCTAGAGCAGCCCTTTGAGCTTTCACCCATCCAGAAGCTGTATTTTGAGCGACCAAATCACTCTCAAGGCCACTATAACCAGAGCTTTCTCCTGCGTACCAACCGGCGCGTCTTGGCGGCGGATTTGCGCAAGGCTATTGAGACTATCATTCAAAGACACTCAATGCTGCGCGCTAGATTCTCACAGACAGCTCAAGGCATGTGGCAACAACGTATTACGAATGAGACGTCTTCCTCATATCGACTACGCACATTTAGATTGGCTCGGCGCGACGAGATAGACCACTCGCTTGTTGATAGCCAAACATGCCTTAATGCCATCAATGGGCCTTTGTTGGCAGCCGACTTGATAGATCTCAATGGAGAAGAGGAGTTGCTATTTGTTGTAGCTCATCACCTTGTCATCGATCTCGTCTCTTGGAGAGTTATTCTTCAGGAGATTGAAGAATTGCTACTTGGACAAGAGTCATCAGCTGCAGCAGAAAAGCCGCTTCCATACCAAACATGGTGCAAGTTGCAACTAGAACACTGTCAATCCCTGACCCCTGAGCAGGCCTTGCCCATTCAAGGAATTCCCGATGGCAATCCGGCTTACTGGGGCATGGAGACAACGCCAAATATCTACGGCCAAATGGCTCGTGGAGGATTTGAGGTCAATTCATCGTTGACGTCCCTTCTTCTTACAAAATGCCATCGCTCGTTGCGCACTGAGATTCCCGATGTCTTGCTTACGGCCATGATCTTCTCCTTTGGCCAAACGTTCACGGATCGTTCCATTCCTCCCATCTTTGCTGAAGGCCATGGCAGAGAGTCTTGGGACCCCTCCATAGATCTATCCAGGGTAATTGGCTGGTTCACCACCATCTACCCAGTGTTCGCAGGCTCAGACACTCAGACGAGCTTGATAGACACTGCCAAGCTGGTCAAGGATGTACGCCGGAGAATACCTGATAAAGGGCGGCCGTATTTTGCCAGTCGCTGGCTTACTGAACAGGGGAAGAATGAGTTCTCGCGCCACTGGCCCCTCGAGATCACCTTCAACTATCTCGGCCAGTATCAACAGTTGGAGCGGGAAGGTGCACTTTTCACTCCCGTTAGTGATATTGCTGGCGAAGTAAAGGAGGCGGTTGAGGGTGCCGATGTCGGGTCGTTGACGACATGCATCTCCCTATTCGAGGTCTCTGCTGTCATTATTGGGGGCACGTTGAGATTCTCCTTTGTTTTCAATCAAAACATGAAGCACCAAGAAAATATCCGCCGCTGGATTTCATCATGCCAGCAGACCTTGGAAGGATTGATTGAAATGTTGAGTACTAAGGAGCCTGAGCCTACTCTCAGTGATTTCCCAATGCTCTCACTGACATACGACCGTCTTCAACTATTGGTGTCAGACAGACTGCCCCAAGCTGGGGTGACGGCTCTGAACCTTGTTGAAGATGCCTATCCTTGCTCTCCCATGCAATCAGGCCTGCTGGTCAGCACGACTAAGAACAACGCTTTCTACGCGGCGTATACTCTTCATGAGGTCAAGAGCAGGGGCAACAGCTCTGTTGACCCTATTAGGCTGGCCAATGCCTGGAGGACCATTGTTGATGCTCATCCTATTTTGAGGACCGTGTTCGTGGAGAGTGTAAGCCAGATGGATTCCCTCTACGATCAGGTGGTCCTCAAGGAGGTTGAGGTTCCAATCATTCAACGAGAAGCTGCCACTGACGAGGATGCTGTTTCTGCTTTGAGCTCCCCCCCGTTGCATCAAGACAATAACTCGCAACTGCTGCATCGCTTTGAGATTTGCACAACAGCGACCGGCAAGGTTTTCTGCAGGCTTGACATCAGCCACGTCATAATGGACGGGACTTCCCTGTCAATTGTCTTCCGTGACCTGGCACTGGCTTACGACAATCGACTCAAGCCCGCTTCGATACCTCTATATCGCAACTACATCAAGCACCTCCAAGAGCAGGTTAGCGAGCCTGGTATTGAATACTGGAGCTCGCACTTGGCTCAGGTTGAGCCTTGCCATTTCCCAGTCCTTAATGACGGCAACACTGTCGATTCTAAGGAGCTGAGGTACGTTCGAGTGATGTTTGAGGAGTTGGCGGAGCTGCAGCGCTTGTGTGATCAAAAGGGGGTTACATTCGTGAATGCGATATACGCAGCGTGGGCCTTGACTTTGCGCCTATACACAGCTTCAGAAGAAGTCTGCTTCGGTTATCTTACCTCTGCGCGGGATGCACCGATCGACGGTATCCGCGACATGGTTGGGCCCGTCATAAACATGGTGGCTTGCCGTGTGAATGTCGCTGACTCTACGACTCTCGGCCAAATCATGAGCTCTGTGCAGTCGGACTACCTCGACAGTTTGGCTTTCCGCCACATTCCTCTGGCAGAGGTACAGCACGCACTCAAGCTCTCTGGCGTGGCTCTGTTCAACACAGCACTGTCGTATAGAAAGCTCCCGCCTGCGCTGCAAGATGAGCCAGATATCTCGTTTGACGAGTGTCGTCCTACATATGACCCTGATGAGTACAACGTATCCATCAACATAGAGGCGGGCGAGAAGGACATGGCTATTGATCTCATGTACTGGACAGACACTTTGTCAGATGAGAACGCGGCCAACGTTGCAAGTTCATTCACAAAGGCGCTCAGCAATATCCTTCACCACTGCGAGCAGCCAATTTCACGCCTGGATCATCTCAGCGAGAGGAATCATATGCAACTGTCACAATGGAATGGAAACATGCCTGAAGCCATCGAAAGGTGTGTTCACAACCTTGTCGAAGATCAAGCGCTGAGCCGTCCAGACGCACCGGCCATTGCGTCTTGGGACATGAACTTCACATATTCAGAGCTCGACGCTGCTTCAACAATACTCGCTCAATACCTCGCCTCCGTGGGTGTTGGATTAGAGGTGTTTGTACTCATATGCTTCGAGAAATCTGCCTTCTCAATTGTGGCCATGATGGCTGTGTTGAAAGCAGGAGGCGTTTGTGTACCCCTCGACCCTGCGCACCCGGACGCGGCGTTGCAACTGCGAGCCAAAGATACTGGTGCTTCCATTGCTCTTGTATCTTCTTCATTGGTGAGCAGATTCGAGGCAATCGTTCCAAAAACCGTGGCAGTGGATAGCGAGCTCCTGCACAACATAGATGATGCGCAAGATTCAATTCTACCCAAGGTATCACCCAGCAATGCCTGTTTTGTTATCTACACATCCGGCAGCACAGGGCAGCCCAAGGGAGTTGTGCTTGAGCATAGAGGACTCGCTACGAATGCCGAGTACTCTGGTTCATCCTTAGGCTATGACAAAGACTCGAGGGTGCTGCAGTTCGCGTCTTACACATTTGACAACAGTCTTGCAGAGATCTTCACCACACTTACACGTGGAGGCTGTGTTTGTGTGCCATCCGACCACGAGAGGCTGAATGATCTTGCCGGCGTCATCAACCGCCTCCAAGTCACTTTTGCAGACATAACGCCCACCGTTGCCACATTCCTCCAGCCGACTGATGTCCCGACTTTGAAGATTCTGGCTCTGGGAGGAGAGGCCGTGACCGCCAAATGCGTCGAAATCTGGCGCGACTACGTCTCCCTCAGGTGCTGTTACGGACCCTCGGAGTGTTCGGTAAACTCGACATACTCAGGGGACATTGCGCGGCCAGGACAGGCCACGAACATTGGACGAGCCATCGGAAGCATCGCCTGGGTTGTTGACCGCAACGACCATAGCTGCCTAGTACCTGTTGGGTGTATAGGTGAGCTCTTGGTGGACGGGCCTATCGTATCGCGCGGATACCTCAACATGCCAGAGAGGACGGAGCAGTCATTTGTCAAACCTCCGCAATGGCTAGAAGGAATAAATCCAGGTATAGATCCTTCTCGTCGCCTATACAAAACGGGAGACTTGGTGAGATATAACTGTGATGGCTCCCTGATGTATCTTGGGCGTAAAGACACCCAGGTCAAATTGAACGGGCAGCGCATTGAGCTCGGCGAAATTGAGCACCACATTGAGAAGAGTCTCCCAGAAGGCGCACAGTCCGCCGTTGAGCTTGTCATTGTCAATGGGAAGAAGTCCTTGGCTTCATTCATCAGCATGGAGTGGGATGGCTCTGTCCCTGCCAGTAGTGACGAAACCAACATCCTGCCCATGTCTGAGCCGTTCAAAGCGCTTGCCAAAGACCTCGAGGTGATGCTATCAAAAAGAGTTCCAGGCTATATGGTCCCAACCATGTGGCTGCCTGTTTTCCAGATGCCACTCACTACGTCCGGAAAGCTGAACCGCCGCAGTCTTCGCTTACAGGCAGAGGCCGTGCCGGAAGCAAGCCAAATTGCCTACAAACTTGCCACAAAGAGCGGCAGAGCACCCTCAAGTGAGGGGGAGAAGCTGCTGGCTGGACTGTGGGCGGCTGTTCTACACACAGACTTGGCACTGATTGGGGTCGAGGACAACTTTTTCAAACTTGGCGGAGACTCGGTCAGCGCAATGCGCCTCGTCACTCTGGCAAGGAAGGAAAATATCAGTTTGACTGTGGCCAGCATTTTCCAAAAGGCGACTCTCCTTGACATGGTTCAGTCTTCATCATCAATGTCCAAGACTGCCATTTCTCCTGTTGAGCCGTTCTCGCTGCTCCCCGACAGTCAATCATTGGCTTCTGTGAAGCACGAGGTGGCAGCTCAAGCCCTTGTAAGGCCTCAGGTAATTCATGATATCATGCCGTGCACCACGCTCCAACAGGGTCTCATGGCGCTATCGAACAAGCAGCCCGGTGCCTACGTGGCTCAAATGGTGTATCGCTTGCCAGAAGGGACCGACATTGGCAGGTTCAAAGACGCTTGGCAGCAAGTCGTGAGAAAGGAATCTGCATTGCGGACGAGAATCGTGCACACAGAAGCTTGGGGCTTCTTACAAGTGGTCGTGGACGAAGCCATCGAGTGGTCTTCGGTGTCGAGTGTGTCTGAGCTACAAGAATCCGAGCGTCAGCTGCCTTCCCACAATGGCGGGCGGCTAACACACTACACCATTGCCGAAGAACATTCTGGGGCAACTTTCTTTGTTTGGACTATCCATCATGTTCTTTACGATGGTTGGTGCCTGCCCATCATCCTCGAAAGTGTGAAGAAATGTTACCTCAACGGCCTTCTCTCGCGGCCACCCGGCGGCTCCTCGTACGCCAACTTCATAAAATATGTCGTTGAACTGGACTCTGAGCATACAGACAAATTCTGGACTTCTCAGCTTTCTGATCTGTCTACTCAACATTTCCCACGTCTTCCACAGCCAGACTACCAGGCAAGTGCCAGCAGCATGTTGATTCATAAGACGGCACTCAGTCGACAACAAGGATCCGAGATCACTCTCGCGACGGAAATCCGCGCGGCCTGGGCATTGACCGTCTCCGCCTACTCATCTGTAAACGACGTTGTCTTTTGGGAAACTGTCACTGGTCGGGATGCCCCAGTCATCGGCATTGAGGACATGATCGGAGCCACGCTGGCAACAATTCCAAGGCGAATCCGTCTCCCCCAGTCGAACCACGTCTCAGAATTCCTGCAGTTGATTCAGGAGGAGTGTGCAGCCGCTCTCCCACACCAATACGCAAGCATTGCGCACATCAAGCGCCTCAGCACCGAGACGGCGATAGCCTGCGGCGCACAGAACCTCATTGCAATCAACAATGGTGCACGAGATGAGTCGGACTCGTTTTGGGACATCCAAAGCAATGAGATGGAGGGTACTAACTTTTATACGTACCCCATCATGATATCATTTCACATCGGGAAAGACGAGTTGGAAGCAGTAGTGCACTTTGACCAAGGTGTCATCCCGGACTATCAAATGCAACGGGTCATGGACCATTTCGCCTTCGCTCTCCAGACCATTAATTCTACACGGTACGGCGACAAAAAGCTCAGTGAGCTTGGCATGTTAAGCCCCCGTGACTGCGAGACGCTCCAGCTCCGCAACTCTGCGCTGCCGCCTAAGATCAACCGCACAGTTCATGAAATGTTCCAGCATCAGGTTACGGCGCAGCGTCAGGAGAAACTCTCCGTGTGCTCCTGGGATATCCAATTGACGTACTCCGAGCTTGACTCAATGTCGACAAAGTTAGCTTCTATTCTCACGAATAGAGGCATTGGAAGCAACTCAATAGTCCCGCTATGTTTAGAGAAGTCAGCTTTGGTTATCGTGTCTATGTTGGGTGTACTGAAGTCAGGGGCCGCATTTGTCCCGCTGGATCCGGCTCATCCTGATGCACGAATCAACGGCATTCTATCTGATGTAGAAGCCGGCATCCTTTTGTGCTCACCCAAGCACGAGGAACGATGCGCCAGCTTCCAGTCCGTGGAACGAATAGTTGTCACCAGAGAACTTATTGAAGCCAGCTCGATACCCGAGTCTGAAGAAGCTCCTCCTATCTCTGACCCAGACAGCACTGCGTACATTATCTTCACCTCCGGCACTACGGGTAAGCCAAAGGGAACCATCGTGGGACATTCTGCGTTCTGCACTGGAGCCATGGCTCACGGTTCCGCTATGGGCATGAACGAGCATTCGCGAGTTTTGCAGTTTGCCTCGTATACTTTCGACGCCAGCGTCATGGAAATTCTGACCACCCTCCTCAAAGGCGGCACTGTTTGTATCCCTAGCGACGATGAGCGTATTAACGATATCACTGGAGTCATCAACCGTCTGGATGTGAACTGGACGCTGCTTACGCCGTCTGTGGCCCAACTGATCCAACCGTCACTAGTTCCGGGTCTCGAGACGCTGGTGTTAGGAGGAGAAGCCATGTCTTCGGCACATATCGCTACTTGGGCACCATCTGCTGTCAAACTCATGAACGCCTATGGACCCAGTGAGACTGCAGTAGTTGCCACCGTCAACCCGGCCGTCACAGCCGCATCTGGGCCCTCAAATATTGGCCAGGCAGTGGGTGGGCTGTGCTGGATCGTCGACGCAAGCAATCACGACAAGTTGGTACCCATTGGGGCTGTTGGTGAGCTCCTTGTAGAAGGCCCAATTCTGGCCCAGGGCTATCTCAACAACGCTCAAAAGACGAGTGAGGCCTTTGCTGTTAACCCCCGATGGATCAGCCAATTCCCCCTTCCCGACTACGTAGGGGATCGCCGTATGTACAAGACTGGCGATTTGGTCAAATTGGCTGAAGATGGCTCGATTATATTCCAAGGCCGCAAGGACGATCAAGTCAAGCTCAACGGCCAGCGGCTCGAGCTATCAGAAGTTGAACATCACATTGGCACGGATCCAGCTGTGCAATATGGATTAGCAGCTATTCCATTGTCCGGCCCGTACAAGAAGCGCCTCGTGGCTGTGCTTTCCCTCCAGTCACTCGCCGAGATCAAGCGAGCTGCACCATCCGGAGAACTTCAAGTCCTCGGAAGGTTGGAAAGCTCGTCTCACCTCCGAGGAATTCAGGAGAGGGTGGCCGGACATCTACCACCCTACATGGTCCCGTCGAAATGGATTATCCTAGCTAATCTCCCACTCTTGCCTTCTGGAAAGCTAGATCGTCGAACTATCCTGAACTGGGTTGAGAATCTGGACGAGGCGACCCACCAACTAATCTCCGACACTGAGGAGAGCGCAGCAGTCCTGAGCAGAGATGCTACTGAACTGGAAACTCAACTTCGAGCTGCGTGGGCCAAGGTTTTGGGCCGTGAGGTGGAGAAGATCCCATACAATCAGTCCTTCTTCCAACTTGGAGGAGACTCGATTTCTGCTATGCAGATGATGTCTATCTGTCGCTCATCCAATATTGCTGTTTCTGTTCCACAAATCATGAAGAGCAAGTCTATCATAGAGCTTGCGAGCCACGCCACAGCAGTAGAAGAATTTGTCTGTGAACAGGAAGAGATTGAAACCGCTTTCGAGCTTTCACCCATACAAAAAGTGTATTTCAAGCACATGGGGACCGACTCGACACATTTCAATCAGAGTGCCCTCCTGGGAACTACGCGCGCTGTTACAATGAAAGAGCTAGCAACGGCCCTCGAAGGACTGATTGAAGCTCACAGTATGCTCCGGGCACGCTTTTCCATGTCTGATGGCGTTTGGTCCCAAAGAATCACAGACGACGTTATTAACTCGTACCGTATCCAAACCCACAAGGCCCAAGACATGAGCCTCCTCCCTGCTCTAATTGAGGGTAGCCAGAAGAGCCTTGACATCATGAACGGTCCTTTGATTGCCGCCGATATCTTTGAAACAGACGATGAAAATCATCAAAGGATATCCATTGTTGCCCATCATCTTATCGTGGATGTCGTCTCGTGGCACATTATCCTCGAAGATCTCGAATCGTTGTTTGTGAAGGAGACCACGCAGCTTGCAAAGCCATTCTCTTTCCAAACTTGGAGTAGGATGCAATGGGAGCAAGCACATAATTCAACAAAGCAAGAAGTATTCCTCGATTTGGAGACGCCGCATGATGATCTCTCGTACTGGGGTATGCAGGATGTGCCTAATGTGCACGGTGACGCCATATCGCAGACCCTTGACATTGATGCCCATCATTCCCTTCTTCTGTTGGGTGCTTGCCATCAAACTTTCGAAACGGATATTGTGGATGTCCTCATAGCATCACTGCTGGGATCATTCAGGGAGGCCTTCCCGGATCGCTCATCTATCCCACCGATCTTCAATGAGGGACATGGCAGAGAGCCTTGGAATGAGAAACTGGATCTGTCTCGCACTGTAGGGTGGTTTACCACTCTTTGCCCGATTTTCCTACCGCAATATGTAAGCGAGCAGTCCGACATCCTTGATTTCATTCAGTGGGTGAAAGACTTCAGGCGCAGGGTTCCTGGCAAGGGTCGACCCTACTTCACCCATAGCCTCACTTCACAAGGTGAGGAAGAGCCGTCACTGAGTGGTTGGCCTGTGGAGGTTGCGTTCAATTATTTGGGACATACACAGAAACTTGGAGATAGCAGTTCAGTTCTTAAATCATTGGATGGAACACTGCTAGACTCTGTCAGTTCCCAGTCGGACATTGGGGCCAGCGTCCCCCGTCTTGCTCTCATCGAGATATTAGCATCGGTGATTGATGGAAAGCTGAGCTTCAGCTTCAGTTTCAATAAAGATATGAAGCATAAAAAGTCCATCCAAAGATGGATGACTCTTTGCAAGGAGAACATCGGTCGGGCGGTAGAGAAGCTTTCCAGCGCAAAATCTGGTCCAACAATGACTGCCTTCCCGCTTCTACCGCTTGCCTTCCGTGGAGTTTCTGAAATTCAGGAGAAGCTTTCACAGCTAGGTATCGAGTCTTTGGACAAGGTGGAGGCCGCTTACCCGTGCTCCCCTGTTCAGCAGGGTATTCTCTTCACGCAGATCAAGAACCCTGACCAGTACGCCTATTCAATTACGTTTGAGGTGCACTCCACGCAGTCCGGATCTGTTGTGGATCCTCGGCGTTTGTCAGATGCCTGGCAGACTGTGGTCCAACGACATAGCTCCCTTCGTACTATCTTCGTATCCAGCTTGCTGCAAGAGGGTATGATGGACCAGGTTGTTCTTAAGGAACATCCTGCTAACATTGCAATCTTGGAGTGTAGCGAGGATGATATGGCTGCTAGGCTCAGCACTCAAGCTTCCCTTGGATTGCCCGAGAACCAGCCACCGCACCGCATGAGGATTTGCAAGACACCTCAGGGCAAGGTCATATGTGTGCTTGAGATGAGTCACGCTATTTCGGACGGCAGCTCAATGCCAATTCTCTTCCAAGACCTTGCGCTTGCTTATCAAGGGACCGTCCCCGAAAGCCATCTGCCTGTGTTCCAGGACTACATTGCTTACCTTCAAGGTCGCCCAAGTTCAAAGATCCTCACTTACTGGGAGAATTATGTCATGGATGTCGAACCTTGCTATTTCCCTACGCTAAATGATGGTGTGGCCGAGCCCAAGATTCTCCGTGCCCTGGAGCAAGATATTTCTCACGCACTGGAACTCCAAGCTTTCTGCACTGATAACGGCATTACTCTATCCAATGTGCTTCAGCTTGCATGGGCCCTGGTTCTGCAAACATACACTGGCATGGATGATGTATGTTTCGGCTACTTGGTCTCGTCCCGCGATGCTCCTGTGCGTGGGATCGACGAGGCGGTTGGTGTTTTCATCAATATGCTTATTTGCCGGGTTCGTCTCAACCCGGTTACAGCCGTAGGAGATCTCCTCGACTCGGTCCAGAAAGATCTCATGACCAGCATGGAACATAAGGAGGTATCGCTGGCCCATGTACAGCATAAGACGAAAAACCCAAATGCAGCCTTGTTCAACACGGCCTACTCCTTCCAGCGGCGCGCCGTGGCCAAGTCCATGGCCACAGGGCCACTCTCATTCGAGGTTTTTGAAGCACAGGACCCTAATGAGTACGATATAACAGTCAACGTCGAGGTCTGGGACTCTCAAGCAGAGCTACAGCTGTGTTACTGGTCAGACAAGATATCAGATACACACGCTAGAAACGTCGCATCAACATTCAATCAAGTTTTGAGCTCACTCGTTGCCTCCAAGCCACAAACGTTAATTGGTGATCTTGAAATCCTCAGCAATCACTGTTTGAGTCAGATTACATCTTGGAATCTTGAGCAGCCCAGTTATTTGGATCAATGCGTGCATCATATTGTTGACCAGAACGTCTTACGTCAACCAACTGCTCCAGCGGTTGACGCTTGGGATGCGCAGTTCACATACGCTGAACTTGAAGTGGCTGCATCCAAATTAGCTCGATTCCTGGTTTCCCGCGGAGTTAAACCCGAAACCTATGTTCCCCTATGTTTTGAGAAGTCTGCCTGGACGGTCGTGGCCATGATGGCCGTTCTAAAAGCCGGCGGCGCATTCGTCCCACTCGACCCGACACACCCTCCAGAGCGTATCAATTTCCTCCTGGAGAGTGTGGCCGCCAAGCTGGTCCTCTGCTCACCGTCACTCATTGCCAAGTTTGAGGGCTATGGAATTGACGCATTTGGCGTCGGCAACCAACTACTGGCCCAGCCCGAGGAGCCAACCGAGCTTCAGGTCAACGTTGGCCCAACCAACCCGGCCTACATCATCTTTACATCTGGAACAACCGGCCTACCAAAGGGCACAATAATCGAGCACGGAGCGTTTTCCACCGGCGGTATTGCACATGCCAGGGCTATCAAGATGACTGCTTCATCCCGGGTGCTGCAGTTTGCATCACACACATTCGATGCAAGCATTATGGAGATCTTGACCACGTTGCTTGTCGGTGGTTGTGTGTGTATCCCCAGCGAACAAGATCGACTGAACGATTTAGCAGCGGTCATTAACCGATTTGACATAAATTGGACCCTACTGACACCTTCAGTGGCAAACGTGCTCAAGCCAGGCAGTGTACCCAGCCTTAAAGTCTTGGTCACTGGAGGCGAGGCCATGTCAAGGGATCATATCCAGAAATGGGCTGACGAAGCTGTTTTGGTCAATGCCTACGGACCTAGCGAGACATCTGTTATTGCAGCAACCAGCACAAAGGTGGATGAGAGCGGCACCGTGGTCGATCGAGAGCCAGCTACTATCGGACATGCCGTGGGAAGCCGCTGCTGGGTGGTTGATCCGCGCAACCATCATCGCCTCGTGCCCATCGGCGGTGTTGGAGAGCTCGTCGTTGAAGGTCCAATTGTGGCAAGAGGCTACTTGAACAACGAGACAAAGACCAAGGAAGCATTTATTGACCAGCCGCCGTGGAGAGCGAACATGCAGCTCCCTGGAGACCGGTTGGACAAGATGTACAAGACCGGCGACTTGGTCACTTACAACTCTGACGGCTCGCTCAGGTACGGAGGCCGGAAGGATACTCAGGTTAAGCTGAATGGTCAGCGGATCGAACTTGGAGAAATCGAGCATCATGTCCTAGTCAATCTTCCGGCAACTATACAGTCCGCGGTTGATATTGTTGTTCCCCAGAACAAAACTTCAGCCAAGGCTCTCGCCGTCTTCTTGGCCATTGAGGGAGAGGAAGGTCAAGAAGTTGTTGCAGATGTAGACGGGACTCTTCTCCATGTCTCGGAATCATTCAAGAAACTCGCCGAAGATCTCAAATCGAATCTCTTGGGCGCTCTTCCATCTTACATGGTTCCTACTTTATACATCCCCCTGACGAGGATGCCATGGACTCTGGCTGGGAAGCTGGATCGTCAGAGATTGAGAGGTATTGTCCATCGTCTCTCAATCCAACAGCTTGTTCCCTATAAGCTTGCTGTCGCCAGCAAGAAGAAAAAGCCCACCCTACCCATGCAATGCAGACTTCAGAAGGTGTGGCAAAAGGTTTTGGAGCTGGATGCAAATGCTATCAGCATAGACGACAACTTCTTTAGGCTCGGTGGCGACTCTGTCGGTGCGATGAAACTCGTCGCCATAGCCCGAAGCGAGAGGATAGCCTTGACCGTTCTCAATGTATTCAGGCATCCGAAGTTGTCTGACATGGCAGCTTTCTGTACGCCCCTCGACCACTCAGCCACGACTTCGATAAGCCCATACTCGCTGCTGCGCGATATATCCTCTGTTGCGAAATTACTTGACGAGCTGTCAGGGCTCTGTGATGTCCCGCAGGGTCAGATACAAGACGCCTATCCGTGCAGCTCGCTCCAAGAGGGTCTGATGACCTTGTCGCTGCAACAGCCCGGCGCGTATGTGGCAGAGAATGTGTTCAAACTGCCTGCAACGGTTGATCTGGATCGTTTCAAGATGGCCTGGCAAAAGACTGTAGACCAGGTTGACATCTTGAGATCACGCATTGTCAACTCCACATCATCCAAATTCTACCAGGTCGTTCTTCAGCCACAGCCCTTGATTTGGAGCCATGTAACAGATCTATCCTCAGCAATTGGCCGTACAAGCCAAATCCCCGGACGCAACGGTGGGCAGCTGACCCAGTACACTCTTGTCGAAGAACCTGAGTCAGGCTCAGTCTTCTTCGTATGGGCAGTGCACCATGCGCTCTATGACGCTTGGAGTATGCCAGCCATGATCAACATGGTTGAAAGGCTCTACCTTCAGAACGGGGTCACTTCTACCCCTCCCAATGTACCTTTCGTCAACTTCGTTAATTATCTGTCGAACGTGGATGTCGAGGCATCCAACAAGTACTGGGAGGCTAAGTTCAGTGATGCTTCTCCTTCTCATTTCCCCAGCATCTCATCTGCCGCGGCGCACAATGAATCATCCCGTGTCACTATGAAGCACACTGTGCAGTACCAAACTGACGATGCCAATATTGACATTACTATCCCCACGTTCGTCCGCGCTGCGTGGGCACTTGTGGTGGGATCTCAAGCGGGAACGGATGATGTGGTGTTTGGAGAGACGTTGTCTGGTCGTGATATTGTCCTGGACGGCGTAGGTGATATCCTCGGTCCAGTACTAACCACTGTGCCAACCAGGGTCATCATTGATAGACAAGCAACCATTGAAGATTTCCTTAAGGCAATCTACGACCAGGCCGCGGAGGTCATCCCGTACCAGCATGCCGGCCTTCAAAACATCAAACGTCTTGGGACAGCCATGGCAGAAGCGTGCAATTTCTCCAACCTCCTGGTCATCCAGGCTGCTGAAGAATCCTCCCCCCAATCTCAAATGATGCATTCAATAGAAAGTGCACAAGTCGAAGACTTCTTCACTTATCCTCTCGTTGTGGAATGCGCTGTCGAGGCCCAGAGCCTCGTATTGACCGTTCATCATGACGAGGCGGTGCTCAGCAGCTGGCAAATGGAGCGCATACTGTATCAATTTGACACACTCGTGAAGCAGCTCATGAGCGAATTTCAAAACCCAGCTCGAAAAGTGGCAGACCTTAATCTCTGCAGCCCACAGGATCTGCAAATTATCAAAAGTCACAATAACTTCGCTCTGGATTATGTTGAGGAGACTGTTCCAGCGTTGTTCCTTAGCATGGCCGCTCAAACCCCCGAGGCCACTGCTATTCACGCTTGGGACGGAGAAATCAGCTACGAAAGCGTCCGAGCGTACGCAATGCGGCTGTGCAAGTTCATGATTGACCGTGGTATCAAGGCTGAGACGTTCATCCCGTGCTGCATGGACAAGTCCATCTGGACCACGATATCCATGATGGCAGTCATGCTCGTCGGAGGTGTCGTGGTGCCCCTGGATCCTGCCCATCCTCCTACCCGACACGCTGAAATTGTTCACGAATGCGAAGCACCCATGGTGTTATGCTCAGTTCAACATCGTGACCGCTTTGCAGGGTTGGGAGTGGAAGTAGTAGCTGCGGATAGCGCCATGTACAACATAACCCTATCTTACCAGCGTGATGACGATATTCAGTTGCCCGTTGTGCGACACACAGATGCTGCTTTTGTGATCTACACGTCTGGAAGTACCGGAAAACCGAAGGGTGTTATCATGGAACATGGCACTTTCTGCTCAAGCTCCAAGGCGTGGATGAAGCACATGAATCTCACCTCTTCCTCGAGGGTGTTCCACTTCGCATCCTATGCCTTTGATGTAGCTATGGGTGAAACACTCGGTGTTCTCGCAATGGGTGGCTGTGTATGTATACCGAGCGAGGAAATGCGGACAGGTGATCTCTCGGTTGCCATGAACTCTTTGCGGTCTACATGGGCTTTCTTAACACCCTCAGTCGCCAACATCCAGGATCCCTCATTATTCAAGACTTTGCAAACTCTGGTCTGCGGTGGTGAACCTCTGACTGCAGAGACAATCAAAGTATGGGCCGACCATGTCTCCTTGATGAACGGCTATGGCCCCGCTGAATGTACAGTTTTCTGTATGATGAGTGGCGAGGTCTCGGTGGACAAAGACCACACCCACATTGGACACGCCATGGAAGGCGGCCATGCTTGGATCGTTGACCCCAGAGACCACAACATTCTCTCACCCCTGGGTTGTGTGGGCGAGCTTCTCATTAGCGGGCCCATTTTGTCTCGTGGGTATCTAAACAATCCCGAGAAGACCAAGGAATCTTTTATTGAGAATCCTTCCTGGGCTTCCTTGGTAGCAGATCCACTCGATGATCGGCCTATGCGGCTGTACAAGACTGGTGATTTAGTTCGATATCGCCCTGACGGAAAGATGGCAATCCTGGGCAGAAAAGACCTCCAGGTGAAGATTAATGGCCAGCGACTAGAACTAGGAGAGATCGAAGCGACTCTGGATGCCGACATCAACGTTCGCCATGCTCTTGTTAGTTTCCCCAAGTCCGGACTGTGCAAGGGTCGTCTTGTGGCTGTCATCTCTCTCCACTGTCTTGCCTCCGTCGATCCATTGATAATCTCTTCAGATTGTGTCTTGGTCTCTGATTCTCAGATGGAGGCTGCCCGAACAGAAGTTTCTGCCATTCAAGAGCGCCTATCTGAGACCCTTCCTCCTTACATGGTTCCAACGTCCTGGTTTGTGGTCAAAGATGTTCCACTTTTGGTATCTGGAAAACTGAACCGGCCTCGAGTTCAGTCATGGGTCGCTACCATGGACCTTGAAGTGTACAAGAAGTCAGTAAGCTTGGAACACAGCGACGACCTAAGCGAGCCCGAGACATTCACCGGTCAGCTCCTCAGGCGCATATGGTCATCAGTGCTCAACATGCCGGCAGAGACTCTACCCACCAACCAGTCTTTGATCAATCTAGGTGGCGATTCGATTACCGCTATGCAAATCATGACTCTATGCCGTGATCACTCCATCAAACTGTCACTGCACGAGATCATCAAAGGCAAATCAATCACGGAGTTGGCTGAGTTCATCCACAAGGAGAATCGCCATGTTCAGTCATCGATCGCCGGGGATGAGGAAGAAATGGACCGAGCCTTTGCACTTTCGCCCATCCAACAACTATACTTTAACAACAGCACTGATCAAACCCGTGGTGATCAATTCAACCAAAGTCAGCTGTTGTTAGTTAATGACCAGATTGACAGCGAAGGATTCGAAACTGCAATTCAAACTCTTGTTAAAAAACACTCGATGCTCAGGTCTCGTTTTACGCGGTCTCAGGATGGAGAGTGGACGCAATTGATTTCGGCAGATATTGCAACATCGTACAAATTCCAGGACCACATCATCGAATCAGATTCCGAGATGACTTCACTAGTATCAAGCAGCCAACGAAGCGTTGACATCAGTTCAGGACCGCTGTTCATCGTCGACTTATTCAACCGATCCGGTAAACCTCAGGTTGTCTCCCTCATCGCTCATCATCTCGTAGTAGATATTGTCTCCTGGTTCAACATACTTCGCGACTTGGAAACATTCCTCAGCGGAACAATTCAGGAGATTTCCAAGCCGTTTTCGTTCCAGTCGTGGTGCGCTTCTCAAGCCGCGCATGCAACCCAATCGGAAATGAAGGGCTCCAGTGTTCTTCCTTTTAACATCCAGCCTGCTGACTTTGGATTCTGGGGCATGGGTGGCATTGGTAACAGTTATGGAGAAGTGACTAGCCAGTCGTTTGTGGTTTCAAATCCAGAAACTGTCGCCCTTGCGCTGGATGGCTGTCATGAGCCTATGAGAACAGAACCTCTCGATTTGTTCATCTCGTCTTTGCTGCAATCATTTGGCCTCATTTTCAATGAAAGGAAGCTACCTACAGTTTTCAATGAAGGCCACGGCAGGGAGGCTTGGGACAATTCCATCGATATCGCGCAAACTGTAGGTTGGTTCACCGCACTCTGTCCAGTGCATATATCTCTCGATGACAAGGAAGACGAGCTCGAGTCAATCTGCAAAGTTAAAGACGTTCGAAGGAGCATACCAGACCACGGGAGAGAGTACTTTGCTCATCGCTACCTCACCGAGAGAGGACGACAAGATTTCAGAGATCATGAGCCAATGGAGATCCTGGTTAACTATCTTGGCCGCACGCGTCAACAGAGTAAGGTGGCTTCCTTGCTCGAGCCATTCGATTATCAAAAGACAGACGAAGAAGAGAGACTTGTTTCTGACGTCGGGTCGGATACAAAACGTCTTGCTCTCATTGAGATATCTATATCTGTCACTGACGAGGGAATCAAGTTTGCATTCCTCTACAACAAGCAAATGCGTCACCAGGATCGTATCACTCAATGGATTTCGAGCTGTAGATCGGTTCTTGTCGCTACTTCCGAAAAGTTGAGTCACCTCGGTGCCACTCCAACATTGAGTGATCTCCCGCTACTCCCGGTCAACTACACTGAACTTCAAAAACTTGTCAGCAAGTCTCTACCAGCTGCGCATGTCACTGACTTCGGAGAGGTTGAAGATATCTTCCCTTGCTCACCTATGCAGGTGGGTATTCTTCTCAGCCAACTCCAGGATCCTGGTAGATATCTCTTCCACACCGTTCTGGAGGTTGTTCCAGCCCCAGACAGTGGCAAAGTTGATGCAAAGAGACTATCCCAGGCGTGCAAGGAAGTCATCAACCACCACACGGCTTTACGAACTATCTTTATCAACAGTGTCTATCGTTCTGGTACCTTTGACCAGGTGGTCTTGAAGCCTCGTAACGCCAGAATCCGCCTGATCCGGTGCCGAGAAATTGAGGTGATGGCAAAACTGAACCGCGTATCTCTGGAAGAAACAAATAAGCGACCTGGCCCACAACTACCTTACCAGGTCACCATCTGTGAGACTCCTCAAGGAAAGGTGTTTATGAAAATGGAGATGAATCATGCTATTACGGATGGTGCTTCAACTTCAATACTGATGCGCGACATCACAAGGGCTTACGACAACACGTTGTCTAATGCCAAGCCCCGATCCTACAAAGAGTACATCAAATATATCAGCACACAGTCGACTGAAGAAAATCTTGGTTTCTGGATGACATATCTCAGAGGAGTACAGCCTACAGAGTTCCCCGCCTCTACTCAAGAACCTATCGGAGAAAGAACGCTCAACTCTGTGGAAGTTGATTTCGAGAGCTTTGCTCATCTACATTCTCTCGCCTCTAGCTACGGCGTCACCTTGTCTAGCGTGGTACTGGTAGCTTGGGCTCTTGTTCTTCGTAAATACACGAGATTGGAAGACCTCTGTTTCGGATACCTTGCCTCCGGGCGAGACGCGGAAGTCGACGGAATTGACGACATCATGGGACCCTTTATCAACATGCTTGTCTTCCGCTTCCGGTTCGAGCCTCATATGCGCCTGAAAGAACTTCTTGATGGCGCACAAGAAGATTACCTTGCCAGTCTGCCTCATCAACATGTTTCTCTGGCTCGCGTCAATAATGCGCTCGGGTGGACGAAGCGCAGCTTGTTTAATACCGCTGTGTCAATCCAAAATTCAAGTTCCGCTGGCAACTCTGCAGCAGCTTCCCTTACGTACGAGCCGGTTGAGGCACATGATCCTAGTGAATATTCTGTCACAGTCAATGTGAATACCGCTCGAGAGGACGAGGGTATCTTGTTCCGATACTGGTCCGATGTTCTGTCTCCGGACCAGGCGGAAGATCTTGCAGAGTCATTTTCAGAATTGCTTCATGATTTCATCGACCATGCTGAGGAAAGCATTTCGCGCTTGCGTCTCTTCCAAGGATTATTGACGCCCAGTGACGGCAGCCCAAGCACCCCTGACACAGTGGATATGTGGTCGCCAGATCAAAATCTGGACTACAAGAAAGAGATTGACACGAAGCCACTCTCGGCTTCTAACCTAACCACCAACTTGGAAAATCTACGTTTCTCGGCCACCAAGAAACTTGATCATCTGACCCGTCTTCGAGAATTGTTATCCGAGAAGCTGTCGATAGTGTGGAAAGAAACACTCAGCCTTGAAGAGACCCCAATTGCATATGAGGATAGCTTCTTCGAGCTTGGAGGAGACTCTATCATTGCAATGGCAATGGTTGGAATTGCGAGGGAAGCCGAACTATCCCTCACCGTTGCCGACATTTTCCAGAACGCCACCTTTGGAGAAATGGTCGAATGCTTACTAGAAAAATCTGCCGAAGAATACGAACCATCATCAAGTGACGATGAAACTTACTACTCTAAGAAGGACAGCAGGGCGGGAGACGGAGACTCCTATGAGCCCCTATCCCTCGTGGATCAAGAAGATATCGAGAATTTTATTCGCGATTGCATATGCCCCGTTGCTCGCGTGTCTCGGGCTAGCATTGTGGACGTGCTTCCTACAACGGACTTCCAAACACAGTCGATAGAAGGGAGCCTTCTCGACTCACGCTGGATGCTGAACATGTTTTACCTGGATGGCTTTGGTCATCTGGACATCGGACTACTCCGGGAGAGTGTCGCCAACATCGTGGCAACTTTTGATATCCTTCGAACCGTCTTCGTCCCTCACGGAGATGAGTATCTTCAAGTTGTTCTCCGGCAACTCCAGCCAGACTTCAGAGTGGACACCGCAGTTGAAGACATTGAGCAGTATACGAAGTGCCTTGAGCAAGAAAACCTTCAGGAGACACCGAGACTGGGTGAGTCATACGTGCGCTTTATTGTGGCACAAGCCAAGTCATCCAACCACCATAGGATCTTCCTGCGGATTTCCCACGCGCAGTATGACGGAGTTTGCTTCCCAACCATTCTCCAAGCATTAAAAAATTGCTATGAAGGGAAGCCAATTATTCCAACACCTCCATACGCAAGCTATGTGCACGGCGCATTGGGTAAAATCACCTCCCAGCATTACGCGTACTGGAAAAAACTCCTTCAAGGATCTAGAATGACGGATGTTGTCCAGAGAGACCGTACAACACTGGCCACGCGTCCAATCAAGGTCTTGAAGCAAGAGGTGCTGAGTCACTCGCTTGCCTCTTTGAATATCACTACTGCCACTGTCATCAAGGCGGCGTGGTCCCAGGTCTTGGCACAAATTACGGGAACGTCAGACATCTTATTTGGCCATCTCATTAGTGGTCGCAACGTTACCGATGTGCCTGGAATTGAGAGTGTCGTGGGTCCCTGCCTCAATATGGTCCCAGTTCGCGTGCCTCTCCAGGCGTCGTGGACTGTGATTGACCTTTTACGGTACATCCAAGGACAGCAAGTCGACAATATGGCTTATGAGTCTCTGGGATTCCGCAAGATAATTGAAAAGTGTGCTGATTGGGGTCAAGAACGCACCGACAAGAACTTTTCCACTATTGTCCAACACCAAAGCATGGCCCAGACAGGGGGCTTGACAATAGGTGACAACTCATACACCGTAGGAGCTGTCTCTTCGCAAGTAGATCCCGCTGATTTCAGCGTCGTGACTACACCCAAAGGTGCTGATAGACTTGAAGTCTGCTTGCTCTATGCGCAAGATGACCACATCTCTCCTTTGTTTGCTGAAAAGGTTTTCGATACTTTGTGCAGGACGATTGAGCTCTTCTCTTCGAAACCACAGAGTTTGTTGTCGGTTGGACAGGAAGAATTTTGATTGTGTTTCGATCTTTTGTTTTGATTTTATTTTCCATTTCTGTTTAGTTTGAATACGTGTTTATAGCATATTTCTTGATGGTGGATAACACGAAAGTAATTAGCGAGGACTCATATATATATACATTCAAACTCTTTCTAATTACTCACCATTTATACTATTCATTAGTCCCCTCACATCTCGCATGCGTTTGGCGTTCCTTATAAAATTGTAAAAATTCAAGCTCATTATTCACCAGCATTGTGTTTAGCATTTTGATATTTAGAATGATGTTCAACTACATATATATCCCCATCTTCAGGGCATATTCTCTTAAGCTCCCCAGCCACAAGTTCTCTATTCCGATGTTCCAATTTTCATGCCAGATACATTTCCCCTTGTTCGAGCACTTGTAAATGCAACAGATGTTATCGTATGTCACCAATAATTGATGATGTGAGCAAACTAGTAACAAGGACGGGGATTTGAAAAGTGCAGACCGGCTTCTTAACAAACATAGCATCTCTATTAAATTCAATCACTCAAACACTCCCTTCCCCAGGTAGCCAGTCCTGGGGTCGATCTTATGAGTCCAACTACTGAAACACAATACCAAGTTTAGATCTATCTTCACAAGCTTCTCAACTCTACTCTGGGTTACCAGACTCCATTATCAATTTGAATCAGTGACAAAAGTTTAGTACCGTAATCTAAGCGAGTGCACGACTTTCCCCCACAACACACTACCTTCGTCAAATTCCTCTACAACGGATAATACCGACGGTTTCGCATGAAGTAAGATCTTTCTTGATATTGAGGCTAGGCTCTACCAAAAAAAAAACCGAGGCTCCATCTTAGGGCCGCAGCAACGAGCTAGAAAATCGACACGAGGTTTCATAAAGAGCCGCGACTTCCTAATACCCTCTTAGTTCACTGCATTTGGCTCGTGTGTTTTCAAGGCTGATTTAATTGAAGTTATAACATTACGACGGCACCCAGACGAGAGGGCTTAAGATCTACAACTAAACGACCAACATTATTGGCTGGGAGACAAGAAGGCTGTGTTTCTCTCTCCGCCGCGCGGCCATGGTAAATGGGAGTTGAATGATTTATCAATGCATCTGGTGAGGCGCACGACCTCACAGAGGATCAGCCGGATAAGCCAGCCGAGATGATTACGCAATACGACAGTATATCTTTCCGTTTTCGGTGAGTACTCAATGCCAACAGACCCCGTTTGAACTCCGGTGAGATTGGCGTAACCGGTAAAGATGCCTCCAGCGGTGAAGAGCAAAACCCACTTGAGCTCCGGGACCCACTCGAATTCCGTGACCGGCGACCTTGATACTCGATTAGGAAAACGAGGATTATCAACAACCCTGACTTCCATCCTTCCTGAGTATAGTTATGGTCGCGTCCGCTTACATCTTACTCTTGGTATGCCCATACTAAGTTACTCACATAATACTTAACAGGCACTCGTCTCACTATTGGAACCCTGGAGCTGGTTGGTCATGCAGAACAGCCTAGTAGTTAAAGCAGCTTTTTGGGTAGCTTGAATAAATACCACTCTAACTCCGCTTTGAAGAGTAAAATTCCGTAACTTTATTTCCCCATACCTCCTGCAAGTCAGTCCTAACTACGCTCGCGAAATCATTGCCTTGCGCAGGGCGTTGAGAAGCCACGCCGTTACTCATCTATTTTCAACGATTCACAGTATAACCTAAATACAGTCAAGATGACAACTGTTGTTATTGTCCCCGGATCATTCAGCGGTCCTAGCCTGTATGACAGCTTCGTACAGGAACTCGAAAAGAATGGTGTACGCGCAGCCGTTGTCAAACTTGCATCAGTTGGCCGCAAGGAAACTCCAGGCACCTTGTCCGATGACGTTGATGCGATCTCCGAGGTCGTCACGGGCTTATTAGATGCCGGCCAAGAGGTGGTACTGCTCACTCATTCCTATGGTGGCGTCCCCGGCACGCAGAGTCTAGAAAGACTATCAGACAAAGCAAGACGAGCAAACGGAGGGCGTGGTGTCAAGAAGATCATTTATATGGCGTCGGTCATTCTGCCGGTCGGCACGTCTAATATGGACGCAACCAGGGCTTCGATTCCTGAATGGATGACCTTCGAGGTAGGGACACTATCCATAGTTCCAATTTATTAAAAGTCTAACCAATTCATCGCAGGATGACTATATGGTATTGGATGTCGCCGAGGCCGCCGCCATTACGTTTTCCGATATGCCTGCCGAAGAAGGATTAGCAGTGGCAAAGAATATGGACGTTCAATCCATCGCCAGTTTTGAGGAGAAGCTAAGATACCCCGGCTATAACGACGTCGATGAAGTCCACTATATCCTATGCGAGGAGGATAAGGTGATCCCACCGCAGTTTCAGGAGGCCATGTTGGAATTGCTTAAAGCATCCACCGGGAAGGATTCTATTGTTCACAGACTCAAGTGCGGTCATGCGCCAAGCTCTAGTCAGAGTGGCAATGTGATTGAAATTGTCAAGAAAGTGATTGAGGGAAGGTAGAATAGACTGACGTCTATGCCATGCCGTTAGCTTTTACAAAGAAGAAAAGCAATGAAGCGCCGTCCAATTAAGTTTCGAAGTGACCAGATGCTCCTAATATGTAGAATGATTTTAATATGAGCTAAGAACAGTCTATCCGATATAAGTTCATCTACCTTATAACTGTGTCAGGTGGCCAAGTCGCATGTGGCCCAAAAAACGTTTCCTTCTAGCTACCCAGTTTCAAGCACTTCAGGGCCTAATCTTGGATCTTGATCCCCTCTCTTATCAGCTCTTACCAAAACACACGGCATGCTAGTTACCACATATGATAAATCGCCTTCCCATAGTTATTGAGACTTTAGCGCAAATACCTTCATAGCAAGATGCGGCTAACACCGGCCTTTCACTGAAAATTAACTTGAACAGGAAATATATACCGAGGTCTTGGAGCCTGACGATTCAATTAACTACCATATACTTAACCAGCTTTATCACTTCTACAGACAGACGTCGAACCACCGAAACTCTTCAATTCATGTGAAGATTTCATATCATGCCGCTTCAGTCTACATATTTTTTCGGGAATATGCTTATAAACTCGCGGTGTTGTCCCCTCAGGTACATACTCTTCATCTCAAGCCTTAGCTACTCAATCGTTAAGCCAAAAAGCTTGTATCTGAAAAAGTTTTAGAAACAGAATTCTGTTCGACTTTCTAACTCGCCCTAAAAACAGCTCTATGGCATAGGTGGCTTGCAACAAAATACAGCCCTGGGCTCGCAAGGCTTGATAAGCTACATCGCCTTACTAAATTGAACACCAGTCAGCCTTGTTTCTTTAAAACAGTTTCAGTGAGGTACGTGATTCTAATCTAGAATCTCTCCCTTCGAAACTTCCCCCAGATAGCCACAGGATTTCTTTCGATCTCTTCCACAAACCAAACCTTCGTCATGTCGTGTGCGGTAGATATCTTCAGGAATTAGTTTATAAAAATGGAAAAACAATCGGTAGAGTCCAAGCCAAGCAAGATTTTCTGTCGCCTTTCCATTGCTGTAAAGGCGAAGAGTGGCATTTTGGCGTCCCAGATAAAAGACAGCGGCTCTAAGAGGCTATCTAGCAAAAACGCGTAAAGATCATCGTATCGGATGATTTTATTCATCGCCTCAACCGCCGCTTCGTCTTTACAATCAACTGTTAGTCATGAAACCCTCCGGTTTGGGGGCGCTATACTTCAGGGCACATCCATCGAGTAATAGTGTCTCACTATGGGGAGGTTGTATTTAAATGGCGTGAACAGTCGCTTTAGAAGCTCTGCCCTGGATTGTATACCTCCGGATAATCCAGCCAGACTTCCACCCACTGCCAGCACCCATCAATCCTAAACATAAAAAGCTAGTCTGCCTTGATTGCGCTTATGAAAAACCTTTTTCAGTTTTCATTATCAAGGCAAAAGCAAACTGACTAGGAGGATTGATTTCAGTTCTTAGAAAGTTTATGACTGTTAGGATAGAAGGGAGAAAGAAGTTTATGAAGGCCTCGTAGGATCCTCAGGATTCTTGAACCTAGGCAGCAGGATCCCAAAAAGAGGCCTGTAGTCTAAGGCATACCTCTGCTCGACAATGAGTTGCAGGATCTTCAATGAGAGAAAGGGGGCGAAATAGAACCCAAGGGAAGTATGAGCTGTTGGATCCGTCCTAACGCGAGGTGTCACAACGGGATTCGCGCTCTACAACGCGTGAAATTTTCTATGTATCTTATGACTATAAAATCTAGTAAAGATACCTCCCGAGTTTTGAATAAGGGAGCTTGATACATCAGGGGTCAGTCCAGAAGAGGAGTCATTGCGTAACAACAACACAACACACAACCGCAGGACATTGAATACACACACGTTATTGACCCAAATAAGCACTTGTTATTAGCCGTATCCGTTGGAGTCCAACATGAGCTCCACAAGTGCTAGCGGCAGCGTAACCCAGTCCCCCTTTTTAACCAGGGTGGACTAATAACAGGCGTATTCCCTGTTTTCGCTTCCGAGAGCCGCGGAAAACCGCGGCAAGCTGCCCTACCCTACATTCCGCCTGCCTGCATCAGGTTAGATGGATGAATCCAAGAACATAATCAAGATAACTACTTGTGTATAGTATTTAAGTAAATCTAAGCTAGTATTTGATAAAAGCTTTAGGATTGTAGATGTATGTAGTTCCTTTGGCAAAGGCTATTCCAACAGTAAAGTAAAGCATCGTTTCGTTGATCTCTGAAAAACATTTGTTGCCGACACTTTAAACGTTGCCTCAAATTTTGCATTCGATGTTCCAATTAACATGTGAAATGTTGGCTCACAATCGAACCACTAGTTAACAAGATCGAGTTTAGGTCGCTACATGTTGCTCGACAATGAATATGAAGTTCCCTAAGTTGCTGCTGTTGAGTGAGTTGCAGAATAACCCTTTTGGTTGTAAAACGTAAGTCATCTAAGCTCACGAGTCACCGACCCACGAATCTTATGCTCTTTGTAGGTAATTGCTACACAGCTCCCCGTGTGAAATCAAGTAATGACGCGTTGGTTTCGTGACATAAAATCTTCGTGTAGTGTAAGTGCGTGATCTGCTGCTGCCTACCTGAACACCTACAAATGCCTGCCTGGGCCTCTCAACGCATCTCAACTCTTCTCTTCCTTACAACATCACTTTTCACCTCTCAAAATCTCGAGTTGTCTTTGTTCTTTGGCTCTTAGGACCCTTATCTTCTCCTTCAACCTTTCTCCAACTTCTCCTTCTAGTCCGTTCGAGGATAACGGGTTTCTGATTTAGACACGTTGCTCTCTCTTCTGGATGAACCTTCAACCAACCTGGCGTAAAGTTCCATGCTCTACCTATGACATACGCCACATAGACGGTATAAGGGTTGTTTTTTTGAGGGCGACTCTTTAAGAGAGGCTTTGATCACTGTCTTAGATAGACAAGAACCTCCCGTTTTTGTCTCTGTTTCTCCCCTGTTAATTCCTATCTCTTTGATTACCCTCTTGTTTAATCGGGTTACGGCTGCTCAAGGAAACCAGAAAGCTTGGGTGGGAGGGATCTTGCTTCCAGCGAGGATATCGTGAGTTGATACTTGCGCTTGCGCAGGCTGACCTATACGCAACATTCTTTTCGAAATGTTCTGAATGCCTCTTTCAAAACTAGTCCATCTTAGAATCTAGGTAATGTAGAGATCAGATATGTGAAGCCCGGAGCCGAAGTTAATCGTTTGACAATTTCAAATTGGCATAGGACCGCAAAAGGAACTCTCTTCCATGAAATACACCAATTGTAATTAATCTACTAAGAAAGATTGTAGAAAAGAGGACGAAGATTCTACGCGCAAGAAATGATCACAATACAACCGGGACAAAACTATTACTTTCTCCTCGCCGAACGGGCGCCCATCTTATCCCGCACAATCTCCTGCATCCAACCCGGCCACCCCCTGAAGCCAGTGACGATCGAATGATTCTCAGGAAGCACCAGCGTGCCACCCCTCCGGCTGAGAACGCGCCCAACGATACTGTCAGCGACAGCATCAGCGCTAAGAATAAGCGTGCCCTCCTGGTCAAGATGAGCCTCGAAGTCCTTGATGATGGGCGTCCGAACGAACTCGGGGTGGACCGATGTGGTGAGCACCTTTGGCGCCTTGTAGAAATACTTGAGCTCGGTCCCCAGCGTCTCGTGGAACGCGCGGGCGGACGATTTGCTCCCTGCGTAATCACTGCCCTTGGGCACAGAGAGGAAAGACGCGCCGCTGGCGATGGTGACGACGTGGCCCTTGTTCTGCTGGATCATCCATGGCAGGAACTGCTGGACGGTGAACCAATGCGAGATGGTGTTGATGTTAAAGGTTGCATGCAGCTGCTCCTCGGTCATGTCGAGAATCTTGCATGGCCGGCAGATGCCAGCATTGTTGATCAACACGGAGGGGTTGCCGAGCTCCTTGCGGATGGCATCGGCAGCGGCGGCGACCTCGGCCGACTTTGTGAGGTCGCACTTGTAGAAGCGTGCGCGAGGGTGCTCCTTCAGAAAGGACCCAGTGATGTCCTGGACATCGAGGATGGCAACGCGGAGACCCTTTGCGATCAGCTTCTCGGCAGTGGCCTGGCCGATGCCGCTCGCACCGCCGGTAATAACGGCGATCTCGTTAGGCCAGTCCCAATCAGTAGGCGCGGCCAGACGCCAGGAGTTGGTGGCGAGGCCGTTCAGTATGCGGTTGAGCCATCGTACAATGTTGAAGACAACCAGAGCCCCAAGAGCCGTTCTCAGCCTGCCTCTATTGCTCAGGGACAAGACCAGAGCCTCTGTCCCCGAGAGGCCGGGAATACGGCCTAGGAGAGCGGCGATGGCCTGCTGGACCGCGCCGGGTGTGATGGCCGCGAGCAGAGCGCAGCCTGGGAGCAGGCTTGTGGGGAGCGACTGGCGTATCAGGGACATGGGGGGCAAGGTCGGTTAGAATGTGAGAGATTTGAGGTAGAGGAGACAGGGCGTGGGTGGAAATGGCGGTGTTTGTAATGACGGGAGCGAGCGGGGTTTGACGAAACGAGGTCAGTATAAGTATAATCGTAAGCTTAGCCAAAGTCAAAGCTCCAAACAAAGTTGGCGTGAGGTATAATGCAAGGGCCAACGGTCGGTAGTGGGCAAATCGGTTGGTTCGGATCAAGGTTGATTGGAGGGGCTACCGGGGTTGTTGGATACGACACGGGCCAGGGGCGGTTGGCTCCAGCAATATATGCAGGGAGTGTGAATAGACGGGAGGGGAAGGTGGTAGTTGGATGGAGGTCCGCAGAGTGCGTTGATGACAAGGATCTTGAATCTAGGCAGCGATGGACCTTGCTGCACGTGGTGACTGACCATCTCGGCGTTATGAATGGAATAAGGGGGGGTTGAGCAAGTTAATGGAGGGGGGTGGTTAGACCATCCTTAAAGACGACAACACGAGCAGGGTACTAGATAATATGTCGGATGTTATTGTCATAGTAGAGCAATTAAATATATACATAGAAGTCATTATACAGGAACATATAAACTAATCCAGAACCAGAAATAAGCCTTAGAGGAGTAAGAGCCCCCATTGTGACGCATCTGCATCCACAACCTTCTTGTGTGGAGGCAGGAGATCGCATGTGGGTGTCCCTCTGTTTGGATTTAGTCACTCATTACATTATTAGATATCAGATATGAGAATTTATCGGCGGCAGACGTTACGTTTATTGATCATGATCATAGATCAACCGGTATCGAATCCCTCTTAGCGGGTGGCACACAAGCGTCCGGTGGTTGACGTTGCCCACTTCTCGCTGCCAACACCCTTGTAGGTGTAGAAGAGACCCTCACAATCGTACTTGAGCTTGATGGCCTGGAGCTTGGCGTAGTTTGATCCGTAAAAGACCTTTTGCCAGTCGGCCTCTTGGATGTCGGCCTCGTTCACGTAGGCGTAGGAGTCGGGGACGGCGGCCTTGAGCTTGGGCATGTACGTGTTGGTGATGGTCGACAGAGCCGCTTCCATGGCCGCGACGGTTCCCTTGGGGTCGTAGGTGGACAGAACATTGACCTGTGCGACCGAGGTGCGCCACTGGGGGAGGACCGAGTTGGAAACCTTGTCATCAGGCGGGCTGTAGTCGGCGACACTCAGGATGACGCCACCACCGGCTGAAACGATCTCGAGGATGGTATCAGCGTACGCCTTGGGGTTTGTCTCCAGAACAGTCTTGGGCAGAAGCTGGCCTCCAACCTGGGTGTCGCCAATTGGGAGAATACCGGCAGGGATGGGTCCCATGTAGGTCGCGTAGTGGTCGTAGTAGGAGAGAGTGCTGTATGTTGGGTTGACAGTAATGCCAATCGCCTTCAAGTCCGCCACAAAGGGGGCGAGGATTTCCTGGGCCCGTTCACCGGTGCTGTTGTAGATCATGAAGTTCCTGACTGCCAGATATTGAGATCGGATGGCGAAGACAATCATGACACCCTGGTCGGCGAACTTGGGCAGGTAAGAGAACAGAGTCTCAACAGCCTGCTTATACTGGTCCGCTGGGAGAAGGGTTGGGTAGAGGACGAAGGATGCACCTCCAACCTTGAGATTATCATGCGCTCGAACAGTCATCGATGTCACCACTCCGTAGTTTCCACCGCCACCTCCGCTCAGCGCCCAGTAGAGGTCGTCATTCTTGGTGCGGGAGGCAGTGACGATCTCGCCCTTGGCGGTAACAACCTCAAAGGACAGAGTTTGGTCAGCTGCCAGGCCGAAGGCAGTGCTCAGAGCCGAGTGGCCACCTCCTTGGGTATAGCCTCCAGCGAGACCAACAGTGGCACTCTCGCCGGTCACAACAACTGCGTCGTTCTCATCGGCAGCCTTGAGAATATCGTAGCCCAGAACACCGGCGCCAATAGTCATGGAGCGGCCCGAGTAATACTTGTCCTTGAAGGTGGAGAAGGAGATCCCGCCGAGGCCTTGAGTGAAGATGGACAATCCACCTGCACCGGTGGAGCGGCCGAAGTAGCTGTAGTACAAGGGTTAGCATACGCTGCCCGCGCGGTTGCAATATGAGTGTCGGTTTACTTACTCATGGCCACTGTGCTTGATGACGAGTCGGATGTTGTGATCACGGGCAAACTTGACGGTGCTAACGACGTGATTCTTGTTCTGGACTGCTACGGCAAAGCTGACGTAGTTGCCCAGCTGGCAAGGGGTGGCGCGGTCTGTAAACGGGTCGCAGCTGCGGTTGGTGAAGTAGTTTTGCATGAACGAGGATGGGTGATAGAGACTACACGTGTTTGTTGGTAAGTTTGCCCGCTTTCCTATTGTCTGATACAACATACTGGGTCATCGGGCTCGTCCAACTGCTCTGGAGAGCAGTGCACGCTGCCTCATCGTAGGTGGGGTCATGGCATGGAGAGCCAATTGGCACCGTGGCGATCAGGTTGCCTCCGACGGTAGAGTTGAAGGTGTTCCATTCCTTGACTGTAGGCCAGCAGCTGTCGCCTGGCATGCAACGGCATGAGACCGCGATAGCACACCCCTCGGTGGCACCGAGGAGTAAGGTCGCCAAGGAGGCAAATGTTGAAACTCTCATTGTTCCAGGAGGCGAGTAGCCAATCCGTATCTGCTGAAAGGAATTTGAAACTTGGCAAGAAGTGCCAAGGGTAGGAATGAACGGAGAGGGAAAAGAGTGTGGGGGGTTGGCTCGTTGGGAGAGGTTGGTGAAAAGGAAGGAATGTGTCAACGATGTCGAGCATGAAGAAATTCCAGACGCTGAGGTGCCGTCTCTTATAATCTTCCAGAAGTTTGAAGTCGTGATCCTGCAGCTAGGCTTCGAAATGAGCTGCAAAAAAGATCCCCATGCGAGCCACGTGAGAAACCATATCGATCCCGCTCGGGAAATGAGCCCCCAAATTGCCCCAATGTCGAGGCCGGTACGCACGCCGGAATCCAGCTCGGCACAGAGCCAAGTGGGCTAATATTGAATCCGCAGGCCGTGAGCTGGGATGTTCCGCATGGCAAAACGGGACTCTCTATAACTTGGAACCTAATCAACCGTGCGCTATGTCATGCAATGGTACCCCAACGGATCCGGTGGTGATCCTTCGGGACAGGGAGTAAGCACGCAAGCTGTGAGGGTTGCAAGGGACGTCAGTGTCAGATTGGCGTAACGTCGATTAAATGGGACTTTTGAAATGAGAATCACTTGCATGATTTCTTACGGCAGACGGCAATAACCCCAGACACTCTCACCTAAGTGGCGTGGGCGTTCCTCGGGGGAGGCCGCCTAGACTTGACGATAGGCTGATGCGGACTTGTACGCCACGAGGCTTCCAGACTTGCCCCCTACTGCTGGTCAGAGGATCCTGTAGGCGAATTTGGCAGGTAAAGAGCACGATTACACGAGAGAAATTTAACAGTAAATTATATACAACCGAAAACGGATGAGTGTCTTAAGATACAGAAGCCACGTTGTTTACCTATACACAGCCCTTCTCGATCAACTGCAGGCTCCAGATCAATAGCTATCGTATACTGAAAATACAAATCTTATGAATGAAGAGCCTCCGGAGAGGTTCAGAATAACTAAAAATTTCTAAATAGTCAAGAGAAGTGGTTAAATGAGAGTGCACCGATTTGACAAGACCACCGACTCCGCCATGAAGTTTGTACACGCCACAGAAACTGTAAATCACGAGCCCACCCACCAGCCAGTTCATACTTAATATGCCCTGCCATGAGGATGATGAGGCGGCGATTGATCAGACCAGGGCTGCGAGTTCTGTGTCCACTCCCCGTGAGCGTTATGACGGTGCGGCTGGGATACATCCGTCCGGAGCTCGGTCGTGCGCACAATGCCCGGCGGCGAAGGGTGGCCGTAGTTTTCGTAGCGCACATCGTCAAGTGGGATAGCTACTTCGGTGTCGGGCATCTTCTGGTACGTCTTGAGAGACTGCATCGAGCTTGTGTGGTTGTGCAGGCGGCTGTCCTTGCTGAGACCGCTGGAGTTGAGACCCTTCTTGGAGGTGCGGTTGCGGGTGCTGACCCAAGACGACCACTGGGACTTCATGAACTTGAAGGCCGAAGAGTCGGAGAAGGCCTTGGGCAGCGCGGGGACGCAGAAAACCAAGACGGCGCATGTGCTCTCTGCCAAACTCCAGAAGTACACGGGCCCGACGTCACGGGTGACGTTGCCGGCGTAGTTGACTCTCCATGTATAGGCAATTCGTGAGGCGGCGCATACGCAAGCCCTAGGGGAAACCACATGTTAGTACTGTTTTACTGATTGTTTTCGCTTTATTTACTGGGGACAAGGCAATGACTTACATGAGTCCCATGGAGAAAATAATGGAGACACCAATCTTCCGGCGGAGATCCATCTTCAGCTTCCAGATCACTCGCTGGGGCAGGGCCAAGATCAGGATATCAAAGGCCAGATTGAAGATGGTCGGCAGCGTGTCGATGGTCCTTCGGTCGCGGCAGACGCCGGGGATCCATCTGTGCCAGTTCTTCTCGATCGGCGTGCAGTAGAACTGGATGGTGATGATGCAGCCGATGTAGAACAGGACGTTGAGCACAATCATGGCCCAGCACGTCCACCAGAAGACGCTCTTCGTGCGCTTCGGTACGAAGATGTGAATCCATTCCAGCAAGATGGCCGTCTTGAAACCCATCATGGTCAGGCCGTAGAATAGAGGGTATAGATACAAGATCTGAAGGGGGGGGTTACTCTATTAGCAAAGGAATAAACATCATTCGAGCAACAGTTTGGACTTACGTAGAGCGCATCGAAGAGCTGGCTCAATCTGACATTGTACTGGTCGACGAAGAAGCCAATCGTCTTCCATAGCGACAAGCCAGCCCATATCATCCCTATATAGCAACCCTGGTTGAAAGAGTCAGTGTCTTGTCTTTCGATGGCGCTGATCTGGCGACCCAGATCTCAGAGTTAGATGTCTACATACGAATGCGACGGTGGCAAGTCCTGCGGGGAAGATGTTAGCTGAGGGGTAATGTAATAGAACAGGGCAGCGGGTTGATTTCTCACCATCTTCGACTGTTAACTTTCTCGGGAGGATGACCTTGGAGTATACCCTGATCATGAAGAAGAAAGTCGCCAACGTGAGGCAGACGATGATCAATGCGACGGACTCGGCATTGTGGTTGGGGGGTTGAGGAAGTTGGGCTTCGTGTTGGGCGGCGGAGTGGCCGCGGGCATCGCCAACTGGGAGGCATTCATCTTGGCGGTCTGGTTTCCTCGGACGTCTTTGCGCAAAGCTTAAGTTGGACAGCACAAAGAGAGAGCTCAAGGCTTTGACATAGAGCGAGGCGGGAGGTTCGAATTCGGGCACTGTCGATCAAATGTATCCCACGAGTGGTCGCGCGGCTGCAGGTACTGGATCCTATTGCGACATCGCGGGTGTTACCTCGTGTGGCACATTTTCAATATAGCGGGGGTTGGGGTGCCGCACATCCAGATACCACCGTAGACCGTGGCATCTATTGTCCATCGTCCATATAGGTATGAGGGGTGGGTAGGGGTATCACGGCAACTAGAGAAGCAGGAGGTGTCGCAAGATAGTCAGATGCCGCCCCATCAGACCTGCCCTGAGCAAGTAATGCGACGCTTTGGGTAGCATCAAAGGAATCGAAGACCAAGGAACCAAGGATCAATATGTGTGCAGGAATAAGCATCTAGCCCTTGGACAACTCGTCCCACACTGATCACGGTGCCAGATAGGTGAGTCTCTATTCGCCGAGGACGTGGAGTCATAAGGCTTGGCAACACTGCCCTTATGGTCCATTTAGTCATTCAAGCTCCAGAACAGAGAGGGCAGGGTTCGTCCGGAACAGGGGGGTGGGCGTATACTCCATTCACGGCGAGCGTTCTGCTTTGGGCATCTCGTTAGGATCCCTTGTTCCACTCGACTCTTGATACGAATCCTCTCTGTCGAAATCCTGCTCATTCCATCAGATAGCTCTTTCACTGTGGACTTGAGGCATTTGCTCAGCTTATGGCAAGTTATTAGGCTGACTAGAGGTGGAACTCTACGTAAAAGCAGGTACTCGCAAGATATGCAGACCGACTCATAGTGAGAAGTGGAGAAATGTATGATCTATCTATTCTTGGATTTCGACATAGAGCGGGCATTGTAGACTGCATGCGGTTGTAACTGCAGCATAGCATGTCTCTTGCTCGCATCTCCCTCGTTTTACCCATGTCCTGGGAATGGCCCCAGGTGATGATCCAATGCACTGCTAGTAGGATTTACTTGTCCAGAAGAACTGAAACTACTTGCTCTCATGTGATGCCGCATTAGTTTCCTTCCCATCGTACTGCTGCCTGCCGAGTTCCGCAATCTCAATTGACTTCTCTTTGATCAAGAACGATAAAATGAAGCCAACGACAGATACGCCGGCGAGCATCCAGAACACGGCATACAGGGAAAACATATATGCATGAGTCACCTCCTTCAATATCTCAGGGTCCACGGTTACGTCTTTCAGCAGCGGAATGAACCCCACGGCTTCTCGCGCATCATGCAAGATTTGCAGATCATCTGGTAATGGGCCCAACTTTCCCATCCGAACTGCAAATACACTGTTGAAAACGGTGGAACAGATGGAGAGACCTAGCAGGGCACCGAAGAGTCTGAAAGCCACCAGGACGCCTGCGGCCACACCCATATCGTCTGGGTTGGATAAGCTGGCCTGGAGAGGAAGATTGAGGATCGAGAATAAGCTCCCGGTTCCGATTCCCAGAATGATCTGGAAGCCGACTTGCCATCCTAGAGATGCGTTCTCATCCCAGAGGGTAATAATTCCACAGCCTACGGCACTGAAAATCCAGCTGGCCAAGATGATATACCGATACTTGCGTGTGACCTCGACGACGACGGCACCTAGAACACCAAACACGACAGAAGTACAGGCAAGTGGCAGCATAGTGATGGCGGATTTAATGGCGGATTGGAGGAAGACGGATTGGAAAAAAAGGGGCGCATAGAAAATCGTGCTGTAGACCAGTATCCCGTGAATGAAGGTAGTGATCAGGGTGGCACATGCAGTCAGCGTGGCGAATACACTGCGAGGGAACACAGGCTCCTCGGGCTTAGACTCGTACCACCAAAAGACGACGAGTACCACGACGCCGAGGAGTAAAGGTACCAAGGTTCGCCACGATGACCACGGGTACATGGCGCCGGCCCACGCAATCGGCGTGGCCGTCAATGTGCAACCGACGGTGAATAAGCCTAAGCCGATGAGGTCCAACTGCCAGAATTTCTTACTCAGGGAGTCTTGGAGCGGCTGCAGTTTGAGGAAAATGACGACCAGCAGGATGTTGAGCGCAGACACTGGTAGGTTGATCCATCCGATCCAACGCCACGACCCATTGTCGGCGAGTAGTCCACCGATGATGGGGCCGATGATGGATCCTGCAGCAACTGGTATTGCCATCAGACCAAGATACTTGGGCCTCTCCTTTAGGGTGGTGATGTCTGCGAGAATGATCTCGTTGAAGACATCCAGGCCTCCAGCCCCAAGACCCTGAACCACACGTCCAGCAATCAACACGGCCATGGACTGGGAAAGTGCAAATATGATGGAGCCTGCCATGAACAAGACGAAGGAAATGTGAAGCGGTATCATCCGCCCGAGCACATTGGATACATTGGTGTACAGGGGCTGGGTGATGACCACAGCGAGCACAAACGAGATGCTCGCCCAAAAAGCCTCAAGGGTGGTTCCATGTAGGGTATGCACTATGGTCTAAGTAAAGAGAAAATCAGAAATGATTGAATCCATGAGATAGCGATGCCATGCACGATTGTCCATAGGCCGGAGGGGGTCACGTACGGGAATGGCGACGGCAAGGATGGTGCCGTCAAGGGATACAATGAATGCCATAATGACCAGAGCGAGAACGGACATCTGGAACCCCAGAGTCTTGCCCTTCGGGGGCATGTCTTCCTCTGTGGAAGTCTCCATCGCAGTTTCCAACAAATCGCCACTTTTCTCAGAGACGTTTGGTTGGGTTGGCGTATCTTGCGGCTGCACGGAATCGGCCATGACCGCCTCAACCGTCGTCTGGGGAGCCTTCTCTGGGCCCGACATATTCTCGATTCACTGAGGAGTGAAGTGAGGACTCCAACTCAGTGTCCGGGCTGAGATAGCACGTCGGGGAATTCTCGCCTCTGTGTAAAGGAGTGACTGGAGGTAGGTGGCGGGGTGTTGTCCGGGTCGCCTGGAAATTGTTCAAACTGGCATTTCTGTTTTACTAGTTTCGGCTCTGCGGCAGTAAACAAAGTCCAACGTCACATTGGACCAGGGGACGTTCCTGCGGGAAAGGGGAGAAAGTGACCTGATTGATAGGTCCCCATCGCCACCGTCGCAGTACCCCTTCGGAAGCTGCAAGGAAGGAATTGCTGTCCCTTCTGTAAGCCATTTGTCTGCCGCAGAAGGAGTCCGCGCTTGCATCATGACAGTTGATTGGAGACGGAGACAGGTTGGTTCTCACCCTGGCACAGTCACCTTTTGCTTGTGTTCCTTCGGCATCGCACGATTTCATGCTAGCCGTTGGAGAATCCCTGCGAGACGAACACACGTAGGTGGTGCGAGACAAGGGACAGGACGGCCACGATGTAGCATAGCTGGTTGGTGGACGCCGGACGGTGGAGGAGGGGAGAGGGAATTCGTAGTCTTGACCCAAACTTCCGAGAGTGCTCGGCATATTGGCAAACCGGAAACTCACCGTCTCCGTCTACCTACCTAGATGGGAGGGAACCCTTCAAGACACACCTCGTCTGGGGTGTGGTGTCCACATTTGTGGGCGTATCGTCTCGGCCTGGAGATGAGAGCGTACCGCCCGATCCCTGTCATGGCCGTCTGAGGGCAAACCCGGTGAATTTTACCCCTTCAAGGAGGTCCCGGAAGGGGCACACGTGCTGTGAGGGTGGGATCTGGACCCAAATGGGAGGATGCTCGGCCTATCGATTGATGCCGTGCGCATCATGCTATTGCCAGGCCCGTTGCTCCATGATTCCAGTATAAGGAATATCGTCTTCTTGACCCCACACACACTCTCACTCAGACGTGACGCAGGTATCGCCAGCAAATATGTCAGGATTACAAGGAACCCACCTGACGGTAATAAGCTACGACCCCTGATAGCCCGCAGCTACGCCAGTTGGTTTTCCAACGCCCGCGGTACGCTGCGAATCAGGGATGCTCCGAGTGTGCCATATCGCGGGCTCAGAGTAGGATGTTCCTGTGGTCAGAACAAACTTTTGGCCTTTTGTGGTGGGATGTCACGCTAATCAGAGCTTATTTATGATATTACACTTAATGATCAAGCATGTTTTGTAAAGGGGGTGGTGGGTGGAGGAGGCCCATCAGGCTCGCGACGGTGTGTCTCCATCCCTGCCGATATGCTGCGACGTAACAATGCACCACTAATATGGCAGTTTAGGTTTTGATGAAATCATCAATCGAAAACATGGGGCGGCACGTACAGCACGCACCGCGCTTCCTCGATTCAATCCCGACGCAAGTTGCGATCTTCCAGCCTCGCCCCAAGATTCAGCCTCAGCCCTATGTACGACATATGGAGGAATCAGAGCTGAGTTGACAGAATTTCAGCTTCATTGTCGACACTAGACACTAAAGTCCCGATTTAAATCTGTAAAAAAAAACATGGGGCTGAAACTTTGCGAGATGGGCCCCTGACCAGCTTCACCCCTGCATTTCGTACAAAAACCAATCAAAGTCAGCTTCGAGCTAGATATCCGTTCAAATCATGCCAAAACCAGACAAGTGCTGTGCTCGCATCCATTCGTAGACCTTTTCAGCGGCAGCCGTGGCCTGGCCCTTCTTGCCACTGCTCTCGAGGGCAAATATCTCCTCGACCCAGCTGTAGATAGACTCTAATAATATTTCCACCTCCTCCTGCGTGTTGCCGCCGTGGATGGTGATCTTGAGCCGGCTGTGGCCCACGGGCACAACGGGATGCGAGACCGGCATGACATTGCAGCCGGCAAAGAGGATGTTGAAGTAGAGCCAGTAGGTGTACTTCTGCAGCGTCTGGACGATCACCACGTGGGTGAGGAATGGCCGCTCCTCCCACCCTTCGGCCTGCGGGATCGACAAGATGCCTCTCTTCTTGGCCTCTTCCCACAATGGATGCGACGTCATCCTGTCATAGAACAGGCCGACCAAGGACTGGACATTCCGGCGGGCTTCACGGCCCGGCTCTGTGGTGAGTAGGTTGTACCCGGCCTTGATCATGGCAACGTGCGCAAATGGAGGCGCCGTGGTGAATTGGAATGACCTGGCAAAATTGGCAATGATACTCCTAATTGTGGCGTTCCCAACCACGATAGCTAGAATGCCTCTGCGTCAGCTAACAAATTCATTCTCCTCGGCACCGGGTTCAAATGGGGAAGGCTAAACAAAGATAGATTGGACTTACCGCCATGGCATCCGAGACCTTTTGCAAAGGAGTGGAGGACGACAGCAACTTCCTTCTCCAGACCTAGCTCGCAGACGAATCCTTTACCTTCGGCTCCGATTGTGCCCGTGCCGTAGGCCTCGTCGACCACGAACTGGACGTTCCCCCGATTCCGAGATATTTCGTTTGCGATGTCAATCATCTCTTGCAAAGGACACACGTCCCCGTCCATGCTGTAGGTGGCCTCGACCGACACAAGAACAGTGCGCTTCCCTTGGCGAACGAGGGGGTGGCTGGCAAAGATGGAGGCGAGTGTGGTGCGGAACGAGTCAAGATCGTTATGCTGGAACTCTGCCTTGTGCTTTGTGAGGCTCTGCTTCATGCCATCGAGCGTGCTGGCGTGCGAAGCTTCGTCGTAGAGCATGACATCGCCTGGGCGGGGGACGGCTGTCCAGATGGCGACGTTGGCATCGAATCCCGAGCCTAGCATGACACCGGCCTCGTAGCCATGGAAATTGGCAATGGCCTTCTCCGTCTGCTCGAGATACGGGTAGTTGCCATCAACCATGCGGGAGCCGCCTGAATTCGTGCCGAAGCCAGGGTTTCGGGCCAGCTCTGCGAGGTACTCTTTGGATAAGGCACCGCTGGTGCTAAGTGAAAGTAAGTCATTGGAGCAAAAGTCAATGAGCTTTTCCGTCCCATCTACAGGGACGATTGAGTAGAGCGAGTTGGATTTGCGGCGGACGTCCAGGGCTTCCTCCAGATTCTTGTAAAAGGTTGAAGAGGTGGTCGCTGGTGAGCGGTGGATTTTATGTCCGTTGAGTCGAGCCGCCAATGTCGCGCTCGCTGAGAGATGCTCTTGCTTTGTGTCTAGAATCATGATGGGCTGCCTTGGAAACAACTCTCACTCTTTGTAGGTGTTGATTTCTCCCGCCCAAGTGAATGAATATAGGGTAATTTGAGCCTGTCGAAGAGTGGCAGAAATCCATCAAATTGACGGCAATGAACTTCAGGATTCAGAAACGGGCTTTGGATACTGGGAATCGTTTCCGTGTTCCCACACCTCCTGAAACGGAGCAGTGGCCCAGTCTGTTGGTCAGGACACGTGAAAAAATGTCCTCAAGATACTACGGCACCACGCAATCCGTTCGTTGCAACCCATCAAATCCTCTGTGCCAGGTTGTGTACCCAACCAAGGCCCGATAGAGCGCTCCAGACTAGAACCAAGTCAGAAGTCGCCTTACCCAGTGAGGGGTCCTCTCTCGTATCAACTCATTTGCTCTAGAATAGGAATGGCTAAACCTCCGCCGATACAACATATATCTGGCCACATAGTAGTTCCAAATTATCTAAACGGCGTAATCCTATGCAACCTCGTGGCTTTCACGGCTTCTGTGTGCCGTATCGATATTGACAGAAGCCTGGTATCTCCGGCAGGACCAATATTTCCAGGGAATACATTATCCAGGGGAATTGACCTGGCACTTTTGCAACATGGGGGGGCGTACGAAACTTGACACGGCCGGCTCAATCCTCGACTTACTTGAGAATAACCAGGTAGGAGTTTCTAGCATGGGTTGGATGTTTAAACGAGTAGCCTTACAGCTGACGATTAGGCTTGGCCGAGCTGCCTATTGTGGCAGACCAGGTACCAGGGGTGGTTGTTATTATACGCGAGTAATATAGCCACGCCCAAGAGATGCTCCTCCGCCCCCATCTCTACGCGCCAATATTCCGCCCCTCCTCATGGAGAATTCCGATTACCGATGCCAGCGTAGCTTCCTGATTTGCAAATTCTCGGCATGATAGTGTCAGCGTCACATCTGCGAGTCCTTCCAACGGTGGCAGAACATCTGCTTTGCCAGGGAAGCCCGTGTAAATTCCAGGCCTGTCCATTGACTCGACTACACATACACTAGATAGTAATACCGCGCAGAGATATCGGTCCAAGGTTTAGGATCCAACTTCTTCCCCACCACTCACTAGCTCTTGATCCCAAAGGGTGCCGTTGATCCATCGAGGTCACCTTGATCGGTAGCTCACAGCATGACCTGATCCATAATGACACCTTGCGGCGGCTGTGACGGAACCTGAAGCTACCCTCGCGAGCGGTAGTTAGTAACTTGCAACCAGATTGGATGCCTTACCGCCTCTGCTGAAGACACGTGAACATAACATATACTGCCGTCTTCTCCTTAGTGTAGTATCTTCCAGCAAGGCCATCTGTGATGAGGTGTGGTCGCGAGTGACTAGAAAATCCAAGTTGTGACGCTCATTTTATTTTCTAGAGCTCAACCATTTGACTCACAATCGGTGGTCACCTTTCCTTTTCCAAGACGCGCTCTAGGCATAACACCGCCACTTAGACGCAAAAATGGACTCGATTGCTATCATCGGGTACTCATTCAAGCTCCCCGGAGCGGCTGAGGATGACGCATCCTTGTGGGATATGCTGGAGCACGGCCGGAATGTCATGACCCCCTGGCCGAAATCGAGGACGAATGTTGATGCATTCTACGATCCAGAATCGTCGAGACCGAACACGGTGCGATCGCCACCGACTCCATAGATCAGTCGATCGAACTATTGCTAATTTGACGTGCATAGCTTCACCACAAGGGAGCGCACTTCGTCGATGGAGACCTCACAGCTTTCGATGCGCCCTTCTTCGCCATGTCCTCGAGGGAGGCCACCTCTATGGACCCCCAGCAGCGATGGCTACTGGAAGCATCTTATCGAGCATTCGAAAATGGTGAGCCCTATCATGTCGAAATGCTGAAATTTTGACCCTGTACTGACTGAGTTCTTAGCTGGAATCCCGGCTGAAAAAGTCGCCGGCACAGAGACGTCGGTGTTCGCGGCCTCCATGGGGACAGACTTCATGAATATTGTCTCCAAGGATGCCGACACAGCCCCGGTCAATACGGCCACCGGAACCACGGCCTCGTTCTTGGCCAGCAGATTGAGTTGGTATTTCGATCTCAAGGGGCCTAGCATGCAGGTCAACACCGCATGTTCGACCAGCATGATTGCCATAGATCTGGCATGCCAGTCTCTGCGAAGCAATCAGTGCTCCATGGTTAGTACAATGGTTCCACCAAAAGTCGGAGCTGCAGGGACCTTTATTGACCTGACACTTTTCTTCCCCCCTGCGTAGTCCCTGGTTGCAGGAGCCAATATCCTGATCGATGCCGAGTGCTCTATGTTCTTGAATAACATGGGTTTCTTGTCCCCAGACAGTCTGTGCTACAGCTTCGATGAACGAGCCAACGGCTATGCCAGAGGTGAGGGTGTCATTGTAGTTCTCTTGAAGAGATTACCAGACGCGATCCGAGATGGCGACACGATTCGCGCTGTCATTCGCGGCACAGACACAAACCAAGATGGACACACTCCTGGCATTACAATGCCAAGTGCTGCTTCCCAAGAGGCACTGATTCGGAAGGTGTACAAGACCAATGGCCTGAGTTTTGACCAAACACGCTACATCGAAGCTCACGGTACGCACTAAATATTCCAAGTGAGAATTCTCCATTTAATACTAACATGTATGTTCAGGTACTGGTACCCAGATCGGAGACACGATTGAGACATCTGCAGTTGGTCGAGTGTTTCGGCATAGCCGCTCTCCTGAAGAACCACTCTATGTGTATGTATCTCATAAATGCCTACCTCGCGCTCATGGTGTTCTAATTGTGATATAGGGGATCTATCAAAGCAAATGTCGGCCATCTTGAAGGAGGCAGCGGTTTGGCCGGAATCATCAAAGGTATCCTGATGCTCGAAAAGGGAGTCATCCCGCCCAACGCCAACTTTGAGAAGCTAAACCCCAAAATCAACGCCAAACTGTACAACATCAAGGTGAGTCCAAGAATTCATTATGGCAACTACTCTCATATCTTGTATATCCAAATGGGTAATAACTAACCTTGCTCATGTGCAGATCCCTACCTCGGTTGTTCCATGGCCTAGCAAGGGGCTGCGCCGCATTGGCATCAACTCGTTTGGGTTTGGCGGTTCAAACGGCCATGTAATCATGGATGATGCCTACCATGTTCTCGAAAGTTTAGGGCAAAAGGCAAATCACCACACCATAGTTGATGTCCCTTCGCCTGTCACGAATGGCAATGGACATGTCAATGGTGACGAGCCCGCCGCCGAGGCAGTCACAAATGGCAATGGCTATGAGGCTACGAATGGACATTCTGAAGCGACTGAGACGGCCACAAATGGCAATGGTCATGAGGCTGTGAATGGACACGTTGAGGCAGCTGAGACGGCCACAAATGGTAATGGACATGAAGCTACGAACGGACATACCGCCACAACTGCTCCTGATATCCAGCTATCCGACCTCAAGCTTTTGGTATGGAGCGCCAAAGACGAAGCTGCCTTGAAGCGCGTACTTCAACAATACTCTAAACACTATGAAGTTGCTGGTCTGGATCAAGACCTGGAGGCCTTGGCTTACACTCTTTCCCAGAGGCGAAGCATAATGAGCTGGAAATCCTTTACTGTTACTAACAGCAAAACCGGTCCTGCAGCTATCTCGAAGAGTGTTTCGAGTTCAACACGATCATCCAGGCAGTCCACTTTGGCCTTCGTCTTCACAGGACAGGGTGCTCAGTATGCCAAGATGGGTCTTGAGTTGATCCAGTACCCTGTTTTCAAGTCAACTTTGGAACAAATTGACAGAATCTTCACTCAATTGGGAGCCGAGTGGTCGCTTTTCGGTGAGTATTAGTCAACATCCCAATCTCCGTGCTTCATCGCGATAGGATGATGCGAGTTTACCAAGAAACTATCATTTCTAACATTCCAATGTAGACAAACTTCAGAGCAAGGACGAAATAAGCAAGCCCCAGTACAGCCAACCGCTATGCACGGCTCTTCAAATAGCGCTGATTGAGCTGCTTGAGTCCTTCAACATTACCCCGTCTGCCGTCGTGGGCCATTCCTCAGGAGAGATTGCTTCCGCGTACTCTGCTGGCGCGCTGTCTCTTGAATCGGCGTGTAAAGTGGCATATCATCGTGGTAGGCTCGCAGGTCAGCTTGTTGCGACCTTGAGTGCAACACCTGGAGCAATGATGTCGGCCAATCTCCAAGAAGATGAGGTCGAGGAGTACTTGGCAAAGATTCCTCTCAAGTCGACTGTGCACATCGCTTGCGTCAACAGTCCCACCAACGTCACGCTCTCCGGAGATGAAGCTGACATTGACGTCTTGAAGGAGTATCTGGATGAGTCCAGCATCTTCGCCCAGAAGCTGAAGACAGGCGTGGCATATCACTCCCCTGCTATGCAATCGATTGCCGATGAATACCTCCAGTCTCTAGGTGATTTGCAAGAGGGAGACGCTCGCCGTGGAGATATTCTGATTGTTTCGTCTGTCACTGGACAGAAGGAGGCACGCTCTCAGTTCACAGAGGCTAGCTACTGGGTAGAGAACCTGACGTCGCAAGTTCGATTCAGTGATGCACTCCAGTATATTGCTGTGGCGGCCCCTGAGGCGGATGGACTCGCCTCGATCACCGACTACCTCGAAGTTGGACCGCACGCAGCTCTGAAGCGGCCAGTCAGCGACACTCTTACCCCAGTCGACAACAAGAAGGGCTGGAGATATTCCTCTCTCCTTTCGAGACTGGAATCCCCGGTCAAATCAGTGCTGGAATCAGTCGGTCGCCTCTTCTCCCAAGGGTTCCCAGTGTCAGTTCTTGCCGCCAACCAGCAGCAAGACATTCCCCTTCCCGTTCCCTTCCTCACCAACACTCCTCAGTATCCCTTTGACCACTCTCAAACTTACTGGCACGAGTCGCGCATCAGCCGACAATGGCGACAACGCGAGCCTACTAAGGGTAGCCTTCTTGGGTTCCGGTCAGCTGACTGGAACCCCCTCGAGCCACGCTGGCGCAAGATTCTCAGTGTAGAGGAGATGCCCTGGCTCGCAGATCACGTTGTCGAGGAAACCATTTATCTCCCTGCTACGGGATCACTGGTCATGGCTCTCGAAGCTGTCAATGAGATGGACGAGAGGCCCAAGGCCATATCTGGTTACAGGATCAAGGACGCAACCTTCAAAGCCCCCATCGTCATTCCTGCCGACGAGGGCAAGGCTGAGGTTGTGACGCAGCTGCGCCGGCTTCAGCTGGCCCATACCAAGGCCACGCCTCGCTACGAGGTCAAATTATTTACCTGCGCTGACGATTACTGGAACGAATGCTTGAGTGTCACCATCTTCGTTGAATACAAAGATATTGCTCCGAACGAAGTGGATGGAGGACAAGAAGCCGTCATTGCCGCTGAGGCACTGGCTCGCACATTCTCTAGTGCGGATGAGCTGTGCAAGGACACTATCGAGACTGAAACTTTCTACAACTGGCATAAAGAGCAGGGCCTCAAGTACGGCGACGCCTTCCTGTTAGCTGACCACCTCCGCTGGAATGGTGAAGATCTTGCAATGTCTACTGTTGACGTTGCGCCTCCCGCAGAGCCATACAAGGGTATTTTCCACCCGGCAGTGCTTGACGCTTCTTGCCAGATGTGTTTCATCTCGCCTTCACAGGGAATGGTAAAGAAACTGCCAACCATCATCCCCCACAAGATCTCATCCGCCTGGCTCTCCGCCACTGGCTGGCAGTATCCCGATACCAACCGCATCCGAACAATGGCGAAGTCCAAGGTCAAGAGCACCTCCATGGGAGCTGAAGCTTCATTCATTGTCGTGGGAGATGACGGGAAGCCACTCTGCCACGTAGAGCATGTGGACATGCACCCCGTTAAGGGCGAAGATGAGGCAGCCAGTACAGATGTACCGAAATTGCTACACGGTATCAACTGGAAGCCTCAGCTGTCACTTCTTAAGCCTGACCAGCTTCAGAAGTTCTGCAATGTGGATCACTTTGATGATGATGAGACCGAAGCAGCCAAATACTGCATCAGGCTCAAGAACGTCTGCTTGGCAGCCATGAAGTTCCACATGAAAGAGATGCAAGAGACGGACTGGTCCAAAGCGCCATCCCACATGAAGCAGTTTGTCGCTTGGATGGAAAGAGAACTCGGAAAGAACACTGTTGAGACCCTGACCGCTGAAGAACTGGCCAAGGAGCTGGACGTGGTGCGCGAGATGCGGCCAGCAGCCAGAATGTTCATCGAGATCGCCGAAAAGCTTGCGACAATCGTCAGCGGTGAGACGGACATTGTAGGACTCTTGTTCTCGACTTCTCTGGCCCAGGACCTCTACGACACGCTCTTTGAGCGCATGGACAACCCCAAGCTTGAGTCATACGTCCAGCTCCTGGCGCACGAAGTCCCCGAGCAGAAGATCCTCGAAGTTGGCGCTGGCACTGGTGGCATGACGAGCGTCCTCCTGTCTTACCTTGATCGCCTCGAGGAGCGCACTGGCGGAACTGCCTTCTCAGAGTACGCCTACAGTGACATCTCGACTGGATTCTTCGACAAGGCTCTTAAGCGTTTTGGCAAGTTCCAAGATCGCATGACTTTCAAGACTTTTGATCTTGAGAAGGATCCCCTCACTCAGGGGTGGCAGGCACGATCTTACGATGTCATCTTTGCCGGCAGTGTTATCCATGCTACTCGCAACCTCAACAACACGATCCAGAACCTCCAAAAGCTCCTGAAGCCAGGCGGTAAGCTGATCATGCATGAAACTACAGCCGAGGAGTGTTTCCAGATCTCATTTGGCTTTGGTCCCCTGTCTGGTTGGTGGCTAAGCGAGGAGGAGTACCGTCCGTGGGGTCCGATCATCACAGTTCCTGAATGGGACAGAGTACTCAAGGAGAATGGATTTTCCGGAAACGACCTGGTCATCAAAGATTTCCAGAGTGATGACGCCTACTGGGGTAGTATGATCATGACTACTCTTGGGCAACCAGCGGGCAGCGAGCTTCAAGAGACCGAGATCCTGCTCGTGGTAGATGAAGAAGACAGCTACAAGGTGACCCTGGCTTCGTTGATCGTTGAGGCCTGGGCTGCCAATGGCCGGGGATACAAGCCCAAAACTGTTTCTCTGGGACAGTTGGACGAAGCGTCCCTTTCTTCGACAAAGTATGAGCACGTCGTATTCTTGGGAGAACAAGGCTCTTCTTTCCTAGCCAATCTGTCTGAGGCGGCTTTCGGCAAGCTTAGGGCGTTCATCAACGCTTCAAAGAACATCTTGTGGGTATCTACAGTTGATGGCAGCGATCCTTCCGTGTCTGCTTATGCCGGACTCAAGGATGGTTTCCTCCGAACTCTTCGCTCGGAGTATCAAGGAAAACGCATTGTATCCCTTACTTTGCCCGACACACATTTGCCCGAGGCATCTGCCGCAGACAAGATTGTGTCCGTCTTTGCATCCGCATTTGACATTCTGTCTCCAGAAGATGAATACTTAGTTAAGGATGACTTGATCCTGACTGGCAGGGTCATCCAGGAAACAGCCCTGAACCAGAACATGGGATCCTCAGTTGTTCCTCAAATAAAGAAGGAGAGCTGGCTCCCTGGACCCCCACTCAAGGTCGACGTGTTGAAGCGTGGATCGATTGATACATTGAGCTTTGTTGAGGACCCCGAATACTATGAGCCTCTCAAGCCAAAGGAGGTCGAAGTTGAAGCCAAAGCTTGGAGTGTCAATTTCCGTGACATTTTCCTCGCCCTCGGTCGTCTTGAGGACGCGGAAGGTATGGGATCAGACTGCGCCGGTATCGTCACCAGAGTCGGCTCCGAGGTCACGGCCTTCAAGCCCGGCGATCGTGTTATTATGGGCAGCACCGGATGTATGAAGATGTATGCCCGAGATGAGGAGGGATGCATTACCATGATGCCGGATTCCTTGTCATTCGAGGGAGCATGCAGTATCCTGAATGGAGGTTCTACCTCGTACTACGCTCTCGTCGAGGTCGCTCGCCTGCAGAAGGGTGAGAAGATTCTCATCCACGCAGGATCGGGTGCTACTGGACAGCTCGCGATCCAGATCGCTCAGATGGTTGGAGCCGAGATATTTACCACAGTAGGCTACGATCACAAGAAGCGTCTCCTCATGGATGAGTATAATATCCCAGAGGATCACATCTTCTACAGCCGTGACACGAGCTTTGCCAAGGGTGTAAAGCGAGTGACCAACGGCTACGGTGTAGACGTTGTGCTCAACTCACTTGCCGGAGACGGGTTGATCGCATCCTGGGAGTGTATCGCTCCTCACGGACGATTCATCGAGATCGGCAAGTCTGATATCCACAACAACTCATCCCTGCCCATGGCCTACTTCGCCAAGAATGTGACCTTCTCCGCTGTCGATCTGCGCCATGTGGCACAGTGCCGAAAGGACATCTCGGCGAAATTGCTTCCTGGGTTGATGGTCCTAGCTGAGGAAGGCAAGGTCTATCCCTGCAAGCCGACCGTAACGTACGGGCTCGAGGAAATTCACGAAGCCTTCCGATTGCTCCAGAGCGGAAAGAATACTGGCCGAATCGTGGTCAAGATCGAACCCGGTGCCAAGGTTGAGGTAAGTACCGCCCGAATGATAAGTACCTAGTTGAATAGATTGGCTAACCCCTTAACAGAAACACCTCATCAACCGTAGACTGTGGACTTTCCCAGAGAATGCCACCTATCTCATCGCAGGAGGCCTCGGAGGTATCGGACGCTCCATTCTTACATGGATGGCCAGCAAGGGAGCTAAGAATCTCGTTGTCCCTACACGATCTGGAGCGTCATCCGAAGCAGCGGCCGAGACAGTCAAGGCTTTGACTGAGCAAGGCGTAAATATCCTGACGCCCAAATGCGATGTTACATCGAAGGAATCACTCTCTAAGTTGCTTGAAGAGGTCAAGACTACTATGCCGCCGATCCGAGGATGCATCAACGCAGTCATGGTGCTACAGGACTCAGTATATGAAAACATGACTCACGCACAGTGGGATACAGCCGTCCGCTCAAAGGTTGGCTCCTCGGTAAACCTCCACAACCTCCTGGGTGACGGTCTAGACTTTTTTATTCTCCTTTCCTCGGGTGCTGGTATCGTCGGAAACATCAGTCAGTCCAACTACGCAGCCGGATCAACATTCCAAGATGCCTTGGCTCGCTACCGTGTATCCAAGGGCCAACGTGCAACAGCCATCGATTTGGGGCTGATGCGAACTATTGGTATCGTGGCTGAGACAGAGACACTACAGAGGAACTTTGAGAGGTCAATCGGACTCGCCCAGATTGAGGAGGATGAGTTCTTGACACTGATGGATATCTGCTGCAATCCCGTGGAATCCAATATCGAGAACAAGAGCCAAATGACAGTTGGCCTCATCACACCAGCAGACATGCTTGCAGCAGGAGTAGAGGTTGCTGAAATGCTACAGAGACCGCTGTTCTCCTACTTCAGCCGCCCACGCGGCCTCGCGTCTTCCGGCAACGTTGCAGATACCGTGAATTTTGCAGCTTTGTTCCGGCAGGCCACATCAGCTGAGGAGCGCGCCGGTATTGTCACAGAAGCTCTGGCGACTAAGCTGGCAAGGGCTCTGACGATGAAGGTCGAGGACATTGAGACTGACCAGCCCATCTACAGCTATGGAGTGGACTCATTGGTGGCCATTGAACTGCGGAATTGGATATCAAAGGAGTTCGGCGCAGATGTGCCGGTCTTCGAAATCATTGGAGGAAAGTCAGTGTCGGCACTCGGTGATCTGGTGACGAAGTCGACTCATGTAACCAAGAAAGCGGCTTGAAGAGATAGTTTGGTTGTTTTACTTTTAAGATTCTTCACATACGAGACGAATTGCTCACAGTATGGCTTGTTATAATTAATTTACTTTTTCAATATTCAACAAACTAAACTGTTGCAACTTATCGTTATATTGTTTGTGTTGTGTACAACACTTGAATTCTAAAAGAGATAAACTCTACATAATTTTTATCATCTCCTCGATTAAATCTTACTTCACAGGCTTAGGCTAAAAAGATTTTGGGGCGTTTCTTTTAATCGCTCAATACATTGCCTTCTGATTTAGTATTGAAAGATGAAGAAGATTATTCTATTAGTAGAGAAAGAAGAGTTTGTTTGTACTTAGAGGACTAGTATATAAGACACTATTATCCTTCGGGTTATTCTAATTAGTAGTTGGGTATCCTAGGAAGAAAGTACTTCGCAGCTTAAATGACCTGGCCCTTGACCTGTTTAATGGTCCTCACATCCGTGTTGCGCCAGATAGCAACGGAAGCAGCACCAGCAACCCAGAGAGCTGTACCAGCAATGCACATCATCTTTTGCGCATCGCTATAAGCGTGCTGGATGGCAATGCGAGTAGGGGAGCCTACGGGGTAAGCTGTCTGAACGACCAGGGAGCTGTAAATGTCGAGGTAGTTTTCTTGGTCCTCGAGGGGGAGGTACTCGAGGAGCTTGACGGGGAAGGTTTGGTTCCAGATAAGAGTAGCTACTGTGAGGCCGATGGCGGAACCGATAGACGTGAACATGGAGATGATGGCCATGACGACAGCGACATGCTGGTGGGACGCCGAGGACACAGCGGCGATCTGAGGGGAAATAATCAGGATGCCGGAGGAGAAGGCGAGGAAGATTTGACACATGACGATATAGCCAATGCTCTGATCCGCACTCCTAAAGTGAATCATGAGACCCATAAACAGAGTGTAGATGGGGATGGCGACAGCAAGCGTCACGTATTTGTAGCGACCTGTGTAATGGATGTACGATCCAGTGGCAATGCAGGCAATACTGCTGCCGCAGCCGTAGATCTGAGTGACGTAGCTAGCCTCGGTAATAGTCAAATTGTTAACCACCTGAAGGAACGAGCTGAAGAAGCTGTTCCATGTCGAGTAGCTAATGCCGAGGACGAGGCACAGGATACAGGAACCGATCATGTTGCGGTCAAGAAGCAGCGAGTAAGGAACGAATGTAACCGGAGCAAGGAACTTCTCCCAAATCGCAAACAGGATCATGAGAACCAAGCCGAAGACGATGAAGCAGATGATCATGGGTGTTTTAAAGCCATCCGGCTGCAGAGACCAGATGTTGAACGGCAGGAGAAACAAAGAGATGCCAGCAGTCAGCAAGAGGAGACCAACCGCGTCGAATTCGCGAAGGTAATGGAGAACCGACTGCAGGGGGGTTCTTCCAGACTTCTCAATGACGAGGATACCTTGACTCTTGGCCTTGTTGGTCTGCACCAGCATGACGACAAATAGGGGAAGACACAGGACGGGCAAAATGATGGAGAAGGCCCCGAAACACCATGCCCAGCCAGGTCCGCGAAGGTAGAAGGCTTCAGAAATTGGGCCGCCAAGCCAGATGGTGATAATGTTAGGGGAGGTCGTCAGTGCCGTCATCAGGCCACGACTACGAAGAGACGAGGTATCGGCAACGAAGATGTTAATACTATATCCCAGAGCCGCGTTTCCCACAGTCCAGAAGACCTGGGCAGCAGCATATAGCTCCACGCTTTGAGTCGCCGCCATCATGATGAGACCGAGGGTCGCGATGATGAGGGCGATGAGATAACCCTGGGGCCGTCCGAACACATCGAGAATCTTGGCGACAGTAAGGTTGCAGACGCCTCCGATGACGGCTGCGAGGGTGCCCACGGTAGCCGTGAGAGAGTGGAGAGCGAATGCCGAGGTCACGTAGGGGATAAGCGCGGACGAGGACACCTGTTGCAACAGCATGATGAAGTAGACGAACCAGATGAGTCCGTAGGTCAGGAGGAGGGTCTTCCTGGACCAAACGGAGGCGAGGGCCTCGACCTTCTGGACACCGGCCTGGGCCTCTTTGTCGATTGGCTCGTTGCCATCTTGCGTGTTGGAGCCGTCTCCGTGTGTAAAATCGCCGTTGTCCTTGTTGAGGTGCTCGTCAGCGTCGGCTGACACGACCGGAGTTTGAGCTTCACCCATCGCCATGAGGTCGATATGAAGAGCAAAAGATAGACAAGAGAAGGTAGGGTGGTTCGACGAGGCGGTGGGAAAAGCTTAAAGTGTACATCCAGCAGGAGCTCCCGAAGGTTTTGTACCTTCATGTGCTACTAACCCCCACCTCCTCACTAGGTTCAGCCAAAAATGACTGCATACAACAAGCACTGCACAATAGAATCACCAGGCTTGGGATCCCGCGCTCCATCAATTAACTTGCTCCAACTGCCACCGTTTCGACCGTGCAGAGGGATGTCGGGTGGGGCATCTTATGTTGAACTGGTGTATATTGAGGCAGATATCCACACTCGTGAGATTGTCAGACGTAAAACTTGCTCAATCCCACTCATTGAGGCGTGTAATCACCAACAGCCAATGAAAACTTTCACAGTCAGCCTCAGAAGCTAATTCTGCAGCTCTCTCTCATGTAGGGTGACGTTTACAATAAGCCGTTCCATAAGGGGAATGCTGGCTTATCAGCTGATTTATTCCATCGCCACAATATGAGAACTTGCGCGTGAGTAGTAACGAGGGACGCCATGCAGGTAAAGCTTGCAGCGATGTAGTGAGAGGATAGGAAAAGCAGAGAACGGAAGAGATATGAGATAGACAAAGTAGCGAAGAATATTTTGAGGCTAAAGTGCTTTATAGTGCATAAGCAAATCCGACGTCAGGTTCATTATTCATGCTCAAGAAGGAGTCCAAATCAGGTAGGCTATGGATGATCCTAGATTCCTGACAGTTGTGCATGGCGGATTATTATCTACCTAGGGGTGTCTAAGTGCCCTATTATCAAGCACATAGAGAAGAGGATGGGAATACACACAAAGTAATAGATTCCGTTGCTTCTCTTCAGGCATACCAATGAGATTTATCGGAGCAAATCTATCCAATTTTATGAGCAATCAATGAAATACGGATAATTTCCAGACCTGGTCTTTGATAACAATTGATAACATCGAACTGCGCACCTCGTCTCTGAGGCTTCCTTATTCGAGTAGCGATTTGGGAGAAGCTAATAGCCCTAACATCAGTTTCATTTTACCAGTGGTTGTAGCTTCTCTTCTGATAAAGCACATTTCCTGTATCCTACAGACTTTATACTTTTGAAACAGTGCCAGGCGGATACCGACTTCGTGAAGTTTAGGCCTGGGTGCTCCGGTCTCGGCACTACCGCCGGGCTGATATTTGGCCTCCGTCTCCTTCGGACCCAGAAGTCTCTAGTTCCCGTGGTTGATGACTCCACCTTGACCATGTCATTTACGCCCTCTGCCATCGAATATTCAAGATTTCCCACAACGACGAGAAAACTTTGCTCTTTGCATTGAAACACCCAATCGGCAGAACACGTAACTCTACGTCTGGTGAAGGCTTGCAGCCGATTTACGTTGAACCATGGCGACCTCGACTTCCACCGCAATTGAGCTGCAGCCCACCCAGGCTGAAGTCTCTCAGCAGTCCGTCACCGAGGACCTGAACCTCTTCTCTTCGGATCTAGACCCAGTCTTACAGACTTCCCGGCTCAACGATTCCACTGTCCCTGATGGCGGATACGGCTGGGTCGTCGTGAGCGCCTGCGCCGTCACTTGCTGGTGGTGGATTGGCACGCCATACTCGTGGGGCGTCATGCAGAGCGCCCTGGTAGAGAGGGACGTTTCCACACCAGCCGTCCTGGCGTTTGTCGGCTCGCTCGCTGCGGCGCTCATATCGGCCATGGCACTTGTGAACTCGGTCGTCCTGCAGAAATTCGGGGCCAGGAAAACGGCCATGATGAGCATGGTGCTGATCAGCCTCAGCGAGTTCCTGAGCAGCTTCACTTTCCAGAACATCACGGCGCTCTTTTTCACGAGCGGGTTCATGATGGGGCTAGGGGTTAGGTAAGTTTAGACAACTTAATCTCCGTTCTGCGATATGAAACGTTGCGCTAACATGTGGCACTTGTAGCTTGGGCTTTTCGGTGAGATTCCTTTCTACGCACATGTCACAATTCGGGGCTAGAGCTGACGATAGACGGTTTAGGCTTCATCAACAATACCAGCCCAGTACTTCAGCCGTAGGCTGGGCCTTGCAAACGGTATTGTCTTCGCCGGCGGCGGTTTGGGGGGCGCCACGACCAGTTTTGCACTTGACGAGTTGCTCAATCGCCTCGGCCCAGCCTGGACCTTCCGGTGTCTTGCTCTCATGACCTTTGCGACAGGTGTGCCTGCAGCGTACCTCATCAAAGAGAGAGTTCCCTATCGACGGACTGGATTTGTGGAATGGCGAGTAATCATCAGAGCCTTGCCTTGCTTCATACCATACTAACCACAATGTATACAGGCGACTCTTCAAGTCATTTACTTTCGACGTCATCTTCCTGGCCGGCGCCATCGGGACTTTCCCACTCTTCGTGCCTCCCTTCTTCATCCCACTGTATGCCAAATCCATTGGTCTTCCCTCCAGCGCCGGCGCGGGTCTCGTCGCAGCCTTCAACTTTTCCTCCGCGCTTGGCAGAATCGGTTGCGGGGCCCTCTGCGACAGGCTGGGAGCCTTGAACACTCTTCTGCTATCACTCATCACTACTGGCCTTAGCATTCTCGCTCTGTGGCCGGCCTCGACGACCCTCGCTCCCATGATTGCCTTTGTGATCTTGAACGGGATATCAAACGGGGGGTTCTTTTCAACCATGCCAACCGTCGTGGGCAACGTGTTTGGGTCAGCAAGGGTGACTACTGCAATGGGCATGATCGTCACTGGGTGGGTAGGCGGTTATCTCATGGTAAGATAAAAACCACAGCCGGAGCAGAAACGAGCCAGTTTCGACTAACATGTCTATAGGGCGCACCGATTGCTGGATATATGCTCGAGGCATATGGTGGTGCTGACAGCGACCTTGGTGCATACCGTCCCGCCATGTACTACGCTGGATCCCTTGCTTTGGCGGCCGCTGGTCTAGTCGCTGCAGTTCGGTTCCGCAAGAGTAAACAGTTACTGAAGAGATTGTAGTGTGCTGCCGTCAAGATTCTTCTAAATATTGTATTGTTTGTTTTTTTCTTGCCGTAAACAAGGGTTATCTAGTCCCAAGATCAGGCTACACACGTGACTATTACACACAGTTTTTAAAACATAATTTGCGGCCCATACCCGAACCTTCAACACCATAAAAACTCAAACATTTACACATTTAGCCCAGGCACAGGCATCTAAATATTGTATATTATATTTATGACTGAAGATCTGGCGTGGGATATTTCTCTTATCTACATAGTGGTGAGATGTGGAACTACCTACCAACTTGGTACTTGAGCACGGGTTCAAAAGAACAAAATACGTCCTCAGTGAGCTAGTGGATATATCTGAACTGCGGGTGTCTGTCTCCGAGGGTGGCAACCTGCTCCGGGGCTGCCTGCAATCGGTAATCGCGACCGCCGTTGTCTCGCTTTCTATTCTCCCAGCGCTGGTACATCAAGAGGCCAATTGATGCCACAATAACGGAGGCCGCGGTGGCTGTGTTCAGGCTGTTTCCGATACGGTAGCCGGAAGAAGCGTCAGTACTGATGTAGCTCCAGGTAGCAGTAATAGACCCTATGAAGACACACATCATCAGCACTTGAAAGCAAAAACTACGCAATTATCATAATGGCTATGTGGGAGTTAGCTTACCGATGTTGGCCAGACCCGAAACAGCACCATTAGCTACATTCCGCACGGTGTCAGGCGCGGCGTTGGCAAGCGTCCAGCTGAGAATGAGTGTTCCGAAGCTATATCCGCCAGCCGTGTTGAGAAATATGGCGGCGTAGCGAGCCTGCACATTGGTCGAGGCCAGCCAGATAGAGTAGCCGATTACGCACAGGCTGGCACAGAGCGCGATGGCAACGCCATGCATGCGTGTCTTCATGGTAACGTAGGCGACGCCGAGACCAAAGATCATGCCGACGATGGGTGGAGGTACAGATAACAGTTGGATCTCAACCGTTGATCGGCCTGGGTAGTTGAGGCGCAGAATAGTAGGTGTGAAGATTGACAAGCCCTGCACAGTGATCTGGTCGCATATATAGATCCAGGCGCCAACCATGACGTTGACGTTGAAAACACCACGCTTAACGAGGCTCCAAGTGATTCGTTCCTTATGGTCAACGATAGCGGGTTGATCATGGAAGATACGGGCCATAGCTAGGGCACGCTCTGACTCATTGAAAATACGAGTTTTTGACGGGTCGTCTGGGAAGAGGTATAATGAGATGATACCTACAACAATCGTAATTATACTATTGACGGATCAGCATACATTACCACCAGGCTGTATACGAGTTACAGTTATTCTTCTGGAGTAGCAACAACAAAATTTACATACCCTTCTACAAGGAAAATATTCCTCCAAGAGCTGACAGTGCCGATACTCGGGATAGAGAGCAGTGCAGAAGCCAGGAGCCCACCGAAACCGCCAGCCAGGCCTGCGGCAGCAAGCATGAAGAACGATACGCGCGTGGTAACCTCGCTACGACGATAGTAACGGGACACCACATAACTCAGGCCAGGAAACTGAAAAGACTCTGTCAGGCCAAGGAGCAGGCGGATGGCGTAGAAGCTGGCCTGGTTGTGGATAAAGGCCGTGGCAAGAGTAACAATGCCGAACGCGACACAGCTGGCGGGTAAGACGATGAACCCCCACTTCTTAACGCTCAGTGAGGCAGGAATATCGGCAAAGAAATAAATGGCATAGTATATGCAGGCACCGATGTTGAAGCCATACGTCCCCAATCCGAGGTCCTTATCAAGACCGGCGACGCGGGCGTTGCCCAGGTTGGTCCGGTCTAGAAAGGTGAAGAAGTACATGAGAAACACCATGGGCAGGACACGCAGATCCTGCTTGCGAACCAGCTTGGCCTCCATAACGGGGTCAATGACATACTCAATGGCAACCTCGGCATCGGCATTGCTTCCATGCGATGGCAAAACGCCATCCACAAGGTCGGTTTCATGTTTGTCTGGCAGGTGGTGAGATTCCGACATGATGATCCAAGCACCCGGGGAAGTGGATAAACAAGTTGTGGCTGTGGGCTAAATCTCATGTAGCCGAACCTGGGCCCAGGGCTTTTATAAGAGCACGCCAAGCATAAAGGTAACCTTAAAGAGTCAAATGAGACGATGGGCAATACTACCCCTTGTTATTGGTTAGTAGCCGACTAGCCACATCTCGCTCCGGATTTAATATTGGACTGGCCTGTCCAGAAATCCCATCATGAGTCGAACGTACAGGGGTGCGGGTAAGGACTGATAAGGTGGACGGTGGGTAGGACATCGGGTTACATGAGATGACCTATCTGTCCCTGGTGGCCAGTCAAAGGCACACTAACCGGAGCCAGCTGGGGCTTTAACACTGGCCGGTAGCTGCTTGACTGTCAAAGTCGGATATGGAAAGATAAGGAGGCGGATGAGGGATGATAAGATCCTCCCAGGGCGGGGAAATTCTGACATTTACGTCAGATCATTCCTTTGCTCAGCGGTTTTAAGGTATTTCTAAAACGCCAGAGACCTGAATCTCAATTAAAAACCAGGCTATTTGTGTTCATAGACCGCGAGGACTTTATTACCTTTAAAAAATTGAGAAGTGCTGCCCTAATGAGCATTCTAAGCAGGGATATATATTAGCTAGGATTTCTGGAGAGGCCGGTTTCGGCGACTGGGATTCATAATCCATGCGGAAGGATGCGGGTAAGGGCTGGTAAGATGCGGAAGTTGGAAGGTTCATGACAGACTATGGCAAGATAAGGAGCAGCCAAACGTAACTTGAGAATAACATGCATGGCGGCGTCAATACCATCAATAACAGAAGTCTCTTGGAGGCTTATCAACATGTCTTGGCCTGGATCTTTCCGTTAATAGTCAACATGCAGGTTGAAAACATATTATTTGTGAAATGTTGTATCCGCTGTCTTTCTATTGAATTAGTAACCAGATTCAAGATGCGAGTGTCTGCATTGACTTGTGGTAGGGTCAAAATCCGAGATAACTTGATAATTTTCGGTTGAAGGTTTGAAAAGACATTATTTGTATTATCCTATAACAAAATATTAATGCTATTCTAATCATAGCTCTCTCAAATAAATCGGGATGTCAATATATCAGACTATGATGCGACTTGGGCGAAATTAAGAAGCTATCTATAACTACACTCAGGTGCAAGGTTCACCCAACCAGTCTCTAGGCAGGGAAACTAGTCATACTTTCTATCAGGATATTCTAGAATATTGATGCTCGAGATGTGTATTTCTTATATACTTGCATTGTGATATTAGGACTATTTTAAGATTACCATGAAGACCTAAGAATCCCAAGTTTATTGAGTCTATTTCATTCATCCAAATAGCTACTCAATCAAGTTCACGTCAAGGGGGCAGCTAACGACCCAGGCTTGGATGGCCTGAATTCTCTTGTTAGCAAACCTCTCTCAGGTCGTGGGTTTAGGGCAGGACGAAATAGACCTCATCATAGTTCCCGGCCTCTCCCGCCTTGCGCATGACTTCAACTCCCTCGCAGGTGACATCGCCGACGATCTTGATACCCAGACCGGACCCCGGGAAGGGTGTCTACCAATGAGTTCTTCATGGATCCCTAGTTACCGACCGAACGCCGGCACTTCGTCCTTGAACTTATTGGAGGCGAACTACTAGGAACAGTAACGGGAGTGATTACCCTCGATGTTGGGGCGTATACAGGACATAGGGCAACGTACAGCTCACCCAGCGGCACACGCAGCTTTAGATGCGCCTCCTGTTATTTGATAGTAGCCTCTTTCATCACCAAATATTGCTTAGTTCAACTTACGCCATTCTGCATACGAGCGGGGAGTCTTCCCCCAACTACGATACTGAAATCAGGCATATTCTTCTATGCTTTCTTCCTAGATCTTCAGTGCTTACAGTATCACATAGCACACTATTTAGTAAGCTCAAGTCGTATCAGATGTGGAAGTTTCGCTTGAGCCTGTGATATCTCGTGTCTAACGCGCAAGCTTACTTACAATTTGACACGTAACTTCAAGTATTAGCTTGTCAATTATTTTTGATAGATTAAAGAGAGCGCCGTTCCATTTGGGATAGAGTTCAAAACCAAATATAGAGTTGAAGAGAAGTATCTCGGTGAAAAGGTGTGCTGCTACGAGAAAAGCGGTCGGCTATAGGGTAGGTAATTTTGGGAGATAACGACTATGCTGGAAAAGGAAAAGGGAACCGCCAGTCTAGAAGCAGCCATTTCTCCCATCAGGAAGCCACAAGCGCGCACTACGCGGTTTTCCCGTTGCTTTGCCGTGTGGCCAGATGCTAGTTGATCTTGTGGATGCGCGTCGCCCCACAGATTCAGCAAAAGCATCGCGGGGTTTTAGCAGCGACCGACGAGAGAAGCGCTTTGCAATGCCTGATCAGGCAGATGGCCAGAGCAATTGGCGGGGGCCCAACATGCAGATTCTCTGCTCTCCGGCTCTCTCGCGACCCTCATTCCCCAATGCCCATCTATCCCGTCCAATAATTGTCTCTCCCATCCCAATCATGTCCGCTAAATTCAAATGGACTGGCCCTCTGACCATCTCGGCCGTTTCTTGACCCCACGGCCTGTCATTTCTGTCGAATCGTTATATTCTCCTCCTCCCCATTCTCCGAGAACCCTCTGCTTCCTCTCGTGTCATCTTCTCTCCCTCTCCCTCTCTACTCCTCGCCGAAACACCACAACCCGACATCCCCAGCCAGCTCCCCAACAGACTCCAGGTAGACTGGGAAAGAGAAGATCACGATGGCGGTGACAAATGGTACAAACGGCACAAACGGCACCCATGGCCATTTCAAGGCAAACCCGTCCCTCGTGGTGACCGCCGATCACCAAATCCGGATGGAAGAAGCCCCCATTCATGAGCCTGGCCCAGGCGAGGTCCTCCTCCACATCAAGGTCACGGGAATCTGCGGTTCCGACGTGCACTTCTGGAAGCACGGTCGCATTGGTGATCTCACCATCGACGGCGATTGCATCCTCGGCCACGAGCCTGCTGGTGTTGTATTGAAGAAGGGCGCCGACGTCACCCATCTCGAAGTCGGCGACCGCGTGGCCATCGAGCCCGGCGTTCCCTGCGGCCACTGCTTCCTCTGCACCGGCGGACGTCCCAACCTGTGCCAGGACGTCGCCTTTGCTGGCGTCTACCCCTACCACGGCACCATCCAGCGATACAAGGTCCATCCCGCCAAGTTTGCCCACCGTCTGCCCGACAATGTCACCTTTGACTCTGCCGCCCTCCTCGAGCCTCTGTCTGTCGCCATGCACGCCCTGCGCATCACCCCGATCACCATGGGCACACCCGTCGCCGTCTTCGGTGCCGGTCCAATCGGCCTGCTCACCATGGCTGTCGCCCGTGCCTCGGGCGCCTATCCCATCGTCATCTCCGACATTGACGAGACCCGCCTCGCCTTCGCCAAGGCATTTGAGCCCAACTGCCGTACCTACAAGGTCGACCCCGCCGACACTCCCGAGCAGTCCGCCGCCAAGGTCCGCGACCTGTTTGAGAGGAAGGGATGGGAATCTTCTGCCGGGCGCACCGAGTACGACATGCCCAACGTCGTGCTGGAGTGCACCGGCATCGAGTCATCCATCGCCACGGCCGCCTTCACCGTGCGCCGCGGCGGCTCCATCAACGTCGTCGGCGTGTCTTCGCGCCCGTCCATCAACAACATCCCCTTCATGCACATGTCCCTCGCCGAGATCCAGCTGCGCTTCATTAACCGCTACCACGACACCTGGCCCGCTGCCCTCCGCGCCCTCGAGGGTGGCCTGATTGACCCTACCAAGGTCGACGGCCTGGTGACCCACCGCTTCAGGCTTGAGGATGCCATCGATGCCATGAACCTGGTTGCTGGCATCACCAAGCCCGCACCTGGGGAACGGGTCGTCAAGGTCCAGATTGTGGACGAGCTCGAGGTCGAGATTCCCTAGGGGGGACTAAGCTGGTAATGTGTTTTTGATGTTATATTGTTTGAATACATATCTGGTGTTACTTTGCTATTATTTTCTGGGAGACACGGTGTTGAGGGTAGGAAAACATGATTGAATGTGGGATGGATGCGACTAGCAAATTCATATGAGCGTTGTAGCCACTCGTCGATTTTCATGGGAATGACATAAATAAGAATACACAAAGATTATCCTGAATTTGTGCTTCGCGCTCCCTTTTGAGTGGCAAGCTGTGACCGAGAAGGCTTCGACAGCCACCACCGTTCAAGATGTAGAAGCAAGGCTACTGGTGATTCTTTCAACAGAACAGCACTTGTTGCCGTCGTGGGCAGGGGCGACGATGCACCGCCGCCCACGGATCGACACCACTCTAGGCCGCCACAGGAAGAGGTTACATTGGGCTCATTCAGCGCCTGTTGGGGCATGACACCAACATTGATGCGACAAGTGGGATTGGAACGGCTCTCGTAATCGTTGCCAGACATGGCTACGGAGATATTGTCCGGCTCCTACGCGCATCTAATAAAACAAGCAGAGACGGGAGAGCTTAGTATAGGCACCTGAGTTACGCCCAAGTGGCTACAGCTTAGAGAGCAAAGGCCATCCATCATACTATGCACAGCCCTCAATTATTGATGTGCCTACTGCACCTACATAGGCTTCTGTTTGGGCACGCAGAATACTCAGCCACATTAATGCTTCGTGGACCAATTAGCTGCATATTTTCAAACAAGGAAAAAGCCTGAGAGCCTTACTTTTATTTGATGTCTGTCACATGACAAGCTGAGAGAGTAAGCCGGCTACAGCCATTTCTTTTTCTCTCCTCTTCACTACTGCTGTCTTCCACTTCCTCTTATTCGTCTGGTCTAACACATATTCTTTCTCAGGAGCCTCGCATCCAGAAGCATTACTTCTATAATTGTTCAATTTGAATGCATCACGATCCTGTTTGACGTGAAACGCCATTAAGGGTTCGGTTCACGCATAGGCTCGCTCATGCAATGGCGGACCCCCTCTCGGTATCGGCCAGTATCGCGGGTATCATCAGCCTAGCGGACATTGTATTTCGACATGTATTTCACTATGCACGCGCAGCTGCCGGGGCTAAGGATGAGATCCAAGCTCTCTCAACCGAAATCCACGACCTCGGGGGAGTCCTCCGTAATTTAGACGCCCTTTGTCGCACACTCGAGACTGAGCCCAACCAAGGCTTCGACCCCAGCCTTCGACTTCACTGCCTTTTTCAGATTCAGGACACATTCGACAAAATTGAAAAGAGGCTTAAAAAGTCCACTGAAGCTTTTAAGAAGCGTGCTAAGCTGAATGAACTTTGGGAGAAACTCAAATGGCCATTCTCCAGCTCTGAAACCAAAGATTTGCTTGCGAAGCTATCTCGCTACAAAGAAACACTGACTCTTGCGGCCTCTGTGGACACCATCAACGAGTTGCAATTGCTTTTGACAAAGCAGATCGAGCAAGGACAGAAAATCGAGCATTTGGACCGTAAATTGGACGGCATCAGAGCGTGCGCCGAAATTCCTCTCAAAATCATGTTAGATGACCGTAAGAGAAACGTCCTTGATTTCTTCCTCAAACCAGAAACAAACCCCCAGATCAACCTTGATCAGAGCATCAAACTTCGACATCCCACAACTGGTCGGTGGCTTTCCAATGATGAGACCTATCGAAATTGGTTTGATCATCCTGGGTCCAGGCTGTGGCTCAACGGACTCGCTGGCGGAGGTAAAACAATTCTGGCTGGAGCCGTGATCCAAGATGCTCTGTCATCCAGTTCAGCCGACGTTGGGGTTGCCTTCTTTTTCTGTGACTATAAAAAGGAGGCCACCCTCACGCCAGTTAACATTCTTGGGGGCCTTGCTTCACAACTTGCCCGCCAGCGGGATGAGTTCTTCGACATATTGCAGAAATATCGCGAAGAGCTCCATCCAGTTCGAGGACTGGATAAGCTGGCTGATGCAGATGAACTAAGGGCGCGCCTTTCTTTGATGGCCGAAAGGCTTAAGAATTTTATTGTTGTTGTCGACGGCATCGACGAGTGTGGAGATTATACATCCGATGTACTCGAAATGTTGGTGGAGCTGGCGGATACAGCCGAGAATGTGACAATCGCGTTATTCAGTCGGCATGAAGTTGTTATCCAAGATTATCTTCAGAGCTTTGACAAAATCCCCATTGCGGCCCACACTGAAGATCTGCGGGACTATGTGAGGGCTGAGTTGGAACAGCGGACTCACTCGGGTCGCTTGTCTTTGAACAATATGGATCTAAAAAACGAGATTGGAGAAGAGCTTGTGAGAAGAGCTAATGGGATGTGAGTGGCCCTAAGCAAATCTACAAATAAGCGAGATTTATTGTTCTGCTAACCCTATCGTCTCTAGGTTCCGTTGGGTGGTATGTCAACTTGACTATCTCTGTGAGTTTTCCACAGATGATGACAGACGCGAAGCTCTGAAGGAGCTGCCCCCAACCCTTCACGAATCTTACACCAGGTTACTGGTCAGAATACATGGAAGACCCCTAAAAGTCAGTAAGATGGTTCAGATGTGCCTCCATTTTATCGCCTTCTTCCCTTGGGGCTTGTCTATTCAAGAGCTCTGCCAGGCAGTGTCGGTACCGGAAGGCGTTGGTGTTCCTCTCAGTGAATCACGCATGGTTAGCGAAAGAGACATTTTACGAGAGTGCAGCAGCCTCATTCGAGTTTCTGCCAATGGTAAAAGTTTCGAGTTTGCACACTTCACCGTCCAAGAGTTCCTTCAAGACAGTAGCCTGTTGCGAGTTCCAGACCTTGGGGACTTCCATATGAGCAAGATAAAAAGCAACCTGATCTTGGCTACTCAATGTGTGAGGTTCTTGCAGTTAAGGAACTTTGACAGGCAACCTTCAAAAACAGAAGAATGGTGGAACTATAAATTGGAGAGGACCACCTCCTATCCGTTTTATGATAAAGCCGCTGTTGCCTGGCCTATTCTTTCTCGGGAACGGTTAGAAAGCGGAGAGTTACTCGACGCGCTGAAACAGTTGTTTCATCCTTTCAAAACTTCATTTTTCCTTCCTTGGGCCGAAGACCTAATTGACTTTGTAATGGAGGGAATGAGCATAGGGATTACCAGGTGGCAGCAATTACAGACAAGGTTTGACGGCGCCCTACAGGGCAGATACTCTCCAGTCCGGATCATAGAAGACGGCATCAAACCTCTGCATCTTTCAGCGATTTTGAATATCCCTGAGATAACAGCTTTTCTTCTTTCAAAGGAGGACAAGACTGTCGTGCATGCGAAGTCGCGACTTGGTACACCATTGTACTTGGCAGAAGCATCCATCTTAGGCATTCCCATCCGACCCAACAACGATAAGAAGTCAGGCTTCGATTCTAACCTCTGTGCCGTTGGCCGTCGGCGTATGGAGACAATATCATACCTTGCTAAGGCTGGCGCGGATTTTTCTATGCTGCCGGACGACTCAAGGGTTTTCTCTGAAGCAGGCATTATCGGTTCTATGTTAAAGTCGTTTGACTCAAGCCTTCAATTATTAAAGGCGGGGTTTGTGCCATCTGATCATGATATTCGGGCATTTGCCCGCTTCTTGTCCTCAACAAATTCAAAACCAGATGATCACGAGCTAGAATCATCCTTTCTTGAGATTCTAGGTTATCTTAAGAATTCACACGCCTACAACTCCACATGGGGGTTTGAGCTTGGAAAATGCCTCTGGTCCGCCTGCGTGGAGTCGAATTTCTCATTCACGAAACATCCAGAACTCACATATACAAGAATTTCGTTATCAGAAGAGACTTTAATGGACAAAATAGTCACCGCCATCAAGAGAGATGATGTAGAACAGCTGAGAGTCTGTCTACAAGACCCACGTGCTAGCATTACCGACAACGGTCATGGAGGTACCTTGTTACACGATGCCGTCAAGAATAGTGCACTGCATTGCACGCGGCTTCTTCTCAGCCTAAAAAGTAACCCATCCGCCAGAGACGAGGCAGGTCAATCACCTGTGTATTGGTGCCGTCTCTGCGAGGATGTTGAAATATTAAAACTGCTTGTGGAATATAACACCGACGTTTTTTCGCAAGATAACTTGGGCCGAAATGTTTGGCATTATTATGCTGTCAGGGAATACTTTCACGTTTCAATTCTTGATATTTTTTTCAAGATAGACATGGAAAGAGAGCATAATTCTCTCTTGGTGGAAGACACCGATGGATTCACTCCATTAGAACTCTGCTTTGAGGAGCACTTGAAGGATGAATACATTGTTTTGTTCATTGACTATTGTGATCAGATGCCAAATTTCTGGCAAGCTCACAGATGCGTTTTTCCTCTTGCTGCAAGACGGGAGTATAAAAATGTCCTCAAGAAGCTTTTGGAGCTGAATGTCATCCCGAAGGCAATAGGGCCAAGCGACATGAGCCCACTACATGAGCTGGGGCCAATGTCAGATTTAGAAACTGTGACGATATTGAAAACCCTCTATCCTGGAGCATGTCAACTCAGAGTTGGAGATCACACCCCGTTGGAATACTATCTCAACAACATCTTATGCGGATCGGAATGCGTAACTTCAGATGAAGTCTTTATTCCAGATAAAGACGTAATTCATAGTCTATACTGCAAACCACTGTCAGAATCCAGCCAAATTGGTAGGACAGAATTGTGGAGGTATACATGCAAGCTTTTGACACAATTTATCCAAACTTATTGTCTCTGTACGCACCATCGCGTTCAAAACCACAACCAAGTCATTAGCAAATCGATTATCGAAGTAACGATAGATCTTGGAGCGATGAAGGACTATGAATCCCAAATTGCCTTGTCTGGTGTCAAGCTGTTATTCGAGGCTATTCTCGAGGTCAGAGGCAATATTTCAGCCGTCCATTATAATACCCAAGAGTTCATAGGCACGAGCACAGTCGAAAAGGCCATTAGTTCTTCGCAGTACTGGGAGCCCAACAGCCCGTGGGCAATCGAGTTCTTGCGAGAGGTAATCATGTGCGAAGACCTCGCCACCGTCGGATACCTCTTAGACAGCGGGCTAGATCTCCATCAGCGTCTGGGAACAGAGACAACAATTGAGTACATCTGTTCAGGATCGAATGCAGAATGGTTATGTAATAGTGAGAAGGGAAAGGCGGTATTCCAATGCCTTCTAGATCACTCTAACCCGGAAAAGCTTAAGGACTGGGACTACAGAGGACTGAGTCTCCTCCATCGAATTCAAACGGAATCAGATAAACCTGGACTTCACTGGTTAATTCATAAACTTGCTGAAATGGGATTGGATGTCAATGTTTTCAATTCCTCACCAGAAATGGCAGTACATGAAAGAGCCCCACCATTACTCTACCATATATATCAGAGATCTCTCTTTTGTGCCTCGGTCTTATTGGAACTTGGGGCTGATCCTAATCTGACTACCCCGGGCCACGATGATGGGCGGAACTCCATTACGCTGGCTGCATTTCGGGGTTATACCTCTGTTGTAAATGCAGCTTTAGCTTCTTCCAAGAAATCTGGCCTCAAGATCCGTTGGGGAGCACGCTTTACCATGGGCCCAATAAGTACGAAGAATTCCCAAATAGAGAACGGTTGCACCGCAATCCATGCGGCTTGTATTAACGGCCATCTGGACTGTGTCAAGTTTTTCAACGAACAAAGGCTTTTGAGTTTGGAGAGCCTGAATAGTTCCCAGAAAACCCCCCTTCATTTTTGTGCAAACGAGGGCTTCCCGGATATTGTGAAGTACTTAGTAGCAGCCGGTGTTAAGATAGATAGAAAGGATGCGAACGGTGACACTCCTTTGCATTTGGCTTCTCGCGAGGGGCAGACTCAAACTGTCAAGTTACTGGTAGAACTTGGCGCAACAGATGGGATGAACAAGAGGTTCAAGAGCCCTGCACTGCTTGCTTCAGAGTTTGGCCACCAAGAAATCGCACAATTTCTTGACCAGGAATTTGGCAAGAGGTCGTACGGCGAGCCTCACCAAATATCTGCTATGTCTCAGATTCAAGAAAAGACGCTGCTCAGCAAATTGTATCCAGCAATCGAAAACGGCAACATCGAGAGGTGCCGATTCCTCCTCACAAAAAATTGCCCGCTAAATAAGAAAATGTCACCTTATAAACGCACCCCCTTGCAATATTCCATCTTCAAGAATCAGCCAGAAATTGCCAAGATGTTCCTCGATCATGGAGCAAGCACATTAAACAATGTTTGGACGATCAAGGTCGGGTATCGACAATATACATGTAACTATTCGACAACAGAACTTGCATCCTTACAGAAAATGCCCATGTCGTTACTTTCAAGCATGCTATCTCGATTTCTACATGAAGGCGGGGATTTTCTGCAGTCCACTGATTCACTGGGACTAATTCCCAGCATCCTCGAGGCCAGGAATATTCAGGGTATGAGAACCGTTTTGAATTTTTTGAACGAAAACTCCGAGAAAATTAGGTACGTAGCTCGATGAGTTGACAAATGTAACTCTAACTAACACACAACCAAGTCGACGAAGCCAGTTAGAGCCTCAAGAAGTCATCCCTTCAATACTAAATAATCTATACGATTTGTACCAGGACGGGCGGCTGTCGACCCCTTTGCACTTTGCTACATCTTGTGACCTAGTCGAGCTAATGCAACTTCTTCTCGAGAATGGGGCGAACCCTGACGCTTTGGATTCAGTTGGCGTTAGTCCATTAGAGGTGGTGCAGTCGAGCCCGGCGGCACAGCTTTTGATTGAATGGGATGCCTCTGTTCCACCCTCCATGGTTATTGCAAACATGAAAATTATCTCAGAGAAGCTAGTATTCATCATGAAGCCAAGAAATATTGCGAGCACATCTCAAAATGCGTTCAGAATCACCCTCAATCATGTTCTTAGGCGGTCTCTCTCTTGTCAGACTTTCTATCGGATGAGCATCAATGTCAAAAACTGGGGGTTTCTGCAAGATTTAGAACTTGTGGGTGTATCACTACATGATCAGAGATTTGGGGACATAAGTCTTATCAATGCTCTACTCCATAATTATCAAAGGCAAGACTATTTTCTCAACTCGCCACACCTTCTCGATCAACTTGAGCCATTCAACTGGCAGGTATTGATAACTGGCTATATACCGCCCTTTCTTAATAAGTTATTTCGCCACTATAGCCGACGACTTTCGCGAGACGACTTCCAAAGATGGGCAAATCTACAGCCCGAAAAGGGCTGGAGCCCGCTGTGTAGAGCCGCTTTATTTGGACATGTTGTCTTGATCAAAAACTGTCTTTCTCTTGGGGCGGAGATTGATTTTGAAGGATGCCCGCTTGGCTCTGCTCTCATGGTTGCAAGCACGTGTGGCCAGCTTGAATCCGTGAAAATACTTATTAAGCATGGTAGTGCAATATCCTACACTGGGAAAGAGGGCACAATGAGCGCCCTTTCAGTAGCTCGATCCAAGGCCGTACGCCGCTTCCTCCTGGTTGGCCAATTTCAAGGACCTAAAGCAATTGGAGACGCAGATCCCAGAGACAATAGCTCTGATGATAATAAGATTAGGTATTGGAGTGGAATAGCCCAGGCTCGCTTGAGATTGGACCCATATATTCAAGACCCAGAGTTATCTAGGTTGGAATACGCGATTGCTCTTAGCAGGATTAGGGTGGAGATGAGAGGTCGAGTTGCGAGCATCATTGACGGGGTTCAGTACTCTGGGAGCGATGGTTCTATAGCTATGATCAAGAACGCAGGACCAAAGATATACTGGGAGTAACTGGTTGATTCTTTGGGTGGTGTTATAGGCTACGCCTACATGAAGCTCCGCTAGATGTTGGTGTGTGGTCACCTCACTCAAGGGCTTCAAACTCTCAAAGCCCGCAACAAGAAAGCACTATAAAGCAGCTAGGTATCTAGTTCCTCTCAAGAATTCCTCTTCATCTTCTGTATCTAGAGATAGTTCTAATTCTACAGACTTCATGGTTGAACATGCCTAGAGAGCATCACTTAACAGGTAGAGCTACAATGAAATTGTTCCCATTAGGTACTAATGAGGGATCTCGCTCTAATTTCCATGTTGCCCAAAGGGGCGCACCAAGTATCGAAGGATAATATAGTCGCATCGGTAAAACCATGATGGTGGGACAGTAACATGGTTTAGAAGGAATGGTGTGAGTCTCTTCCAGTAGGGCGACTAACTATGTAGGCACCTAACTACATTCGAAGAATCATCTCCAAAACGCAGCCACTACCACCAAATAAAAATCTGCCTACTGCTTCTCGTAAGCATGGAACACCTTTGATATAATCTTCCACTTCCCATCCACCTTGATCAAGGTCAAAAAGTCGACATAGGGATTATCAGGCGTCCCCTCCATCTCAGCCCGCACCACCGCCGTAGTCGGCGTCATGCCGATCACGTCCGCGCGAGCCTTGATGTCGACGGCCGGCCCGTAGGCCTCGTAGTAGCCATACAGGTCCCTGTACGAGCCCTTCGATAGGGTCCCGTTGAGGAACCACCCGGTCATGGTGGCGTCCTCGTGGAAGGCGTCCTCGAGAAGGCCGCGATCGGCCTTCTTGAGACTGTCAAAGTAGTGCTGGGCAGCGGCGATAACAGCGTCGTACTCCGCCGTGGGGATTGGCTTGGCGTTGGAGGCCATATTGGACCTTTGTTTTTTTTTCTTGGTTCAAGTGTGTATCTTTCGATATAGATATCTGGATTTTTTGCAAGCTCTGCGTTTGATCTTGCTTCTGCTACCGATGGAAGAAGAGGAGAAGGTGCTGAGGGCGGGGAAACAGACCTCATCTCTCGTCATATCATCTTCTGGCCGAGTTATGACCAATAAGCCCTTGGTAAGATACGAGATACCATGTAGCGTTTGTTGGTTGGCGGGTGATCTGCTGGTGGGTGTGGCCTCCCGACTCCCCCGCCCGGCCTGCAATTTGCGGAAGCGTCATAATCATGCACTATTTTCTGCTTCTGGAAGTCATCGGAGAATTAATCAATCTACTCGATTTATTACACGGGTACTTGAGTGTACATCTACGATTTGGGGGCCGTTAGGACAGTGTTGTGGGACGATGGATTCTGTTGTCAGAATTACAATGGCATTAGGGATGAGAGCGCAGCACATTCAATTTGGCGAAAGATGTCATAAAACGTGGTATAGATTAAAAGCATTCAGAGCTAGCCAATTCAAAACAAACTATCAATCAGGAGAGTAGACGTGAAAAAAAAAACATTCTGGACCATCATCCACTTTCCTCGTCTAGGCAACTTGCCCAGGTTGGGACGACTGGCGGACCTGGGGGACAATCATGCGGTTTTCCACGATGTTGGTAATGAGACCTCCGTTGATCTGTACTGTGTGATTGGCCTCGACGTCAAGCTGCATACCAATCTCGATTTCCTTTTCGGTCTTCTCTACCCCATTGGGGAGCTTCTCAACAGTGCCGCAGTCGTTCCAGCCACCTTGGATGCCGGGGAAGGTAGGCTGTCTGTTAGTGCAACCACCATGGACTCCAACGACCATGCCGTTGATTTGAGTGGTCAGGCTGCCCTCCACTTTCAAACAGTTGTCATAGACGTAGGTGCCCCGTGGAGGGGGGGGCTCCACGTATTCGTTGCTAAGGACCATTACCAGGCCGTTGATTTGGTCTGTAAGGCTGGTGGAGGCGAGGTTCCTGAACCGAGCGACAGGCTCTACAAGTCTCCCTTGTGGCTGAGGGAGCGGCAACTGGCCGGTGGGCTGGCCGGTCTGGCAAGGCGAGGTATCTACGAGCAACTCAGTCAACTCGGGCTCCAAAGGCTCTAGCCAGACTCGACAAGGCCGATAGTCGGGGCTGCTGGTAGTGGCTTGCTCACAAAGGTTGTTGTTCGCTCCGCCAGACATGATGTTCACGTTGAATCAGGAGGGCAGAATCGTTCAAGCGGTTCAAGGGGCAGGAAGAGAACACGACGTCGGTCAACGACGACGAGATGGACCACGCGGTGGTTAAGAAGAATAAATCACAGAAGAAGATAGTGGGCAGCGTCTACCTCCCAGGAGATAGGACGAGAGAAGGGTTTGGAAGCGTGGTGGCTGTAGAGAAGCAGAGAGATGGATGGACCTAGGCATGTGGGAAGAAGAGAAGAAGAGGGGAAGGAAAGAAAGGGAGGGAGGGAGAGCAGGACGAAGATGCGAGCTGAAATAATAAGGCTGGGGACCTCGCTAGATAGGTATTGCGTAGTATCTGCATGCGGCCTAATAAATGGCCACATCCAACCAACCAACCAGCAGCTTTTGGGCACCAATGCTTGTGGCTTCGCGCGCGTTTCTGCACTTCCAGAGGCCAAAGCGGCTGGCGCGTCGTAATGGAGGGCACAAAGCAGCCGGTCCTTCACATAGATCTGTGTGTGAGAGGTCAGTAGAGAGCCATGGAAATTCAGTTCGGATTCCCCTGACGAGCTATAGATCCCGGCATGGGCTCCATTCTCTAGATGCTACGCGCTCCTGCCACCAGCGACGGGCGTACGTGAAGCTCTACAGGTGGTAATCGTCGCTCGTGTTGACCTTGACGCCTCTCCTCTCCCAGATCCGGTGAACCCCCATGTCCTCCACCCCGCTGTTTTGCTTTTTGTCAGATAATGTCGCTTCTTGTTTGTCATAGCTATTGGCCACTCACTCGTCTTTCATGTTGACCACAGGCTCCGATTGGCCCTTTTCTGGATTGCGGAAGATCATGTTCTTTCTCTGCGCACGCTTGTGTCAGTCCGCCCCCGCTCGGTCTGGTTCGCCCTGGGGATACACATACCAGTCCCAGAGTGAGATGGATCGCTGGAGGTGAGACGACGATGCTCTCAATCGGCTGCTTGCCCGCAATCATGGCAACAATGTTCTCGGAAACAACGCGCGCCTGTCCAATTCCCGGGCGAGCGGCTTTGTGAGCTCCACTGTCGGCAATGTCGCCCGCAGCGAAGAAGTGCGAGTACTTGGGGTCCCTGAATTGAAGAGTAGGCAGTACATTGATGAAGCCATTCGCCGGGTTCAGGATCGAGCCACCGGCCGTCGGCTCGAGGTCGCGGAGGAACTGATTGTTTGGGCTCTGTCCCGTCGCTGGGATGATCAGGTTGGCTGCAATCCTGCGTCCATCCTGCAATTCCACCTGAAATTCACTGCCATCTGTCGGAAATCCATTGGGAGGCACCACTGCCCGGCTCCCAGTGGCTAACCTATTACCTAGGCATTAGCTGTTTGATTATGGGTGCGTGGGGACCAAGTGTTCAATCAACGTACTCGACTCCGAGCTCCTTGCATCGCTCCCGAATGATCTCGTCCATTCTTGGATGGTACAGTGGCATCAGACGGTCACGCGAATGGATGAGAGTGATTTTCTTTTCAGGATAGAGCTCCTTTAGATCTGTAGCCATTTGCACGCCGACGGCGCCTCCTCCAACAATTGCAATAGACTTGGCGCTCGTCACTTTCCGCTGATAGTCCTTGAAGTAGCTAATGGAGGACGGCTTATCGTCCTGCGGCATAGTCCCCGGGGGCGACAGGCGTGTGCCGGTAGTGACGACCACAAAGTCAAAGGGCACCTTGGAGGACCCTTGCCAGTCCCGGTCGAGAATCACATGTTCCTTGGTGAGGGAGATGGCTTTGGCTGTGATGATGGAATGCGCGGATGGGTCCGAAGCAGATGCAAATGCACCCGTGTAAGGGATGAATGCCTTGTGCTCATGACTCGGTAGTACAGCAAATCTGGGCTTGTTCTTTGAGTCAGCCACCAATGGGGGCCCATGTAGGAGAAATGCCATCACTTACAAAGGCGAATAGATGATGGAAGTGGGTGTGTGGCTCGACTAGGAGCACCTGCATGTGTCTCACATCAGAAGGTGTCATCACAAAGCAACATCGCTTGTTCACTCACACGATGGGTCTTTGGGAGCGCAGTGGCCAGCTCGTTAACCGCCGCCTGGGTAGAATGAAACGTCAATATGGTTGGTTCAGACAGCAACACGTAGGCAAGGGGGCCAGAAAATGTTTCAAAAATAGACTCACGAGACCAACATACGATCCGCCAAGGACGACGACATTCTTCAAATTTGCAGCCATTTTGTTTTGATTTGCGTCAATAATTTATTAAACAAAGAACAGCGGCGTCTTATAGCCGGGAGAGATCGAGAGGACCGGAGATTGATAACGGAACATAGACTGACCCGAGTGGAGGCCCCATCCTCATGCAGTAGGTAACGCCGCGGATGTAGGGCAATACGGATGTGCGGAACTCCGAGCCTGGCCGAGATATTCGGTCTTTTACAACGGGATATTGACAAATTCCTGCTTTTAGTACAGGTAATCGGAAGGGTGGAGGGAGAATAGCGGGGTGGTTCTTGACAAGGTCAATTATTGGCTCCTGCTGGGTTTGCGTGGAGGATGAGGGCCACAGTTCCGAGTTCCGAACGGGGCAATTCTGCCGCGTAACCAACGGTTTAACTCGCGGAAAATCACATTAACACTAATTTGACCTTGGAGCATTGTGAGATTTATCGAGAATTTGTCAGTACACGCACTAGCGGGCCTAATGTGATGTCATGTCTAGTAAAAATACCCGATCCCACGTGTGTGTAGTTACTTCATCAGAGAGTCAACCGAGCTGTTGGAAGTACTTAAGAGCTCTCAAAGAGGACATTTTATTTATTTTAAAATAAGAAACTGGATAAAATCACAACGTCTTTGAAGGTAAAGTCACATTTATTTAGGAACTATTGAGAAATTGTAGACTGTAGTGTACAGTGCTTGGGAGAAGGGTGAAAGTGGCGCCAAGGAATAGACACCAAACATCGCGATGTGAAAGTGGATTTGGCTGGGGACTCTGTAATTACTTTAGAATGTTCAAGGTTGCGCTTCGTTGGATTCACGGCATGCCTCCATGAAACCAAGGTGAGGTGGTCGTGAGTGTTCAACCAGGCGCCCCCCCCAAAGAACCCAGCGCGCAATTGTAGCATGCTATCAGCATTTTCATGAAAGAAAAGCCACTGCAATTTCCCGCTATTGGAAATGGGTTCAATCATTGATTTAATATTCTTCTATAATGGGGCCGAGAGTGTTGAGAATGTTGTCGTCGATGAAGTTGTTGCCTTAGGGACAGGTGCAAGTGATGATGCAGCTGTATGTTTTTGGAACTGTCTTGTTGACAATTGGAAATCCTACGATAGAGATTTTTTTTATTACAAATGGTCTTTTGAAGCCAATGACAATTCCAAACGGCTTTCGCTTCCTGGTGGACGCGCACTCTCGCTGGGCTCTCTGGTGCTGGTGGCGGGGTGCAACGCCCACCGCGATGTCTCTGAACACTCCAGAGTGTCATATACGAATATCGATGCAGACAATTCAACAATAAGGGGAGGTGGTCTAACTGGTAGAACTTGTGGTTATCGGCGCTTGCCCAGCCCAATTCCTAAACAGTCAGACACACGCGACTCGACGACCCAAAACGGCTCCAAACGGCTCCCGACGACTCTCGACGACCCTCGACGACTCTCGACGACCCCGACGACCCACCGACGACTGCGAGCGTCGATAAACACAAGCTTGGGGTTCGAATCCCCTCCTCCCCGTTCTTTTTTTCTTTTTGTCCTTTTTTTTGACTTTCCCAATTGTCGGTGTTGTCAACGAGCGAGTTCCAAGCTCTCCAATGCACAACGAGCACGAGGAGCAACGAGAGCCAACTACAACTTGCCCAACTTTGAACGCGCATATCCATGAAACAATTGTGTTTTAATAATGTTCCCTGTTCGTCTTGTTATATATATATCTCTCTCTTTCTTTGTTGTTGTCTTGAGTGAAGGCTTGTGATGGGGATCGGTCTTTGGCGACAAGAGGAGTGAGTGGCTAGCTTCAGGCAATTGAGACAGCCCGCCCCAAAAAGTGCTTCAAGATGTTTCTACTGTTCGAACGTGCTCTACTCATGAATGATACCCTGGGTTTTAATGTCGCGTTTTTCCTGTCAACAAATTCCACGGCAAGGAGCAACTTCGTATTGATCATTTCAGACAGCTCTTGCTGTGGTTGTGTGGATGGCGTGCTGTGATGTCACTAAAAGCCCTGTAGGCAAACAACTCCTGCGCCCCACCAAATGACCTGTTTTCCTTCATGTCATGAATCGTATGCCTCTATGCATTCACCATTTATACAACACCTCATGTTCATAATAATGTATGGCTTGGGTACGGCTGTTGTTCCAATTGTTAATTTGGCTAAGGCAAAGACACCCTGACCGCCACGTAGAGAGACTCAGCCGAGAAACAATAATCTCACTAGCCATGCATCACTGTTGGCACCAGCAACCAAGCCATCGGCAAGGTCAGACCGAACATGACCCAAGTTTCAGAGTACGGGCACGTCTGGCAAACAACCAAACAACCCGGTGAAGTGACCACCCACGCTCTGAATATTACTGATAATTAGACAATGTCACCGTGATCTGGAGAACCCGAAACCTTAAAAAATTAGAAGCGGGAAAAGGAGGCGAGTGGGACGGGGCGATCCCCTAAATTTAGCGAGCCCGCTTTAGTTGATGTGGCTGTTGCTGTTGTGTCTCAGCTGGTGGTTGGCACGGCATCCGCAGGCCGGGGCCCTCGTCCGTTGGGCGTGAATACGAACCTTGGCTGACCTCATACCTGATTAGTGCCTGGGACAGCTCGTGTGTTAATTTGTTTTGTGGCGGCATGACTTGTTTCTGGTGAGACGAGACGGCGGCCCGAGCGAGATGCCGCTCGTGCTCTCCAGAGCTTGATCATGCATTGGTTAATCGGACCACTGCTCGCTTTCTTGCCTTCTCCTATTCCCTCCTCCTCCCATCAGCTCCTCCCTCAGCTTCTCTCTCAGCTTCTTCATCGTGCCAACCTACAGACCTTCTCGGCTCAGTCCAACCGTCAATCCACCATGTCGTCCACCACCGCCGTCTCTACCTCCTCCGCCGCCGCCCCGAGCACCTCGGCCGTGTGCGCGAACATCTGGCAGACCCCCAACGAGGACAAGAACTGCGCCATGCCCCGAACCGACAAGAACGTCGACTACATGAAGAAGTGCTGCAAGAGCGCCCAGATCGTCAGCTACTACAACGACTGCGGCGTCTACTGCCTGGCCGTCGACCAGACCATCGAGGACCTGATCGACTGCCTCAAGGGCGAGGGCGCCGGCGACACCGACGTCTTCTGCCGCGGCGTCGGCAACGACACCGCCTCCGCCACCGACGTGGGCTCCCTCGACCCGACCATCACCGCCAGCATCATCGCGGGGGCCACGAGCTCGTCCAGCAGCGGCAAGGACGACAACAACAGCGACAATAAGGAGGATGACAAGGGTGCTGCCGTCAAGGGGACCGTCAGCATGCTTGGCCTTGCCATTGGCACTCTCCTGATTTCCGCCTTCACCATTGGCGGCATCTAAAGGATGGCTTTGGGGAGATTGGATCACGAGACGGAGTGTTTTTTCCCTACATGTTTTTTCCCTACATGTTTTTTCCCTACATGTTTTTTCCCTGCATGGTATATTGACGTCAGTCAATCTGGTTTGGGTGGGTATGGGTAATACAAAACTTTAGCCAGCACCAAGTGTCTGAGCTTTCAGCATACGGCATTATAGTAACGTCGGAGTAATGGTTTGCATCTATGGGTAAATACCCAGAGCTAAGCAAAATGATCAAGTGTAGCATAGAGAGCAATAGGGTATGCCTATATGATGCCTCTAGTATATAAACAAATAATGATGCTTTCTTTGTACCTTCGATTGTGAGAGCCTCCTTCATTTGGCTGCGATTCCGACTCGTCAATGCCGATGATGTGCAGCGAGACAACCCCTCCAGTGAGGTTGAAATTGCTGTGCAGTGTGAGTAACTGGCAGCTGTGCAGTCCGTGTAACCGGCAGCCGTGTAGTGTGTGTTACTGGCTGGGCTCGCTGGCATTTAGCTCAAGCAGTCACTGTCCATACATAGTCCCGCCAACGTCGATCAGATGTTCCGTCGCTTGATCGTCATACTTGGGAAGCCTCTTCATGTCCTTGTCTGTGTCTCAGACTAACTGCAATCGGTTACTACCCAAGAGTGGAGGGTATCAAGTCACACATCTGCTAGCAGAGAGATCGGGGTGTGGCGTCGTACAAATTCCCAGGACGCCTTTGTATTCTCTCTGAGCCATGAGGTATGACGTTCAATACGACCTCTGGAGTGAGATATGGAAAAAGCAGGGCGATACAAGGCAGAGTGACTACATCGTCCTTGACCGCAGCTAATGATCCAAGTTCTAGGTCGCCTGTAGAATACCTACCCAGCTATCTCAAGTAGTAGATTACCACAGCTTCGGCCTCTGTGAAGCACTCGTCAGATCGTCCGTGGGAGAGCCAAAAACGAGAGCCGGCATTTCATCCTTACGAAGGTCACGATGCAATAAATGAATCTGCCGGGCCAGGGGAGATCATTGTGAGTAAATAAGTTCCTGTATGCGGTCGCAAATTGAGGCCAGGCCTTGATGGCCTTGATCACATTTGTTCCATTGCCCCCTTCCAAGGCGCTTGAAAATAGAAAGTCCATCCCACCCTCAGCAATCCAGTGAGCAAGCTGCCGCCTATCAGTCAACCAGTGGGCTCACGAAGGACCCAAGAAAATACTCACCAATATTCCGTGGTTTCCAACGCGAGCTAAACATCAAGATCATCATCTGGGCTTGGGAGGACCTCTCCTCAGCATCAAACTTTGGATCTCTCTCGCGTGGACAGTGCGACAGCGAATGGCTCGGCCAAAGAGCGTCGCTCCTGCACAGCAATAACCTCCAGTATCCCACACCCAAGTTAGTAACGTCCCAATAGTGCCTTCTCATAGGCTTTGTAGAGCTTTGCCATATCCTGACGGCGCCAGGGAGCTGCTCGATATTCGACCACCCGAACCAGAAGGCGGTCATGCAATCCCGCACAACTGGTTGACGTCTAGACGGGACGGACGCGAGAAGCTTCAGACACCTCATGTTCAATGTAAGTCCCATCGCAGTGGGAAGTCTTTTAACCCTTTCAACAAGCCGAGTGCAAAGCCGGTTGGCAACAGTCATTGGCGGCTATCGTGCGGCAACAGTTCATACGTTAGCCCTCGATGTTCATCCGATGTTCATCGTGATCCATTGGCGAGGGCCTTTAGAGCACTCCGATACGCCGGGGATCACGCAGAAGGTTCTCATCAACCAATACTTCCTCAAGAGAAAGTGGTTGATTTACGGAGATATGAACATTCGAGTTGGGATCGAACACATGGCGTGCAGGCCGGCCAATTCCCGTCTCAATAGAAGACCAGAACAATTCAAAATTGTTCAGGGATCCTGAGAAAGGCGGTGATATCCGGGATAGCCGTAAATGGTTATTGGAAGAGGCATTGAGGAGTTTGCCATGGGAAAGTAGAGCAGCTCTAGAGGGTATGCTAAGACGGGTGTCCCCTCACCTTGAAGTATATTGGATTACAACCATGAAACAAAGGCTCTACCCACTCTAGTATACGAATGCATGATGATGACCTTCGGAAGGGTAAGTCAAAAGTTTCAGATCACCCGAGGACCCCGGCCTCAAAGCTCACATAAGATCGCCGTCCAACATCAGCTTGCTTAACCGCCCGACCCGCTTTACTCATCTGCCTCATCATTATTGTCGTCAGATTTCCACATAAGATCCATGAGCTGTGATTCAATCCCAGAAGCTCGCGATATGATATGCAGTGCATCTTCATCCCAAACAACCAAAAGGCCCTCTGATGCCACGAAGGCAGCGAAATTCTGCCTCTTGGCGCGGGCGAGAGCTTCAATAGTGGGAAGAACTTGGGCTCGACAGCCGTTGTTAAAGGGCACTTCTAGCTCAGTGAACCACCGCAGGAAGGTTTTTATGACATTTGAATTCACTGTCATAAGGCACTAGGAACTCAGGGTCAGTGATGGTAAGTGCCAAATTGGATTGGGATATGTCGGGCGACTTACCTCGACTTTGAGCGCGGCGGCAGCCTTAAGCAATAGAGATCCTGCCGGCTGTGGAGGGCACGCAAGATATTGGCCTCCTTTCTTCCGCAAAACAACACCTTCATTATCCTCCCCCGAGCCACTACGCACCCAGAGTTTCAAACATTGCTGTTGATAGAGGTAGTTGACCAGAACTTCGGGGTTGATGTCGTCGCTTATCCTGGACCTCGACGCCAGAGGACGAGTAGGCCCGGGCCCAGCGGAAGCTGGCGTATCCCCGGAGGGCTTCATAGGGCGTATAGCTCGTGACAGCTTGGAACTTACGTTGTCACTGAACGCTCGCTGACTACCTATTCTTCAGCAGAAAGTGCCTCTCCAATGACGCCTGACTCGCAGATGGAGACATGAGAGGTGCCGCTGCCTCTTTCGTCTTAGCGCCCTTGCTGCGGCATCAAGCTCGTCTTTAAAGCAGCAGAGGTTAATCTTCACCCTCGCTCTCGCTGGCTGATGATTGTGACCGCGATGGGGAAGGGGGATTAAATACTCTCCCTAGTTCTGGTCCCAAGGGTTTCATGAGCTCCCTCCGAGTACGGAGATGCAGACCCAATACCCGAGGCGCGAAGTTCACAAGAAAGCTTATTAAACAAAGTGAAGGGCGCATCCTTAATGAGAGGCTAGAGGTAGTAAGGTGGAGGGAATGTGTGTGAGTTATGGTGGAAAAGGAAATGCACAGGCTGAGGTACTTGGCTGACAATCACTTGTCAGCAGGCTTTCCAAGGTTACATCATACGATAGAGGCATCACTATGAATCGGTCTGTACTTGACCTAGTTCGTCTACAATTTCCATCGTTGGTCTTAGGATAGTGTGATGTTCCAACAGCTTACCACATGAGCCAAGATGAATGCTACCCCGATTGCAACCCAACGGGGAAGCACTCATCGCGTGTGATCGCGTGTGATCTTGCGGGGTGGCAATGTGGGAGGGGCGGGTATCTAATCATATCTTATCAGAGATAAGATAGCTAAATCACGGGTTGAACCGATGGGGCTGGTTCGGTGGCTAATCAGATCCGTGGCTGGCGGGGAGATTGGCAGCGTGGTGGCAGACCGGCGTTATGCTGATCAGGAGGCGACCAGCCATTTTGCCATCCTGTGATTGCTTTCCGGATTTGAGGCAATGTGGAGCTGTTCGTTGCCAACCGGGTATGTATGTAAGGGGCGCGCTGGAGTTTAGTCCCTATCAACATCCACCAGCCTAGGGGAAGTAGCGCAGAAGCGCCCACTCACATCCAGCTGGAGGCGGCTAACCCGATGGAACCCCGGGTGACGGTCCCGTTGCATTGATTCGGCGGTCTGTCTGAGAACCTGGACAAGTTTGCCCACAGCAGAAGTACCGCTAGGAAACAACGCTCCTCCAGGCGGTAGCGCCGCGGATGCAGGCATGATAAGAAGAAGAAGACGCCAAGTTCTGAAACCTGTCAAAGGATGTCGCGCACTCGTCCACCGCCTCGTCCGTGATCGATGGACTGGTGGGGATGGAGTGGTTTCATTTGGCACCAGTCGTTATGGAAACAAAATGATCATGTCCCAGGGATACGCATAACGATCGGTAGGCTGGGAGTGCTCGCCCAGACGTCACAAAACGCGCGCGAGTACTCCCGAGCATCCAGCAGCACGAGCTGAACTGGCGGCCCTTGCACCGCCAAATACAGCAGGGGAAACTGCACCCTTTTGGACGAAGGGCACACGTCTTGGGCGCCAGCATTGCCTGAACAGGCCAGGGACAATGGAATGAGGCCGGCTCCATTTGGTGGCCAAGTCCCAGGGACCCGAAAAATAGCCTGTTCTCTGCATGGGCGACGTGTAGGTACATACGTACTACAGGCCAACCCCCCTCAACCCCTGAAGCCAAGTTCACCGACTATTGCCCCAAGGTGCAATTTTTCTAGTCGAAGGCGAACCCCGTTAGTGGGAGAGGCCCAAATCTCCCTCGGTTTATGAACTCTGGCATGGCTCGATCCAGTTGTCACAGCTCGTTTTCGTTTCAAAAAGCGCCCCGGGGCTGATTGCAGTGAGGCCATCTTCCAGATTACCTTGTTTTGGATGGGCTTGTTTCCGCTCTCCCATGTCTTTTCCAAGGGTTGCATGTCGTTTGGTACAAACCGCCTCTTGTTCAACCGACCCTTGCTCCCCAAGTAGAGGTGTGAGCCAAAGGCACGCTTGGGACTTATAACAAGATCCCAAGTCCCCTCCTACCTGGTTGGGTCTAAACGACATCATTATTCCTCAACTTTGTTTTACGGTTTTCTTTGTTTTTCATTGTTCTCGCTTTTTATGACCATTATTATCATCTTATCGACACCTGTATTTCTCCATGGCATCGACATCCTCCGCACCGCTATTCGCCCGACGCGCCGCCAACGCGGCCAAGCTCGGCACAGCTCTACCGCCCCTCGCCGCCACACCCAAGCTCACCATAGAGATTCCCAAGCCCGACATCAACAAGATCTCCAGGGACCAGCAACATGATTCGGAAAGCGGATCATGTCCATCTCTCACCGATGGAACGCAGACTCCCCTGACGGGCTCCAGCATTGTCCAAACACCGCGGTCTCCCCGGTACACAAGACAACAGGAGCGGGAATGGTGGGTCCAGTGCTTGGAACACACTGGTCAAGACGAGGACTGCATCGACTGCATGCAGTGGCGGACTGAGCTGCCCAGCATTACACCCTCCAAGCCATATGAATGTGAGGGCTTCAGCTATGAGGACGAGTTTCCCTGCACTGAGGTCTTTCCTCTGATGGAAGAGTTTGAGATGGAGGTACCAGATCACACCGAGTGCCTCACGAGTCTGTCCTACCGAGAGCGTATCAACAAGTCATACTTCGACCTAGGAGACACTCTATTCTCACCAGTCGCCGAGATGGCTCAACTGGTACCGGGCTGGAATGAAAAGGCCCTCCAGTTCTTCAACCAGTACATCACGCTTCTGGTACTATTACTCATCTCCGTCTTGACGGCATACTGTATCGGCAGATGGACGCTCCCCAGGCAAACTGGGCTGGAGACCCTGAGCCTAATTTACTCTATGCCACGCGTTGACGCGTTTGTCCTACATTGGGACTGGGACTGGGCAAACCACACCCAAGTGTAATCAAATGGGGGGACGACCAGAAGAAACATATACTATACCCGTATGGACAGGACACATACACACCACTCTCCGAGGAGGAAGTACAGATTTGAGAGGATTGTTTTTTTCAAGGAGCTGGATCTTGTGTCGATTCTTTATCTTATTACTATTATGATGACGACAATGACGAAAAGGGAATGACGAGCGCAACGAATCAGCATGGAATGCACGAACATACAGCCACAAGACGAAACAGAGACGCATTGAAATATGCGGACAGGTCTGGTGGCTAACAATTGTGCGCACATAAAATGCACATGAACATACACAACAGCGCATAACAACAACGATGGAAGCACCGATATGTAAATTAAATAATGCTAAAAAAAATCTATAAAAATATACCATTTGATATAAAATTTTCGCGACGCGTTCTTAGTTAGATTGATGTTAAAATTGCCATGATCAACGCGACGAGCCCCGGGCACGTGACTGCGCCGCACCATGAGAATATAACCGGCTTGCCTCTCTCGCAGGCAACTTTTCCCTCTCTCTTCTCCAATTCGCCTGCACAGGAACTGGTTTCTGACTGGCTCGAGGAGACATGGTGCCCCGCTTTACACGGCCACCGCCAATGGTGGGGACAAGGCTGGCGGCCAGAGCTTTCCTTCCGGCCTGGCAAAATTTCTAGACGCTTCCGTAGTTCTGGCGGATACCTTCAATCTTGCCTTCCTCACCATCCCGCCCACCTTCCCATACTAATAGGCCTTCCAGCTGCTCCCCTCCCTCCCTTCACCCAAACCTCTCCTCCTCCAATTTGCTAACACCTCGACACCAACGTCGTCTACGGTCTCTACCTTGCTACAGTAAGTGCAACCTACTCTTCTTTCTTGCTTACACATCCCCTCGTGCATCATGATGATACACCAGCTGGCACCAGTCATAGAGCGACTTGTACTCCCTTTCATTGATGACTTATATGCTGTGGTCCTCAGAGGCCTCACTGATCTGCACCTCTACTCAATCTTCGTCTTCTTCATACACAATTGCCGAGACGTTGCTAACCTTGCATCCTTGCACAGCAGAACCTGCTCATCCAAATCAATCCCCCCCGCGATTCCAACCCGAATTCCCGCCCACCATGGTTCTTCACAACCCCAACAACTGGCACTGGGTCAACAAGGACGTGCGGGAATGGGCCAGGGAGTGGTTTACCAAGAATGCGTGCACACTCGAGGCCAAGCAGGGCGATGTCGAGGCCAAGATCTCCAAACTGACTTCCATGGACGGTGATGTCGACGTGAGCCAGCGTAAGGGCAAGGTAATCACCATTTTTGACGTGAAGGTCGTCCTCGAGTATACTGGTAAAAACTGAACTTTCCGCCCACTCTTGACCATGCATGAAAACCCCGTCGGTTGACACCTAGTCGGTAGGGTCTGCCCCCGATGCGGACGACGTATCTGGTAGCATCACCATCCCCGAGGTCGCCCATGACACCGAGGAGGATGAATACGTGGTAAGTAATTTAGCTTTTCCACTTGGCCCAACGTATCAGCCAAACCTAATTAAACGTCTTTGCCTCTCTGCGTAGTTCGATGTCGACATTTTCGCCGAGTCGAAGGAGAAGCAGCCCGTGAAGGACCTCGTCCGAAGTAAGCTCGTGCCCCAGCTCCGCCAGACCTTCCAGAAGCTCGCCAGCGATCTCATCGCCGAGCACGGCAAGGACATCCAGCACGCCGAGGGCAGCAACCCCTCCGGCGGCTTCGCTCCCGCCAAGGTCCACCCCCAGAAGGCCGGCGACGGCGCCTCGTCCCAGGCCGCCAGCTCCCAGACCAGCGCGGGCGGCACTGTAAACACCACGACCGTGACGGACAACGAGGAGTTCCGCACGACCGCCGAGGAGGCCTACCAGACCTTCGTCGACCCCGCCCGCATCGCCGCCTTCACCCGCTCCCCGCCCAAGCTGTTCGAGGGCGCCAGGGAGGGCGGCAAGTTCGAGCTGTTCGGAGGCAACGTCTCCGGGGAGTACCTCGAGCTGGAGAAGAACAAGAAGATTGTCCAGAGCTGGCGCCTGAGCCAGTGGCCCGCCGGCCACTACTCCACCCTCAAGATCGAGTTCGACCAGAACGACGTCGACCACGTCACTATCATGCGGGTTACCTGGGACGGCGTCCCGGTTGGCCAGGAGGAGGTGACCAAGAGGAACTGGGTCGAATACTACGTCAAGAGCATCAAGCAAACCTTTGGGTGAGTTTTCGTCGATGCCGTCCGTGTCTTCGTTTGCTGATTACTAACTCCTTACCACAGCTTCGGCACCATTCTGTAAATTAAAACATAAAGCAAAACAGCACAATGCATAGTACGCGAGCACGGCGCGCTCTAGATTGGGGGGTAGTGGCCTAGGCTGCATAGACGACGGGTACTCCCACTGCCGTGGCGGCGGTGGAAAGGCGGCGACATAAAGTCTTGTTCGGGCGTTCCAAGACCTAGAAGCGTGTAGACATGATGGATATGAGTGACTTTAGATGATAATGATTTAAGCGTACATGGCCCACGACTAGCAACTCCGTGAAGTCAACCCATTGTAATAAGTACGTAACTCCCAACCGCTAATTTTTGCCCACGATATTTTCCCCATGATATACAGGTATTCTATGCTTCAATGTACAGCAACTTTTACAACATCTTTTTCTATCAGGGAGGGTGGCCAGCTCCGTTTCTATGCCTGGGCCGCTCGCGCTCCGATACGGGCTCCCGCTCCCCGAACGGATCGCTGAGAAATATGTCGCGGATGTTATCCCAGAATCCCAAGTCGTACAGATTGGTGACGTCTGACAAGCTCGCCATCTTCTCCCACGGGCCCTCGCCGGGGATTTGCTGCGCTGGATTCGGCGGCTGGCCGTGGCTTGTCGTGACCATGATCCGGTCAGGCTGAACAGGCCAGCGCGTCCACGTCGGCTCGGCATACTGGTGCCTCTGTCTGTTGGAGGGGAGGGGTCGGGCGAAGGCGTAGCCGTCCCTCATGTCCTCCTTCCACTCCGACCACTTGAGGGTCTCGTTGGTCGTCGTGCCGCAGTAGATGAGGTACGTCGTGTAGGCGAGGAGGCCCCAGATCAGCGGGGAGGTGAGCATGGTGAGGAGGGTGACGGAGCCGATGCGGGTGTATCCGCGGATCCCCAGGGCCCAGATGCTGAAGTAGGTGTTCCACGACATGCCGCTGGGTCGCCAGACCGCCCACTCCGGGTAGATGGACTTTTGGAATTCCGAGAGAATGGAGAGTCCCAGGAAGGTGGCGTAGGAGGTGACGACGGCCGATGATAGGAGCAGGAGGAAGAACCAGTGATGATTGCCGTACCCCACGCACGAGTTGATGAAGATGCAGTGGTGGTCGGCCCTGGCGATGCAACGCTTGCAGATACTGCAGTGCTTGGATCGAGGGGGCTTGATCAGGTTGCAAGTCGTACACAGGCGTCCTGGATGGAAGAGAGTGAAATCGTAAGGATACAGCGACATGTGGTAGGCGTGATTCTCAGGGGTGATGTAGCCCGGGTCCGCGGCGCAGGCCTTGTAGAGAGTGAAGAAGGGAGTGGGCGCCAGGACCACGATGGTGAACTTGATAAATAAGGATACGATAGGCCATGCTGCTGGGACGAAGAGGACTTCTCCAGCGCCAAATATTACCAAGAAGAATATCTAGGGAGCGAAGGAAATCAGCGCCTGGCAAAAGACGACTTCCGAGGAGCCGGAATGGCTTACCACAACTGTTGGGTGACGGTCAAACATCATACAGTTGAAGAACTTGACCGTGGAGGAAGTCACCCGACCAGAAGTGAGCTTCTGGTCAACAAAGTACAGCGCCGCGGGAATGTGAACCCATATTAGGCGGTGCAGGCCAGCGATGGGCGTACGTCTGAAGCAAACGAGTTAGCACCGGTTGAGTTGAGAAACAGCATGTCACTGGGCATCTACAAGACGGACGGCGTCTACAAACCTCAGTGCAGGCAGTCTTCCAAAGAAGGTCACAAACGTCATAAACGAGATGACGAGAATGACAATAACAAGAGTAGTTAGGATCCCCATGATGCCCGACTCATCAGCAGGTGTGCCTCGGTGACAAAACTGGCAGTCGTCTGAGGCGGCCTACAGCGGAGCTGCCAGGTCAGGTGGAAGCGAGCGACTGTGAGCAAGCGCTGGGCTATAAGACCATGGTCAAAGGTTTGGCGGACAGGAGAAAGCAATGGCAATGCACGTGGGAAGCGGTCGCTGTCTTGCCGGAGAGGGAGGATGACGGAGAAGGGGGGATTCGCAGCGCGCCCGGACTCCGCTCAGTTCAAATGGGCAGCATAAGACGAAGACGCTGATACACACCTGTCATCTCTTTTTTTAGTGAGGCTTAGAGCATCACCAGCCTGCCACACGTGGCGGCCCTGGATATGCAAGTATCCACCATTAGCCCGTCCCGCTAAGTGCATTTCTGCAAGGGCGGCCCACGTGATACCGCGCCGAAGCCCATCACGCGTCCCGAAGGTCATGATCGCAAGCGCCGGTGCGCGACTGACGCAGCTCTCTTTAAAAGCCGGCATCGCCCGGCGGAGGCCGATGGCTCGAATTGCATGGTCAAGCTTCCAGTCTGCGCAAGCCATTGTTGTTGTCGTCCAGATATCGCCTAACCGCACCCCAAATGCTTGAACTCGCAACACACGAAATCCTGTTGCAACTAGACAGGTACTTACTGGGAGCCTCCCGAGTCTCCGCTATCGCATTATTCGCCTTTGACTTGATAGAACCTAACGATGGCATCGGGGATCACATATAACGGTGTTCCGAGTGATGAGGGGGGGGGATTGTTCAAAAACGTAAACTTTTGGGTTGCACAGCGTATACCTATGAGATCAACATGGGTTGAACTAATCAAGGTAAACTATCTTCCTTCCTTTGTCTCCATGCTCTTGTAGCCGCCACCACGTGACTCGACAGCTAACAAAGACAGAGCAATGGTGGCTCAGTTGTCCCTCTAGAGAGGCAAGCTGACATGCTCATCGCCGATGATGCACGCAAGGACTCTCCCCCAGGCTCTTACTCGTGGAAGTTCATCGAAGACTCAGTCGATAAAGGTATGGTTCAGATCAAAGACAAGTACCTGATCGGCCCCGACCCGGATCTGCCGCGGCCTGCTGCTTCGGGTAGTTTAGCAAGGGGCAAACGAGTTCCCTTCACTCCCGCTGACGACGCCGTGTTTGTGAAATGGGTGCTCGCCCAAGCTCACCGCTTCGAATCCAAGGTCAAGCTGTGCAAAGAGTTTGAGAAAATTGTATGTGCTTCCCCCGTGGCTTCACATCTTCCTGCTCCTCTCAACCTCCACGCAGTTATATGAAATCCAACTGATTTTGGGAAGAACTCAAGACATACTTGGCAATCGTGGCTGGATCGGTGGAATAAGAGACTAGCTCTTCTCCCATCGGAACAGTTGAATGCCATAGCCGCCTCAGCGCCAGCCGATACAGCTGCTACTTCCCATCACCCAGCTCACTCTCCTCCACCGCCTCCATCAGCACAGGCTCCCAAACCAAAGAGTCCCCCCAAACCATCTCCAAAGCCGGCTCCCAAGTCTTCTCCCAAGAAGCAGAGCACCATGGCTCGTCCTAAGGACATCCCAGATACGATCCCGGAAACGCCTCAACGAGAACCCTCTCCAGATTTGTTGGATAGCTTTTCCGATGCCTCGTCTCCCATCGCCGGGTCTGAGGAGCTAGAGAAGGAGAGGAACTTGCTTCTCGATCTACAGACCTACGCAAGCGTCAACGGGTTACCACTAAACATTGCCCCAACAATCAAAGGTCAACCACTGTCTTTGTACCAGATGGTGACACTGCTCGACGGTGCAACTGACGGCATAGACTGGGAGGCCATTACACGAGATCTTGGGTTCGACGCCTCCAGAGCAGGCATCGTACGTGCTGTTCAAAAGGTATGGAATGACAATCTGAAAGACTTTTTGGATGACGTCGAGAGTTTCGATGAGGAAGAGGAGGAAGATGAACTCGAGTCGGACCTAGGTCAAGACCAGGACGATGAACTAGAATCCCGCCCAGGGTCGGAGGATTTGGCAACGCCCAGGGCAAGCAAGAAACGGGCCCTTGGTCGTCGCGAGGATGATACCTCATCGCCCAGACCTCCAAAGCGAAACAGAATAGACCCATACGATGATCTCCCATCGTCACCTCCTCCCGCACAACTCCCAAGACGGAAGCAGCCTGCTCTTGGATCTCCAATTCTCGGATCATACACACCCGAACGACAACTCAGCAGCGGCCGCAGAACCAGCACAACCAGCAGAAACAATCCCAAGACCCCTATTGCAAAAACGCCACAACTTCCTACTCACGAAAGCTCATACGACGTGACCCCTTCCCAACAACTCGACCTCGAAGCACAGCAGACCGGGAGCCCCGTCAAGGTCGTCAGAAGACCGCAGCACACCCACACCTCACCAGCAGGAGACGGTAGCCCAAGACCCAGGCGCCCGTCCCATCCAGCCACGGCACCTCCCGCCCCCAGGTCAAACCCACCCCCCACGACCCCGAAGCCCCTACCGAAGCCCGCCAAGCGGCGTACCCTCCCAGCTTCCTTCACCCGCAGCAACGACTCCCCCAAGTCGCCGCCAGCACACCCGCCTCGCCGCTCAACCCCGCCGAGAAAACCACCCCACCCGATGCCCATGGCGGGGGGCAACGACAGGAACGACGCCGGCAACGCCACCCCGCGAGCGACCAACGCCCACATCTCAGAGCCCACCACCATCGAGGGGTGGGTTGAGCACTACCAGTCCCTCGGCTACACCCATGCCATCGTCGTGGCAGCAATGACAGCCACGACCATGACCCCCGGCTGCCTCACGGCCCACGCTCTCGAGTCCCTGTCGGCTGGCAATGGCATCCCCAAGAATACCGAGGGGATATGGACTGACCGCGACGACAAGGCCCTGCGAAGCCTGATGTCTCTCGGTGAGAGGATAGAGCACGAACCCACCGATGCAGGGGAACACCAAGTACTACAAAAGGCACTCCGCGAGCGCAGGAGGCTTTTGCATAAGCATGGGCAGCGCAGGATGGATCAGAGGGAACTGCTTTTGCAAGCGAGCGATGAGCTTCCCTCCAGTTCGGGACGAGGAAGGCAGTAAGGCAACCCCTGGTCAGCAGATACAACAGGAATAATCAGAAGATATAATTCAAGGATTGCAAAGAAAGTGATCGCGCTACTATGGTTCATATCTTATTTACTTGTTGCTCAATCCCAGAGGTAGATTAGACTAAACGCGCCGTTCCCATTTCTCGAATCCTTACCCGATTTGTAGTTCAATCATTAGATGATCCCAAATAATCTCGCGGCGGTAAGCCTCGATAGCGAACAGTCCCATTCAACGCCCGAAATAACAGATCATGCAAACGCGGATTGCCCAAGCCCTTTTTAGTAACGATAATGGCCATTTTCAAATGAGCCCAATATTCCCAGTTTTAAGACCATGACGGCCCGGATTTACTGGCCCCGAGGTTCACAATTGGCACGCTATGCGACAGTAAAAAAAAGTAGAAGATCTCATTGAACCTCTTGGTCCTCAAAGGATCGAGATTTCAAAGTGAGCCAACCAGGTGCTGCGGAAGTAGTGTTGTACGTAGTCAACAGGGGCGTCGCAACAGCCGTAGTCGCTGACTTGACAAAGGTGTCAAACTGTTTGCCGATGTTGGAAACGATATAGCCGGCAAATTCTCCTGGAATAACAGTCAGTGAACAATTTTCGCTTCAAAAACCAGAAAGGAGGAGTTACCCAGGGCGATCAAAGCCATATTTCTGGTCATCGAAGGGGGGAGCCTATACGAGCCCAGCATTAATGTGGCCGCAGGACAGTAAAGATATGGCCCCCAGCTCTGGATGCCAAGTCGTCTTGTTATGGAATTTTGAATCGAATCGGCAGAATTTGCCGCAGTATAAAGCGTCACCAATATTTCCTTCGCTCTCTTCTCTGCCTCCCGGAGTTGCTCGCCCTGGTCTTCGTATCGAGAGGATATTGCGGTGACCAACATGTCAAGTCGATGCATTTTCTTCCACATGTCAGTAAGTCAGTGGCGTCAGTTGGCAAATTGAGGGATAACTTACGGCCTCCACATTATCTTGTTTTTTCTCTATGTCTGCAGCCCGTATTTTAGAACTTTCCTACTTGGTGTCAGCGAATCTCTTGCATTGCGAGACCGGGCCGTTCACTTACCAATTCCCTCTGCAGCGACCCGGCAGATGCAAAAGCCGCCGTCAGCGAACTCATGACGACATCTGCCTCATCACTCGCTTGTTTCCTCACGAGCTGCAATGCAGTCGCCTGGGCCTCGGTGATATCGTTCGTATTTTGAGCGATGGTTTGGAGCATAGTCGACAACAGGTCTTGCAGGTCTCTCGCGTCAGAGAACCCTCGGTGCAGCATCTCTTGCGCATTCTGCAAACCTGTTAGTGATGGGAACACGTCTTCCATTCCACCCACAAACCTTACCTGCAGGGCATGAACAAGCCCGTCGGAAACAGCATTCTCAACCTCGCCCAATCCTTTTTTAACAGCATCAATTCGTGGTGCGATCTCCGACAAATCGTCGTTCGTTCGCTGAAAAGTCTCGTCCATAGACTTCAAACGAGCCTCTAAATGAGTATCGATCTCATCGGTTAACCGAGCAAGAATATTTGTGAGTCGTTGGTACCGTAGGATGTCGCGATCTACAGGGGTCGTTAGCATTTGAACCTCTGCTCTTCTTCAATCACTTCGCCTCACCTTTCTCGTTATCCGCGCGTGCGGCATCGCAGAACCGCAGCGCTTTGTGTCGATAGCTGACCCAGGTGTTCCAAGCTGAATCCGACTGCGCCAGTCCTTCAAGGCACTTGTCTATCTCGGCCGATGAGACATGTAGCTGAGGTGTGGACGGAATAGTTATCCTGGCAAGCGCGGTCTCGCGAAAGTTTGCGCAAGTAGAAGGGATGGCGAAGCTGCCTCTCTCGAGATCGCATATGGCCAAACTTGCGGCATACGAGTCAACAAAGTCTCTTGCGGTCCTTCCACTATCCGTCAGAACGGTGGCTTCGTTCTTTCCATCTATGATTTGGCAGTGACTAACAAGAAGGCGGGCGGCGTTGCGGTGGCAGAGAGGCTCAGACTCGAGATCGTGCAACTCGCTCAGGACTGTTGCATACATATCGGTAAGGGGGTCGCCAAACTGGTGAACCTCGCGCAATTCGGAGTTGCTCAACAACGAGTTGGCTGCTCCCGAACACAAGTTAGCCAAAGAGCCAGGCGTTGAGCCCATATCCCGCTTCTTACCATTCAACCGACGACTGCCCCAAGAAAAGGCATAAGCATTTGTCAAAGTGCATAGATATATTGCTATACGACCGAGAAGAACGGCTTGTGAGATCGGGAGTCGCATTATGGGGTCTTGTGCTTTGCCTCCCCGTTCCGGAGAGACAGCTGGAGCGCAATGTGAGAGGATGTATTAGATGGGGACCATGGCGAAAAATCCAAGATTTTCTTGCAAAATGGTGGGGGTCAGGTAATAAATATCAAAGAAATGATATGAGAAAGCCCAGGAAATATTGTGTTGCTGCTGGTGTGGTTGTTTTGCGGGGGAAAGAGCACCTGGGTGTTGAGCAGGAAGGAGCTAGTTCAGGTGTTGAGACTGAGGAAGGAGGTACCTTGATGTGCGAATGAGGTACCAGAACCTCGGACATTTCATGGGGAAACACCTACAGTCTGCAGCTGCAGCGCAAGAGGAGTCGAGCTACAGGCGTGGAGGCAACAGATGAGAGGTGGCAGGCTGCTGCCCAGTGCACATACCGCTACCTCTCGCCCAACTGCCTTGTCTTCGGCTACCTCTTCCAGGCAGTGAGAGCCTACCTCAGGTGCTGGCAGGCACTATTGCACCGGACCGGGCGGTCAGCTTTTCTCTTTCCTCGGCACCAAACCGGAGACATCTGTGAACACCAGGGCTGAGCTGGAGGCTGCCGGAACGTATGTACGAAACTGCACATCGGCCCTCACTAGCTGGTCCCCGGCCATGCATATATCCAGCCAAGGAACTGCAAAATGGGGAATCTACTAATATCTGACAACCATTACGATATCTCCTACTTCCTGTCTAGCCTACCTAGGTAAGGGAACGGGAACTACATCCTATGCACCTCGTTACTCGCCTGACCTTGCAGGAGGGTCCTGCTGTTACGTGGTGGCATGCCTAGCAGAAAATCCCCATTCAATGGAGTCCTAATCATTGAACACGATGTCCAGCGTTTGAAATCCGAGATTTTTGGCCCCCGAGTGAAGTTTGTTTTTCAGTGTCGACATACATGGATTGGCTTTGGAAAATCGCGCTATGAATCAACACCTGGCAATTCAATCCTCTCTCTTTGGACAGTCCCCTTGCTATTCGCCCAAGATGACGAATGGAGAGTGCAGCCTCGCATCGGAAACCACCTTCGTTTAGCTATCTAGCACTCGTGTGCTACCTCCTCTTGAAGGATTAGCGTAGCTGTCGCCAAAGTCGATCCGACTGGCTTATGCCTCCATCCAGGCTCACTTACATACCCAGTGGCTTGCTTCGTGCGTCAAGCAGGGAGTCAAAGTATCAATGCATAATGGAGGCTTGACACAGGTGTGTGCAGGGCGTCCTCACTCTCCTGACTAATGAGAAGAGTCGGCCAACAATCGGCCATGGTTTGAAGAAATAACATCCCAGACATGGCGCCGTACGACCAACCCTCGACCCACACTGTGGTCATACCCATTTGAAATCTCAACGGCCATTGAGGAGCGGCCGCGACCCTCTCTCACCACGCACCCTTCGGCGGGAGAGAGCTCGTATGCTTATCACAGCTGCCGAAGCTGTTTCCCGGAACCCTAAATAAGCCTGCTCACTTTCCACTCCGATTACGCTATCGGCGGACGAGACAACAGTGCAGCGCCTAAGCGAACAACTGTCGATAAAGAGGCGAGGCGTGCCACCCCTCAGCCCTTCCAATCTCTCTTTTTGTCATTTTACTAGATACCTAGAAATGGAAGATCTCGTGTGTTGAAACGTCAACACACTTCCCAAGCCCCAATTGCGTGTCGCTGTTACTAGACAGCCGGATCCTTTCATCCACACTGCATGGTGGTATGAGGCATGATACTGGGACAATTCGAACGATTCGACGAATACCTAGACCACGATATCACGAGTTCATTTGTTTGTCAATCACTTATTTATCTGCTTCTATTCAATTTGCTCACTCTTCGGGGTGCGAATATAAAAAGGAACGAGGCCTTTCCCGCTATCTCTTGAGTTTCTTCATCATTATACAACCGTCAATCTAAATCAAACCTATCAAAAAGCAACCGAGCACGTCTGGAGTGCTCATATCAAATATCTACTCACGGAAACTTTATCTCTTGCCGTCTTCCAACAACGATAAATCACCACCAATCTTCATCATGTGTACTCAGGTGGACTACTTATGGACCTGCGGTCATCAGGGCTATCATGAGACAGACAGGTGCAAGCTCTTTCTCAATGGATGTTTAGGGCCAGGACCTCTTCATAGAGTTTTGCCTATGAAAGAGAAATGCAGCGACTGCAAAACGAGAGACATGATAGCTCAGATTGCGCCCGAGGGGGGCCAGGGGAACATGCCATGATGGCGCCAGCTTGGGCGCCCCATGGAGGCGATGGGATGTGGTTTGGAAAACCATCCGGGTCATTTGGTTGGACTTAACCTTCTTCTGGGATCTAAGATGGAGATATAACATGGGCGATTCTCTAACAGCTTTAGCAACTTTGTATGTTAGCCATTCACTTCATTCAATTTGTCGAATTTGACGCCTGTCAAAATGACTTCCCTCATCTATGATGAGTCTAGTCTCGACAACACATTTAATAATATATTTAAATATTTGATGCCCGCTACATGTAACAGTATTCATATATGCTGGTCTAGTCCATGGTCTCCCACATCACAACCTTCCAAGACCTTTTGAACATCTAGCCATCTGAGCTATTCAATCATGCAGGGTCCTCTAGCCAGGCCGGCGTCACTCCCCGAAACATTGGGACCTGCTCGTCACCCCAACGCCATCAAGGTAACTACTCACCGCGAACACGAACCATCCCACGG